CCGACTGATGCAAATATGTGGCCTGGTTGACTTGTGTTGGCGGTACAGCTCTCTACCGATGGGGTCGTGGGATGAGTTCGGCGATACTTCACCAACGATCGCTAGCTGAGATGAACATGTGCAGGATTAAGACGAAGTCCTTAGTTGTAATACGCCGAGACAGGGCCACGACTACAGGTAGTTGGGTAGTGTGGTAAGAGCAATGATTCCTGCTATGGGACATATCCTTAGCTATGGTGTAAAATGCTTCTCTTGGTCGGGTGTCTTAATAGCAGCTCTAGTGTAAAGATGAATCTCCTCGTCGTTCGCCGACCTCTTTGTCTCGAGAAGTAGAAGGTGCACATCGGATCGACTTAAGTGAAGGCATTGGACGCCCTAGGTGGTTGGGACGCTCTTAAGGGTACCGCAGGTAACAACAAAGCAGAACTAGATACCTATTACCTCTTTACTAAGGTGTTAAGGTTTAAATATAAGATAAGTTGCAGATGCGTAAGGGCATAAGGGTACCTTACTTTTAACTCCTTATACAAAACGGAAGCGGCGCGCCGACTTGACTTCAGAAGGGATATCTAAATGGCTTAGGTAATAACGATATTCTTAAGGATACTCTAATAGCTAATAAAGTAGAGCTAAATGCCTGTGGCGTTCTTACGTACTTAGTGATATTCAGGCTTATATAGGGTTGTAGACAGGCGAAGGACATTAAGGACAAGTTTTAACTCTTTATACGAAATATAAGCCGTATACCAATATGATATTTATAATAGAAAAGCTCTTAAGGATATTTAAGTCCTAATAATATAGTAATATATATATTATCTTTGTATAAGAGCTAGTTAACATTTAGCTATAAGATAAAGTTAATAAGAAGGGTATTAAGGATACCTTATAAAGGGTGTAAATAGTAATAGTAAATATTTAAGATAAATAAGAAATAACTATTTTTTAATTTACTAAATGTATTATAAATATAATATATTATATATAAGTAATAAGGGCGAGATTAGCGCTTTAGTACAGTAGGCTATATCTTTATTTTTTATAATATTAAGTATTATAGTTATTATTAGTAGGCGTAGAGTTTTAAGGGATAGAGGTAGTAGCCTTATTTAATTATAATACAGGTATTAAAGAAAATTTTACTTAGTAGAAAGGCTAAATTAGAAGTTTCTATAATAAAACTAAGTAAATAAAAAGTATTAGCGTAAGTAACTATAGTAAAGGCTTAAGTCCTTTATTTACTACTTTAATAACTTAAAAAGGAATTTAAGAACTTCTAACTTTACTACTATAGATACTTTATTACTAAAATTATTTAACTTAGCGTGATAAATAATAGTTAATAATAAATACTTAAAAAAAAAAGATTAAAGAAGTTAATTTTAGTAATAGCTATAGCGCTAAGGCTAAGTTTTAGTAATACTAGTATTATAGTAGTAGAGGAGGTAGGTAAATAAAGTAATTTAATTATTAAGAAATATAAATATACTATAATAAAGATTAGCTTTAGTAAGCCACGGGCGGCTTTTAAGTGGTTGTCGGTAGTTATTAAAAGCCGCTCCAAGCTTAATTTCCTCTCTATTGTTAAGGATTAGAGAATAGAGCTTAAGCATCTAGCAGAATGTAAGGTGAACGGTTAAAAACGTAATTGACTACCACCCTGAGTTTAATTACCTCCAACCTCGAGTTAATGGTACTTTCGAGAGGCCAGCTCTACGTGAAATGCCCCTAGCCGAGCGAGATGTCACGTCCTACGTTAGTCTAGAGTACGAGGGCCGTTTGATGTATTTGAATGACAAGTTGGCACGGATTCAATTCTTTCAATCCACGTTAGGTAGTGCCAATGTGCGCAGGTTGTCTGTACTACTAGGGAGCTAAAGTACCGGGTCAACATGCTGTTTTCAGTGTCGATTATTTGCCGGTAATGAATCACGATCCGCACAATCACCGATCCGCACAATCACCGATTCTTTCATTGCAATGATCGAAGGTCCCAGTGGGCACTACCTCTGTCAGTTTGCTTCACCATCTCCGCCCTTTTTTTTTTCTCTCAAAAGCTGTCCAATCTGAATTTTTTTTCCGTCGCCATCTCGGCAACCGCGCACGATTCCAACTCTCTCTTCGACGATATCTTGCCATTTCCCGCTGTCCTGTTCGGTGCCTGTGTGCGTTCCCCCAGCCAAAATCTGCCCACTCTGGCGTCCTTTTCTTCCTTTGGATACATTCCGACTGCTGATACGCGATATGAAATAGAATTGGCCTTCAAGTAGCTGAACGATGCCGACCGACTCCACACGCATTCGCAAATGCTCTTTTATCTCTCTACTTGCGAATGCCCGCCCATGCAGGGCACCTCGAGACTCGACATCACGACGTATGTTTGCCCTTACGAGAAGAGCTATCCCGTGACTCCTGCGCAAAGATGAAGACCATTTTAAGCTCTACGTTTCTTTCAAGAATCAGATGGCAATTTGTGCCTATCGAATTTGTATCACGATGAATGGGCACCTGAGGCCCATAACATGGGAAGATGGCATGACGACACAGCAGTACGCGAAGCAGAACCTACGCAAGATGTGTCTAAAAGTCCCCTCTCGCATTACCTATCAATACAAGCACACCAGTTTGGCAATCGAGAGCCCGTTTGGTTAGGAAATGGTCGGTCTCAATAACGATGGCCAAGGGACGCCGGTCTCATATGGCCTTCTTTTTGATGCAGTAGCATTACGCAGCATCCATTACATTACGACCTCATACCGTCGTTTAGCCATCAAGATACGAGGAATTCCGCAAGTTTGTTTAATTCAAACGCTCATCCTCTTGGATGCTTTCGTTGTGGCAGATCGATACCGAGCAACAGCACGATCTCGTTTATGCCGTACATAAGTGCATTTTCACATGCCTGCTCGCCTAAACACGACAATGTTTCCACGTCTGCAGCCTTGTTGGAGTTTTTGATAGATCTGATCAGCACTGGGGAGGAATGACGTTGAACTACTACATGTATGTAGCAGCCGGCTAAGTTCCTTCCCAACCACTACACACCACGCGTCTAAGCTTAAATCGACGACATTCGGCTGTCCATTTCCATCGCGATTGCCTCCATTATTGCAAGAATTCTTGTCCATAATTCGTGTTCGCGCATCCTGCTCCATCTCTAACTGCTTGTATGCACCTCTAGTGCTTACTGAAGCCTATCACGTTCTCGGGCTTGGGTAATTATGGCTGATACTGCCGGTATGCAGTGCCATATGGCGTTTGGACTCAGAAGGCCGAGACACAATTCAGAACTTTGTGTCTATAAGCAGACACTTCACCTACCCAAATTGCCCAGTTGTACTGCATGGAATATCGGAAGGAGTTCACCTAGTCCAATCACCTAGTTGTGCTGCTTGGGGATTTTAGAAGGGGAGGAGTTGCTGAATGGCCCAAGTTCAATGCTATCCAGCATCTCATGTTTTGAATGAAAGCTGTACTCAATCGTGATAAGCGATGCTCGAGAAAAATTGCGATGCCAGCAGATGCTAGACGAAGTTACATGTAGTGATAGTAACAGACAGTAGTGATGGTAGCAGAGGCTTGAAGATTCCCTTGCGCTCCTCAAAACTAATGGTCGAATCATCATGAGCATTGGGCCAGGTGGCAATAAGAGGCAATAGAATCCGGGCGCCTTGCACTTTGATTGAGGCCTGTGGGAATTGGGATGACATTTTGCGGTGTATAAGGTATGTAGTATGACACTCGCCTGATTGTCGCGATGTACCTGGGTTAATGGCCTCGATGGACCCTATGACCTTGATCCAAATGCCCTTGATCTCCGACTTACGCTCAACGGGAACGGCGGCTGTTGCGGTCGACCAAGATCTACTCTCAGCTCTTCGTTCTGGAATCTTACTAGATACTGGCGATGATCTGTTTGCAGCCCAAATGCACTTGACGACAAACGTGGGCTTCGATCCAAAATTGGGGCTTGCTGTGGTACATCACAGCAAGACTGTACTCTCATGTCCATTAGCGTTGAGTTGATTCGAATCAAGGGGCATAAAATCTATACTTACTGGCTCCTCATCTACATAAAGAAGCCACTAAAGACCTAGGAGCTGCTGGTATACCCTGGGTTAGTTTTCGGCTGCCGTCACCTGATGTTGTTTCTGCAAGCACAATCTGTGCCAATGATCCCCTCTTCCTGGTAGTACAGACTTCCAAATTTCACAACCACGACATTTGAACAGTTATTCTTGAGAATAAAAACACATAAAAAAACCAAAAAAAGACAAGGAGACGACTGAGCAAGATAGGAAAGCAAAGGGTATAAAAAAAGGGGGAAAAAAAGGAAAGGGGTCAGTTTAAGGTCATGACCCAGGACCAGATTGAACACACCGTCTCATAAGAGAACGATAGAAACACCGCGAGGCGGTGACCACTCGGCCATCCACTGCCGAGTGGCGATGGAGTGAGAGATAATTTCCTCTATATCTTGATAGCAGTAGCACAGGCCAAGTTATCTTGGTAGTACAGATACCAGACCCCCGGGACTTTGAAGATGCAAACGCTGCTGGTGCAATCGTCCTCTCGCATCACCAAAAGACGCATCACTTTGGCATCATGCAGCGCGTTTCCCTCCATCCTTTTCACTATTGTCGCCGCCACCTCGTCTCACGTGCCTGTTCCTGGCTGTACTATTGCTTGTATCGTCTATCCTAGCTCCAGCCCTCAATACTAAGGCAATATGGCTACCACGAAGCAAGCTGGTCGACCTGATCGGCTGATGGAACGAGGACATCGTAAAAGCCGTTGTCTCGGAGAAGAGCTCGATGGAGAGCCATTTTGAACTTGACCTCCTCGGGGATCGGGCCCTATTGTCCATTGGCATCCTTTTGGCCTGGTATTCCGCAGGTGATAGGATTTGAAGGCCTGGCATTAGGCGAGAATGCGCACGTCGCCTCGACCTTGAGCTTGTAGTCCACAACCTGGTCGGGGAACTCCAAGGAAACGCAGTTCTATTGCTCCTTGTTGTTCTGCAGAGCCACAGTGGCCAACGTGCGATCTCTAAAAGCTTTGACCGAGATTGGATCGCGTTTCAGGTCTTCCTCACTAGGCTTTCGAACATATAGCACGAGGAAATTGTTGTCTGATGGGTGACAGTCGAGAACATCTATGCCCCGTGAAGCTTGTTGGATGCGTGAGGTCCATGCTACGGGAACATCCTCCTTGTCGTCGTCCCAGAGGTTGAGGGTGAGCAACGGATCCTTGGTCAGGCAACACCATGTTTCCTCGTACTTCTCCAGGAAAGCCTTACCGTATGGGAGAATAGCGTAGAAGAATGCGCACTCTTCTACTAGGCCGTCTCTGGCTGGGACGAAACAGGCCTGGAGGGGAAATCTCGGCAATCTAGAGTGCGGCCATGTGCACCCACATGATGTCTTGGACTTGACACAGCGTGAGAGCCGCCATATGCTCGTTATCATTGTGAAAGGTGACGGCGGAAGGGAATTGTTTGCCCTTTGTCTCTGGCAGGATCTCGTCGTACCGACACTCGTCTCAAAAATGCTCTTCGCCGTAAGGGTATCTGAACGGGGCGGGCATCTGCTGAACCCAATACTTCAAAAGGATTTTGTCGGAGGCGGCGACAACAAAGTGGAAGGTGTCTCGCTGAAGGATGTCAACCAGCGTTCTGCCGTGAATGGCCTCGTCACGGTTGATGAACCCTTCGCTTGGGTGCAGAGGCAAGCAAAGGTCAGAAAAAGCGAGAGTGCGAAATAAATGAAGGCATATATTCAGCAATATAAGCACCCAATTAGCTCGTTAAGTAGTGTTTTTAAGGGAACGTCTATTCAGCCAGCACCCAAATTTAACTATATACATATAACCATAAGAGCAGTTAGTATAAAGATATAGATATAATAGCAGTTACTATAAAAATATAAATATCGTAGCAATTACTATAAAAATATAAATATCGTAGCAATTACTATAAAAATATAAATATCGTAGCAATTACTATAAAAAGATAGATATAGTAGTAGTTACTATAAAAATATAGATACAGTAGCAGTTACTATAATAAGATAGATATAATAGTAGTTACTAAAGAAATGTAGATATAACATTAGATTCTTGAAGAACAAGTGTATAATTTAACGCCTGGGCGCTCTTAATCTTCTCGATCTCGGGTTTTCTGTTCTTCGCTTGCCAGGGTCAGCAAGGCGCATGCCGAATCCTTTGATGTAGTAAGACGTCCTTATGGAGAGTTAACTGCTTAAGAAGGTTTAGTTTCTTCTTTCGACCCGGCGCTTTCTGGAAAAACTTAGTAACGTTATATAGAGTCTTTCCGCGAGGTAGGATGGCAATTATATTTTATTACTCTTCGTCTAATATTATAGTTTTATCTTTCACCAGCTTAGTTAGGTTGTTCCTATTCTCCTTACTAATAGTAACGTATAGTGAACTAGTAGAATTAGGTCTAAGTAACTAAGAATGATCCGCCCTGATAATAAGTTTAACGGTTCTCTACGTCGAGGTTGATAATGGTGGCTTATTGCCCTACCTGAGATTGAACTGAACATATTTAGTAGTGAAGCTCCATATATTTATCAGTACGACTGACTACTAGGTAGGAACCAGACGAAATGCCGCCTCTTACTTTCTAGAAGCCGTTTCTTGAGTGTAATCAAGTTTCCTGGCATAGTCACCAGATAGTGGGAGATTGTCTGACGCCCAGCAATGCTTTCATCAGGCTCAACTTTGACCTCCGTGCCCTCAAAGTTGGCGTGTCCAACCTGAAGTCTCGCATTCAGGGTAACACCTCCCAGGCGAATCACCATGGGGCGATTCAGACTGTAACGGATTCGTTTATACGTACATGTACTAATGTACTTAGCCCATAATAACGCCGTCTCTTATCTTCTACCTTCTACCCCTTATAAAAAAGAATAATTCACCATCTATCGCCGGCCGGCACTAGATCCTCGTCTCCCTGTAAGCGGGTTGTTACCAGTGTTACTTATCTCCCTGTAAGCGAGTTATAGCCGGCTTTTCCTTTTTACAGAGGTCGCAACTTCGAATCGTATTAATATTATCTTTTTTTTTACCTTTTCCTTTATTCTTTCCACCTTTGCTCACCTATTTACCTCGCTCTTATTTATCTTCACTAGGCCAGGGCACAAAATGCCTCGTCGACGAGGTCACGCACTCGAAGAGGAACCCCGACCAGGTCTTCAACGCCCTCGACTTCCTCGCGGACATGGTCAAAACGACCCGGATCAGCGCTGCGGATATCGCTATAATTACGCCGTATGCCGCTAACGTGGAGCTGATCAACCGCCGGCGAACAAGGCCCGAGCTTGAAGTCCTCTCGGCCATGCCCCCAGCCGCAACCGTTGACTCTTTCCAGGGCCGGGAGGCCGACATCAGTAAGTGACTGGGTCTCTCTTTGAACTTGATTAGGTTGCTAATTCTAGATAATAGGAGTCATCATCATGGGCACCACTGAAGAAGTTGGCCCTGGCTTTACTACGGACCAAAATCGGCTTAACGTCATGTTCAGTCGGCAGAAGAGCAGTCTCCTTGTGTTCGGGTACATGTATGTTATGGGACGACCGGAGTTAACTTACAGCCCTCTTGCCTTTTTTTTACGGGATTGCTATTTGCTTCCCGTATTTCTTTTATTGGTGTCCCCTCCCATTTTTCACGATGCGCGGTTTCCCTGATCCGTTCTCTTTCGAGGCGGTATCATATCCCTGGCGTTCGACTCGTGCTCTCACGAGATGGTGTTTATTTGACGGCTTTCGATCCGTTCTCTCAGGAGACGGCGTTTTATTGGAAGTTTTTGACCCGTTCTCTCAGGAGACGGTGTTCATTTGGTGGTGGCTTTGGTCCGTTCTATCAAGAGACGGTTTATATCTGGTGGTTGTTTGATCCGCTGCCTCAAGAGACGGTCTCATTATTGTAAGTCTGACTCTTCTCAGAGTTTCTCACCCATCATTAACAGCTATATAGCCTATCGACAAAATGATATTTTCACAGTTAGAAGAAGATGTGATTGGCTGCTGTGAGCGTATACGACAATGCGTTACAGCATGCTCAGCCGCCGATGTACAGGGAGACCCTCGCCTGCCAAAGGAACTCAAGGCGGCAGAGGCAAAGATCGGCCTTCAAGCACAGATGGAGCTTCTCCAGCTGGTCAAATCATTGTATGTTGCTCTTAATTGATGTTATGTACGAAGACACTAATGGAATCAGGGGATGGTCCACAACTAGGCTGTCTGTGACAAAAGCCCTCTGGGAGACCTTTCCTGTCGGCCCGGAGGACGCTGATACTCAGCGCTGGTTTGAAGTTGACCGAACGGCGTCGATTGCTCGAGCCGGGAAGTTGACTGGAGTCGAAAATCCCAATGGTAAGTCTTATAACAGGATAATCTCTGTACGATATGGGACACTAACCCTTTTTTTTTTTTTTTTTTTTAGCTTTTAGACTCCCTGGCAGATAGATTAGAAGACGGACCCAGGCCCCTACTTCCGCTACCAGGACCCCGGCATTGTCGTTTACACCCAAGCACAGTCTGCCGCAGTTGGATACGCCAACTCCAAAGAGACCTCGGGGAGATGAGCCTATAACACCCGGTCTGCCAACACCCACGAGTGCTCCCAAGCATTCAACTCGTCTCTCAACTCTTCCTGTGGTCGATTACTCGCTCCCCTCTCCTGTTGAAGTCGACTCCGAAGGCTGTGAGGCCGATAAGACATTTGAAGACTCAGAAGAGGAGCCAGAGTCCGATGTAGAGTTCGATGATTTAGAAGAGGGGCTGCTCGACAACGAAAGTGATGCGGAGGACCTACCAGCAGATGAGTCGGCCCTAGCTAGATGACGCTGATACTTAACGTCGGTGTGAAGTCGACTGTACGGCGTGGATTTCTCGAGTCGGGAAGTTGATTGGAGTCGAAAATCCCAATGGTAATTCTCGTAACAGGAAAATTTCCATGCTAGATGTAAATACTTACTCTGCTTGTATGCCAGCGAAGCTTGCTCAGTGACTCGAAGACTTTATCACACTTGTCACACGTCCCATCAATCTCTTCTTCTGGATGGGCGTCTTTCCGGTGCAAAACAAGCGCCTCTTTGCACTTGAAAGATTTGTCGCAGTCTTCGCATGGGAAAGGCTTTTCATCAGCATGGACCACGTCTGGTGATACCTTAAATTGTCGAGTAATTTAAAGTCCTTCCCACAAATCTCACATACCCACGGCCTATCATCCTTATGTGATGCCTTGCGGCGCTCAAGATGGGTGCTGCTGTCGAATTTGGCGCCACACTCAGTACAGACATATCGTGGCGCATCCGTGTGTATCCCGGATGCGTGGTGCTCTTCAAGTCTGCGCCATGTGCTGTAAGTTGATCCACAATCAGCGGACGTTTTGCTCCAGTATGCCCTGACAGCAGCATCTTGATCTTGGCCATAGGCATATTTTGGCTCAGGGAGGTCCTTCTACCCGTCGGGGTGATAGGTAGTGATAATACTAGATACTAGAACAATATAGCAATGGTAGCGGATACTCCATCAATGCAACAATAACAGCGGATACTAGAACAATATAGCGATAGTAACATATACTAGCAGAAAGTAGCGATAATAGCAGATAGCCGAAGAGAATAGAATCTACTAGAACAATATAGAGACAGTAACATATAGTAGCAGAGAGTAGCGGTAGTAGCAGATGCTCTGAGAACTAGAAATGTAGGCTCGCGTGAGGTATCAACAGTGTGAGATACTTGGTCATGATATAGGAGTCTGCTTTGTCTGGTCTGGAGGGGGAAATTGGACAACAGCGGACATACGCCCATCCCGCCATCGCCATCATTCAATATGCGTCTGGCCCCTGTTGAGCCGTGGGTTTCAAGTTTTGGACAAGATGATACCGTCGCCTTATATGAATGCGAAGAATGCGCAGCAACTTTTCACACCGCTAGATACCCTGTGGACCACTGCCGACTTCAGCATAGCAAAACACACGTAGCAAACGGGCATAGGTACAAACATACCATTATTGTCGAAGCCCGCCGTGTTCCCAGGGCATGTTATTTTGACGCGGGCCATTGGGCTCCCACTGTCATCTAAGGTGAAAACTCTTCCGGACCCTTGGGGCCGGGTGCGTCCAGCAATTCGGGCTTCAGAGGAGCCTCAACGGAGGGTGTGGTATTGCAACTGTGGTTCCAATTCTTGCTTTGCAGACCTCGTACGGGTTTCAGCCACTCGTCGAGCAAGATGATCGCATTCGTAATTGGCGGAAACGCAGGAGTCGATGGTCTCTCTGATGTTCTTGCAGCAAATGGATGCCTTGTTCCGTCCCATATGAAGACTGGACATTCTGACGATCGGGCTCAGGATAGAGTGCCTTCGTGGTTTCGACGGACCTCTGTCATATCCCTTGCAGGGTGTAGGGTCCGTGACTGAACAAGGCGGAGAAGGTCCCATTGTTGTTGACCCATAACTCGATTAGAATCAGATTTCCTCGGATGGGCATGGTATAGTGTAGGACCTTCTGCTGGCCGGCGACGCTTCTCTGTGGTTCGACCTCATTATCCCTTGCAGCTACACCCTCCATATGTAGTAGGACTTCTGCTGTGGTCTCACCCGGTCGCACCTTTTTCTGTGAAGGCACAGCCATGTTCACATGAGAACCATCCCGTGAAAGCTCCCCATATCTTTGGGTCCTGTTCTCCTTCATCGGTGGTCTGGGTCCTTCGCGAGCTCCTTCGGCCAAGTTCCATTTGGGGTTTCATATCGTAGCGATTACTGACACAAATACACCAAGCCCTTTTTATCGAGAGATTCGCTAGTCTTCAGGAATTTTTGACGGCTGCAAAAACGGAAATCGCGTTTCTTCGATGACGCGGCGTCATGACGATATAGCTCAGTGGCTATAGGGCTTCGTTATGCGGGAAAGGTACATGTATCGATTGATAGAGTCGGCTTCTGAAATGTCAAGAGTCTAAACACATCAAGCACAGATAAAGTCAGCCATCTCTTTGCCCAGTCTTCAGCTTCAAATGCCCTCGGAAGCTCAGCAAATCTGGCGGAATAAAACATTGCGCTTACCGAAACAAGGGGAGCCTAGAACATAAAATGGCCACAGGCGGTGCCCAGGCAGAAAGACCTGATGATGACGGAAGAACTGGAAGTGAAAAGCAAATGGGAGCATGATGATAACAGGGCAAGGAAGGAGGTGGTTTTGGTAAAAGAGATAAAAAATTTCTATGTGCAACAGTTGCCACTTGCCCGTCGATTCACTGTGCTCCCTACGTATCGGCCAACAGTTGTTTATTCACCACTTGTGCTATATTCTAGTCAAGGCCTCGTAAAGCTTCCACAAACCACAACCACAACCTTTTCATTAGTCCTCCATGATGATGATAATAACAAAAAAAGAAGAAAAATATTAGAAAACAACGATTTGGCAAGATGGAAAAAATAGACTAAAAAGAGCAAAAAAAAAAAGGAAAGAGGTCAGTTTAACGTCATGACCCAGGACGGAGTTGATGACCAGTCTCCTGAGAGAACCGGTAGCACCGCCTCGAAAGAGAGCGGTGACCACTCGACCATGCAGATGCATTGCCTCGTGGCGGTAGATTGATAGATAATTTCCCCTATAGCTTAATAGCAGTAGCACAGGCACAGGCCAAGTTACCTTGGTACTACCTACAGGTTCTACAGGTACATACCTAGGTATGGGACATTGAAGATGAGGTGCAAACGCTGCTGGTGGAATCATCCTCATACTCATACGTACCAGGTAGCCAGAAGATGCATACAAAGGCTCCTCAAAGTCCTCATGCGACCCGATTGTTGCGCGTATTTGAAGTTTTTTGGACAGGGTAGAAGATCGCCGCTCTCCTTTGTGATTCCACATCAGTTTTCATGTTTGTGGCAGTAATAATGTTTATTCCTTGTGCTGGAATGCTTTACATTGGCCTGATCTAGGGTCTGTCAGCCTGTTCAAAAGCACATGTCGGAGCGTTTGTTCACAACAAGATAGGTAGATTGTTGTGGCCTCAGAGAAGCATAGGGTCCCCCCTTCACTTTGGTGACTTCACGTACCATGAGAAGATGTCTATCCTCATCCTGCTTACTGAAAGTACGCTTAACAAGTAGCAATCCTTATACTGGACAGCTGCGCCTTAGCATGATGTCGCGATCGCTAAGGCATGACGCCCTCATTAGAACCTGCTTGTCAACAATTGAGCATACGGCAATCTGCAGCGCGTTGCGTCTGCAGTATCTCACCTTGACAAGACCAGTTTTCAGGGTGGTAGGGGGTAGTTCTTCTGTCTGGGCCATCTTGATTGGCGATCATCTTCAGCTACGTCTGCAGGTTCTGGCGAGGCGTTGAAGGTTTGCATTTTGACCGTGCTACTGCCCTCGATAGAGAAGATGAAGCAAGCGACACCAGGTCGGGACTCTAAAGAAAGAGAGGTTGAGAGAGTCGCGTTGGGCATTGCAAGCGAAAGATTGAATGGAAAGGGGATGATAGAAGATATTGGGAGTGATGGAGAAGAAACAACATGCCATTTTGGTCAGCGACCATCTGAGGCGCAAATATTGACCGCGCTATTATCCTCGATCGGTATTCTACTGGATATTTTTCCGACAATGCCTATCTTGAGATGCGTAATTGTTTGATATCCCAGATGGTAGTATATAGCAACCACAACCTAGGCTCATGTCACTCTGGCTCATGATATTACGCTTTATAGGTAGTATCAAATAGACCCTTGATTGTCAACTACATACACCTATGTACCTCGCCTAGGGGGCAGAGTCACTAAACGACGCTGATAATGTAGGCTACGTAACACTTTATGCATCATCTTGACCTTCGCATGATACTCCGTCCCATCAATCCCAACAGAAACAAGTATTCTTTTGCTCGTAAGCGGCGTGTCCACTGGTCCCAACACATTGATATCGCCAAATATGAGCAAGCCACTCTTCTGGCGGCTGAGCATCACGTTGAATCTATGCTCATCCGTCGTGAACCCCGGCCCGACAGCCTCAGTAGTCCCCAGAATGGCAACAACAATATCCGCTTCGCAGCTTTGACTGGAATCGACGGTCTCAGCGGGTCGCATCGCCGAAAGAAGTGCATATCGGGCTGCCTTTCGTCGGCCAGCAATAAGCTTCACATTGGCCCTATACGGCGTAATTATCGCTAATCGAGAGGCATCAGCGCCTGTGGTTCGAACAAAATCGGAAAGGAAATCCAGTGCGTTGTCGACTTGGTCTGGATTCTTCTTCGCCCCCGTCATCAGATCGATTTCGCAGGTGGTACCTTTGCAATGGACAAACACCTCACTCAACGTACCGACACTCGATGGTGTCAGGCTTGGGAATCTTCTGGTCATGTATGTCTCTAATTGGACTCCAATATTGTGAAGAGAAAGATTGCTGCCTATGCCGTACGTAAATGGGAGGTCGCTATATAGCTCGCGATGGCACGTGTCGAAAAGGCCTCTGGCCATTCGCAGTTGAACGCAGAGACGGTAGATTGGCCATCCTGATGCTGTGAAAAACTCCAGAGGCGATACCAAGCCGTCTTGTGCAAAACGGTTGATGGCGATGTTGGCTGGGTCGGGGTCGTATGCCGTGGTGACGTGAGGGCGGAGCTGCTTTTCATCACCACTCAGAAGGCAGGGTAGAAGAGTGTTACCCCAAGCACTGTAAAGATCTGGTCGAGATATATTTCCTGCTTCATCAACTGCGATACCCTTGGCACGTCCCTTCCAAGTTCTGTAAGGAAGATCGCACGACAACGAAGGCGTTGTGCAGAGAATGTCGGCTTGCTCAACGATGTGAAGTAACATGCCGGTGATGAAACCTTTTTGGACCGTCTCTCTCTGATATTCTTGCCAACTGATTCTTCCGGTAGCGGCATCGCAAAGACGGGCAAACTCTGGCCTGGCATCCATGTCCCTCTGCATCTGCTAGATGCAATCGGGATCATCCTCATGAAGATGGCGAACAGCAGAGGAGCGGAGGACCATCAGGAGCCAGAAACTGGGAGAGAGATTGAGCTTGTAATTCGAATCTGCTCTCCACTTGGTTGCCGTGGTACTGCCGCTGCGAGGATTGCGTAGAAGGCCGATGAAGGCATCATATTCGTCGCGAAATTTGTAACCACGAACAACCAAAGCCCGCCGCCGTCGAATCAAGTTGCATTTATTATATCGATCGGTTACTCTCTGCGTTATGCGGTTCAATCTGTCGGCAAATGTGTCCGTCGCGACGTGTGTGGGAGCCAAAGCGTATATTTTTCCCAAAGTTGCCGCCATACCAATAGTTGCAACAGAGATGGCGGTTGTTTTGCCGAATCCGGGACCCTGTGTATAATGAAAGGTTAGAAAACGTCATATGAAAGATGAAGGAAAGGATGCTTACAGCAGAAATGCAGCCTAGACCAAGAGGTCTTTTGGCCATGTAGTTGTAAAAGCGAGTACGGTCCTCGGGAAGCACCTCCAAGAGCAGAGCGGTGATAAACCCATCATCGATATCGAGGTAGTTGACAACTGGAAGGGACCTTGGCGCATGGTTTATTTCACAAGACTCATCGCGCACAAGGAGATGGTAGAATCCGTTGCCGCGCAATAAGGCCCGGTGAAGTGCCATCTTGAATCTGACATCTTGAGGGGCTTCAGCAGTTGACGGCTGAGCTTGCGGGTGGAACATGCAAACAGCGTCGACCTTTCGCTTACACTCCTTGATTTGGTCGTCAAACTTCAGAGACACAGAGTTCCACCGATTGTGGTCTTCTCGCAGAGCGGCGTTGGCTGTTGCCCGGCTGTTGAAAACATGGACCTCGAAGTCAGGGCGGCGTTGGGAATCAAATGGTCGTGGCCTGCGAACGCGGAGGATGAGATCGTTGTCGCGAATCTGATGGCGAGCCATGATGGCAAGGCCTCTAGGATACTCCATGATTTTGGCATCCCAACTCGCGGGCTTCTCGTCGCCATTGTCATCGCTGTCGAAGAGCTTGATCTGCAGGAACTCGTCCTTGATCAACTGTGGCCATATTTCTCGGAATCGTTGAATGAAATTATCCTTGAGAGGTACGACCGCATAGAATTCGTTGACCAGAGAGTTGTCTTCCACCTTGACGAAATAAGCGCGTAGTCGTGTTTCCGCAACTTGTTGAACCTCCTTGTACAGCCACATGATGTCCTGTACTTGAGACTGCGTCATTGCAGCAAGGTGTTCATTATCGTTGTCGAAGGTCAAAGCAGCGACAAACTGGGGGCCACGGTGTGTGAAGAGCTGCTCGTTGTATCGTTCTAAAGACCAGGAGTGGTCCTCGCCATACGGGTACCGAAATGGTCCAGGCAGCTCCTGAGACCAATATTTTTCCAAGACACGATCGCCCGAAGCAACCACGAACGAGAACTTCCGCTGCTCGATAATATCAACGAGCGTCATGTCTCCCACAATTGGTTCGTTGTGGTTAATCCACCCATCGCTCGGGTGATCGAGGTGATAGAAGGGAATGCCGAATCCCTTTACGGTCACATACGTGCCCTCCTTCAGATACACATCCAGCCGACACATTACTTTCTCGGTATACGGAAATGATGCAAGTAGACTCTGCTCAACCTGTTGAATCAAATAGGGAGAGTCTGCAGGAAACTCGATCGTCACTTTGTAGTCTTCCTTGGGACGATTAGACAGAAGCGTGCGGTTCCCTGATATTTGACTTAGTTGAGTTTTAGAAAAAGAAAACAGACAGCTTCGCTTACATTCATGACACTTTCCAAAGCCATTATCCTCGCTATTGGCTCCAAATGGGACTTTAATGGTAAAACCCAGCCAAGACGTTCGGTCATTTTCTCTGTGCACTTGAAGTCTTGTAGTAATGAGCGATGGAAGCCCTAAGCTTTTGCCACCAAAAAATCGGTTGCCGATGAGGAGAACGCATGGCTTCCACAAGTGAGGGTGGCACGGCTCGGTAATAGCTTGTTGAGACATCTTGAGCTTGGTGGCGGAGGAAGAGAGAGAGAGATCGAGGAAGAAACAACGATAAAAGGTCGCCTTGCTCGTGAGAGACAAGGGACAAGAGAATGGGGGAGAAGATGATGAATCGAAAGAAAAGAGAGGCGGGGAGTGAGTTGTTGGTGTGTGGAGAACAAACGCTCGAAAGAGACGTTGTGTCGAAAGAAGTGCAAACGCTCGAAAGAGACGCTATGCCGAAGGTAGAACAAACGCTCGAAAGAGACGTTTTATCTAAGGAGAAACAAACGCTCGAAAGAGACGTTTTATCTAAGGAGAAACAAACGCTCGAAAGAGACGCTATGCTAAACCCCGTTGACTCAGCGCAGGAAATGACGAGAGGAGAAGAGAAAGAGATTCTGCCCACCACGAAAGACGGTTTGCTGGATTTGAGAAGATGAAGAGAAAAGAGAAAAGCGCTAGAGCGGGTGAAGGGCAGTGAGAGCAATTTGATTCAATCGGATTTCACTGAATCACGTTGCCAGCTGCCGACTCGCGAGGTGCGTCACTGCATCTAAGCACTGTGACACCAAGCATAAAATACCTGGAGGAACACTTGGAGAAGCTCTTTGGAAGATAAAGCTGGAGGAAACTAGTTTACGGTGAGCTTTGCAAACAGCTCAGAGGAAACTAGTTTACGGTGAGCTTTGCAAACAGCTCAGAGGAAACTAGTTTACGGTGAGCTTTGCAAACAGCTCAGAGGAAACCCATCACAGCGGCTTCTGACATCCCCGAAGCAGCTCTGAGGGTTAAGCAATGACCTGCGGAGTGGCAGAGCTGTGTAGTACTAGGTAATCTTGACGATTGACAAAGCGTAGGGCAGCCAAACAGATGTGGTTGGTTTTTCCCGACATAATAAGAACTACGTCGGTTGGCTTTATGGATAACTCTCAACGACTCATCTTGACGGCTTGTCCAAGAGTGCTGTGCTTAATTTCTAGGTATCCCCTAGCTGCAATTCCGAACAGTTGCTGTGTCGCTTCCCAGACCTCGACTCGCAGCCGTGTGGGCGTTAAATGCTTTCGGCATTCAGCGCCGGTACCTCTGTGTCGTACTGGGTATGTTTGAACTCTCTACCGCCTGAGATTTGGTTGCCCTCACTCCGATTCTATAACTTGAATTTTGCAGAAGGCGTCAAAAAGACACGCCTCTCTGTCTATAGTTGCGCCCTGAAGAGAAAGCTCATATAACGAACAACTGCCCCTTCGTATGATGGCTCGAGCGTCTGCGATCAACGTTTCCATGACCTGCTTCTCGACAGTTGAGCATAAGGCGATTTGCAGCGCCTTCTATCAGCGGTGCAGGAGAGACATATTGGATTATGGTGAGGTCATTTTACAATCATTAATTGCCGACTACCAGCCGCTGTCAATAAATGCAACACCCGTGCGAAGAATAGAAGAACTGTATTTCATGACACGTCGCGCCTGAAGTCTCTTCCCTTAACATTTCCAGCGCCCGCAGCGTCACTCGTGTTGAGGTCTTGCTGCATCAGAGGTCGAAGATGAGGAGACAAATGTTCTTGAACAAGAACTTATTCAACGGGTTTGGCTCACAAATCGAAGGTGTCTGAGAGAATATATCGTAGCTATCGAATTTCTGCTTGTTATGTCGCTGATTTTGCTCTTAGCAGCGTAGTCGGACGGAGCGTCTAGTGGGAGACCTTTCCGCATCAGAAGTCCAAGATGAGGAGACAGGTGTTGTTCATGGAGAACGTTTCTAACGTCTTTGGTCTATCAGACGAAGGTATCCGATAGAATCTCTCTTATTCAAGTGAGCCTTCAGCTGAGGAGGGAGAGCGCGGCTCGACGACACTTCAGAGGCAGAGTACTCGGAGGAGAGCTAAGCTGAGAATTTCTGGTAATAAAACCCACTTCGCCATCTTCGAACATCTTCGAAGCCAAGCGATAGTAGCCTAGTGACATGAACTTAGCTTGTGGTCAGTATATGGGACAGGCGTCGTTGAACAAGCATCTAGTGAAATACTGATCGAGGGCAATACCGCGGTCAAAATGTGAGCCTTCAACTCTTCGCCATAACCTACAAACGCAGCTGAAGATAATCGCTAATCAAGCTGACGTGCTCTACCGAAGGCAGCAGCGCGGTTGAGGGTGGTAGCGAGGTAGAGATGTGAATCTCCAATACCCAGCATCTGTGGGCGTTTACGAGATCCAGACCCGCCAGGCCCTCCAGGGTCAAGGGTATCACTTCCTCTTCCCGGTTGCTGCTCTTGCCACATATGATGCCGGGCTCCAAATTGCCAAAGATGATCAATATTCAGCCGTACAAATATCCCACAAAGGCTGAATTGGCATTGACCGGGCTCACTTCTGTATATTTACATGGGTTGCCAACCTATGCTGCCCACGTTACTCCGATTCAAGACACCCCTCTTGTCCACCTTTGCATACCGCGGCGCCTGGCCGGAGTCTCCTTCATTGGCAGTTCCAAGCCTCTAGGCTCAATCGCTTGGAATATAAATGACCTTCAAAACCCAGCGAGCGATCTTTGCCTTATCACTGCCCCTTTTTGTAAATGGGCCCGGAACACCGCGTTGGCGTCATACTTATTTGACAACCCAAATGACTGAAAACCTCTCCCTGACCTCCTGGATACGAATTGGAGCTTGATGAACCACCTTGGCCAAATTGCTGCAAGCACGTACCTACACAAGCAGATTCAGCATCTTATATATGCTAAGAATATGGGAACCCTCCAAATGGGGCAAGGATTCTCTCTCCATATTAATGCAGAAGGTTTCGTTGCAGTGGTGGGAGCTCCTCCTCTTACGCGCGCTCAGCTAGAAGCTCCTGTTGAGATTTTCCTTCACGGTGACGGTGGATAAGACCTGATGAATGCTGCAATCGAAGAGTCACTGCCACCAGTACTTGGAGAAGCAGGCGACTCAGACCGGAGGTAATATCTCCAGCGCCTTCAGGTATGGGTGGATCAATTATCGACAAATGGACGCGTCTGCTTGGCGTCACCGGGTGTGACCCAACTTATATGCAAGTTCTTCTATGTTGTGTCTTAAATAACACAAATTGCATTCATGAGGTGTATATAGGTGCATCTATGCCCAGTGATTTTGATCTAGATTGAATGATGCCCATTTCATGCTAGAGACCCCACTTCATTCTCCGTCTTTCCCGTTATCTCTATCTTCTCCATCGTTTTCTCATATGCCATATCACTTCTTCAGCCCCTTGATCTCCTCTTTGAGGTCTTCAATCTCCGTCTTCATAGAGGTCACAACATCCGCGGTAACCTTCATAAACATGTGCGTCTGTTGACGCATCTTGGCCATCTCCTCTTTCAAGTCGGCAAGTTCCTTTTCCACATCGACTTTATTCGACGCGCTGCTGGGGACCCCTGGCAAAGTCATTTGCATCAAGACACTGTCGAATTCGAAATTTTCTTCACGTGTAGAAGATCTCTCGGTCGGAGTCTCGGTAGTCGAATCGACCGCGGGACGTTTCTTACCACTCGAGGTTGAGACTTGAGGAGCAACTGTCTCAGTTTCGTTGGACTGTTTGTCGTTCTTGGCTCTCGACTTTCGGTAGATGGTTGGAGTGTTCTTCAGTTTTGGCCACATCTCTCTGTATTCCCTGCCCGTTCTTGTATCCGTGTCGAAGATTCGGGGTCGAATCGTGTCGTGATATGCCGCCATGTAATCGTCGGTATGGTCCTCCGGATTGGTAATAAATCCCTTTGCGCGGACTTTGCGCAGGTAGGAGTGTGGCAGATCCTTGTACATTGCCTTGAGCATCAAGAAGATGGGCCATGTGTTCATCTCATCCTTTCCCATGGCGCCACGGTACAATCGATGCTTGGAAATGCTTTGGCGTGAGGATAGAGTATGGGCAAACTGTTTGCTAATGATGAGGTGTCTCATTTGCTCCTGCGTGTTTGTATCCATCTGCGATGCTTGCTCCCAGTATGCTTGTACGCATGCAATACCATCTGCGAAATCTTCATCGTCCTTCCCGAGGTCTAGGCTCGCGATGGTCAGCTCTCGAGGCACGTCAGCATCCGATAAGCCTTCGTCGTCGTCGTCAATCTCCGGCTCCATGCTCGTAATGCTGGGCTCACGGGAAAGCGAAACAAGTGCCGTATCCGCTGTGGCTGCGTTAGATGAATTTTTGTCTTCATCAATCTCCTGCTTCAACCCCGTGATGTTGGGTTCGTGAGGGGCGGGTCCAGCATCCGTCATCATGGCGGCGTTGGTATGTGTGGTGCGAGATGCTTGGGAGAAGAGAGTTGAGAAGAGAAAGAGAAAAGATTTCTCACACGTAAGGCACGCGTAAGTTCCCCCTTCGTGGCGCGCCAACGAGTTTGCGGTGAGCGCCAGCAGAATAGGTGGAATTTGAACTGTCGCGCAGCTGCCAAATTACTGGACGGAGAGGTGGCCAGGGAGAACAACAAAGAAGGAGGTTTTGACAGCGACTGCGGTGCCCTTCAGAACGTCTTGTCTTGACGCAAAAAGAGCTGGATCCTCGGAATATGCTGCCTCCAAGAGGATGGAGATTGGCGAAGCGGGTGTACATCCTCGACTCAAAAGCAGGGGCTTGCCGTCATATATCGCGGCACGGCTGTGTCTATGCGTCTATCAGCGTGGAACTGGCCCAAATAAATCGACTCGAAATATAGAGCCACTGATTTCTCGCACACCTTGAATTGGTTTTCAGTCGCTATCGCCTAATGTTGTTTCTGGAACCACAATCTACGCCAATGGTCCCCCCCTTTCTTGGTAGTAAAGACTCCTACAATCCCCAATCACAACTTTTCAATCGTCGTTCTGAATCATGATGATACATAATATAAGGATAAAAGAAACGACAAAGTGACGATTGAATGAGATAAAAAAAAGGGGGGGCAAAAAAGAAAAAAAAAAAGAGGATAGGGGGTCAGTTTAAAGTCATGACCCAGGACTTGAAGCTGAATCTAACGATGACAGCTGGTCGACCAAGTCTAACGACGATGGCGGTTACCACTCGGCCATATGACCGAGGGCGATAGACTGATAGTTAATTTCCCCTATAGGTTTACAGCCGGCACTGGTACTCTCTTCGTACTACGAGAGAGACACTCAATGGTGAGATGCTGAATGAGGAGGTTGAGCTGATTGAATGAAGTATATTCATCCCTATATCTGTAACGCTGCAATGGGTCAGGAAAGGTCCATCTCAGAAGTGAGAAAGGGCGCCAAGAGGGAGTCACACGCCTGGACCGTCCGGGTAGCTGATGCAGGTTACGTCTAAAGTTCCTAGACTCACCCCAAGGACAAGATTCTGGATGTTCTCGCATATGATGCCTGGAAGCCAAATGCCAACAAAACTACTATGTAGTCAACATGGAGCCTGATACCTCTTCTACGAAGGCCGAGCTTGCAACGATGGGTCTTAGCTCTGTGTATCTAAAGGGTCTGCGCTGCTACAGTGGGCATGTGGCTCCTTTGGAAGAGACCCCTCTGGCGACACTCTGCGTCCCAACTTCCCTGGCCAGCAACTCCTTTATAAAGGATGGAATACCTTCTGTTCGAGGGTCCCTTGGAGTTGCTGCTCAGCATCATAGCGTTGGGACCATCCCAGGTCTGACCACATTGCGGAGCACGCACCATATGATCACATCACGAAGCGTCAGCATTTTGATGGACCGTATTGGTGAGGGCAACACGTCTCTACACAGGCCATAGAGTTAATGTTCTGCTTGTTCGAGCAAAAGTCAGAGGAACGTCAAAAGCGGGTTGTAACAGAATCGCTTGTCTAATGTATTGCTATGTGCTCCCATTTTTTACATCCTTGGCCCGTGATGACGCCGTCTCTAAAGTGATTCCCAAGATCAGATTACAGCTTGGCAAACAGACCCTTTGTTGCCCCCTTGCCCAGTTGAACCAAGGTGCTCTTGACCCGCATATACGCCATGATGCCTTCGAATCCATTTTCTACGCCAACGCCACTCATTTTCCATCCACCTACAGGCATCTCGGCCGGAGACTCTCCCCAAGTATTGATCCAGGTAATGCCAGCTTGCAATTCTCGAATAACATTTTGCGCCAAACTCAGGTCTGTAGCAACGACGCCAGCTGCAAGACCCATCTTGGTGTCGTTTGCGCGGCGAATGAGCTCGGGGAGCCACTCCTCTTGGGATTTGCCTTGTGTCTTGTATGGTAGGACAGCCATGACGGGGCCAAATATTTCTTCGCGAACGATGCGCATATCGTCGGTACAGTTGGTAAAGATGACTGGCGGGACCCAGTATCCGTCGGGTGTCGGCTTGTTCTTCTGCGCGTCGACGGCACCGTCGTATAAGACCTTGGCCTTGTCGGTTTCTTTGCCGTGGCGGATGTACATGTTGACCTTGTCCCGCTGAGCAGCGCTGACGACGGGGCCGTAGTTCGTCGTTTCGTCCTGGGGCAAACCCATGCGAATGCCCTCGCGACAACGTTTGACGAGAGCCTCTTCCACGCGTGGCAACAGTGTATCGGGGACAAAGACGCGGGTGCCATTTGTGCAGACTTGGCCGGTGGAAAAGAAGTTGGCTGCCATGGCAATGTCGGCTGCTTCGTCGACGTCGGCATCGGGGAGGACGACGAGCGGGCTCTTACCACCAAGCTCCATGGTGATGCCCTTCATGCCCTTGGCAGCCTCGCTGGCTACCTTGCTGCCTGTGCTGACCTGGCCTGTGAAACTGACTTTGGCGATGCCTTCGTGGGCGACGAGGGGAGCTCCCACGCTGGCGCCGTCACCGTAGACGACGTTGAACACTCCAGGTGGCAGACCGGCTTCGACGTAGATTTCGGCCAATGTGTTTCCGTGAAGAGGCGTCACTTCACTTGGCTTGTAGACCATGCAATTTCCGGCCGCGAGACAGGCAGCAGACTTCCACAGAGCAATCTGAATGGGGTAGTTCCAGGCGCCAATGCCCGCGCAAACTCCTAGAGGCTCGTGGCTGGTGAGGACGTAGGCATCTGGCCGCAGGGTAGTGTGCTGTCCGGGCTGGCTATTGGCAATAAAGTGTGCGTAGTACTCGAGGACATCGGCCCCAGTCACCACATCAACGGTCGAAGTCTCGGACCAAGCCTTGCCCGTGTCCAGCATCTCCGTGCGGGCGAGCGCATCGTTTCGCTCCCTCAGGATGGCGGCAGCGCGGAGGAGGATGGCAGCGCGTTTGGGAGCGGGTGTCTGCGACCATGTTGGGAAAGCCTTGTGAGCAGAAGAAACAGCGTCATTGAGCTGCGAGGGTGTTGTGGTGTAGATTGTCGCCAGTGGTTTGGCGGTGCTGGGATCGAGAGACTGGAAGGTGTGCGACCCTGAGGATTGCGGCTGGGGTTTTCCAGAGTGAAAGGTGTGAATCTCTTTTGAAAAGGTCATGTTGAACTTGATAATATGTCACAGGCTGTGATTGATTGACGCCTTGAAGCTTCAAGTTTCGTGGTGTTGTTGACGTTGAAGTTGGAGCTGGACAGTGACGTCGATCTTGGCTTCAAACGGTACCAGCACAGGAACGGGGAACTCCGTTGGTAGCAGGAGATTTCTCAAGTACTGTACTGTACATGTACCGACCACTCCACCGCCACAACGGCGATTGTTCTTCTACGAGTACTAGCTCAGGACATGACAAGTCAAGTCGGCCATTGTTGGTGCCATTACCAATTGAATGGATTCGAGACGAGACGGAATCAACACTGTATTCGCCGCTGTCTCACCTGTCAGGGACGCCGTTTGCATTACAGGCCGTTGTGGGGAGGATACGGGGCTTCAGCGTCTCTGTCTAGGGCGAAGCGACTGCTAAGACACGCTACTGTCGGCCATGAGAGCATTTACCTGCATCCGGCAACTAGTCGTAAGATACAGAGTACGGAGTAGAGGGGGACGAAATAGCAGGAGAAGAAAAAAAGAGACAGGAGAATCCGCCATACGTCACTGATGGATCCTGAAAAGTGAGAGATGCTAAACATCCCCGTCCGGCGGTGGGGGCTCCGAGTTGATTGTGCCGGCTCGGCTTGGCAAAGATGCGAGTGGATATGCACGATCGGTCAGGAGAGGCCGAGGTGCCTTTTGACACGTACGGGATGGTGAATAGAATCATGATATAGTGTGCATATATCTATGTATAATATAATATTACAATGAATCAATGGTGTATCAGTATAACCTGGATATTGAACAGGAACATTATCGTGGTGATGATCTAGGGGGCTCGAATCCGGGGGCTCGTATTAATCACCAAGATACGGGGTACGGCTTCAATCCCAATACCGTCAGTTCAGCTGAAGAAATCAACAGAGCGCCTGAAGCCACACTATTACTAAAGAATAGGCCATATTCTGCTAGCATCGCCCGGGCTGCGCTTGTAAGAAAAATTATGCAGCCACCGTAATAATAATTGTTCCGATCAGAAGCCAAAAAAACTTCGATGCAAGCAAATGGCTTTTCGATGTAGAACAAAGTTCAGATGTCAAGGTACATGGATACGTACTCACGTCAAGTGGGACACCCCAGTACGATTAGCCCCGCTTTCCCACTCCAATCGCTACAGATATCCCGGTCCCAGCCAATCAACTCCCGCTTTACTGCCCGGATCAACTTAGCCCCGTCTCTCGTTCGACGCTCCACTCCGCCCTCCTGCATCAATCAGCTAAGCCTGGCCTCAAACGCCTCAAAATAGTCATGATCTTCACCAGCCAACGCTCGAAAAGGCTTCTAAACAGCACAACCACCAGCCTCTTCCCCCCGCAACGGATTTCCGACAAGTCCCATCTCTTGCTTTGCCCATCCAGAGCCCGCGCAAATGTCACTCTTGGCACTCTGTGAACCAGGAATCCTCGGCCCAGTGGTGGGAATACATTCATGCTAGCAGCATCCCTTGACGTCATTCCAGCACGACAGACACACTGTGCGGAAAGACGCCATGCCACAGCCAAGCCAGAAACCATGGCGCCGAACCAGCGGCTCTTTTTGACAGGAGCCCTGAAGATCGATTCGATTGGGCGAGGCGGGAGTAAGATTCTTCTTTTTTTTTCTCGCGTGCTTCTGTTGGCTGCGTTGGATGAGGCAGCGACTCCGTGTCCGTCCGCCTCAGCCCACTCGCTCACTCTCATCCTGATTGCAGACTCCACCGCAAACATGCGAAATCAAGCCAATGCCTCTCTGTGACGAGTCCGTTGCCAGCCGTGCCCGTTAGCGTCAATGGCGACTTTGTATCTGCTCGTACCGTGGAGGTGGCTTTGGCTGGAGGTGTACGAGTTTGAGGCTGACTCGCCTGTTCCTGTTCCATTGTGCTCATAAATATCGCCGTCTTCCTGTCACACTGTCCGCCTGATCTCGAGGCTACTGATTCTGCTGGATACAGACATTCTTTCCACTGCAGCCTTGCCCTGTCAAATAGACAACAACAAAAGTCTTGTTTCAAGCCCAGTTGACTCTGTGAACCCAGATCTGGATTTGGCTTCATGCGTGCGTTTTATACTTTAAAGAGAAAGCCGCAGCCAGAGTAGACTATAAAGACTCACTCTTCCCACAAGACATCCTCTTCATCCATCTTTTCCAACCTTTACGACACCATGACTACCCGCTCCCTTCCTAGCAATGGCAGCTCTGCCTTTGACTACATCATCGTTGGTGGAGGCACTGCAGGCTGCGTGATCGCCTCCAGACTCTCCAGCTATCTGCCCGAGCGCCGCGTTCTTCTCATCGAGGCTGGCCCCTCCGACTTTAACCTCAACCACGTCCTCAATCTGAGAGAATGGCTGAGCCTGCTGGGCGGCGAGCTAGACTACGACTACGGCACGACAGAGCAGCCCATGGGTAACAGCCATATCCGCCATTCTCGTGCCAAGGTTCTTGGAGGATGCTCGTCACACAATACGCTCATTTCCTTCCGTCCTTTCCGTCACGACATGGACCGCTGGGTTGCTCAGGGCTGCAAAGGCTGGACCTTTGAGAATGTCACTCGTCACATTGACAACCTTCGCAACACATTCCAGCCTGTCCACGCTCGTCACCGCAACCAGCTGTGCAAGGACTGGGTCCAGGCCTGTGCCGATGCTCTCGACATTCCCGTCATCGACGACTTCAACACCGAGATTCGTGAAAAGGGCCAGCTCACACAGGGTGCGGGCTTCTTCAACGTCTCGTACAACCCAGACAACGGTCGCCGAAGCAGCGCTTCTGTCGCTTATATCCACCCCATCCTGCGTGGTGAGGAGCGGCGACCAAACCTGACTATCCTGACCGAGGCTCACGTCTCCAAGGTCTTGGTGGAGAATGATGTTGCCAGTGGTATCGTCCTGCACTTGGCATCTGGGGAGAAGACGGTATTGAAGCCCCGCAAGGAGATAATCCTTTGCGCTGGTGCTGTTGATACGCCTCGCCTGATGCTTCACTCTGGTCTTGGGCCTCGCTCGCAACTCGAGGGTCTGGGACTTCCCGTCGTGAAGGATATTCCCGGCGTTGGCGAGAACCTGCTTGATCACCCAGAGACCATCATCATGTGGGAGCTCAAGACGCCAGTTCCTGCCAACCAGACCACCATGGACTCGGATGCCGGTGTCTTTATCCGCCGAGAACCCACCAACGCTGCTGGCAAGGACGGAGATGCCGCCGATATCATGATGCACTGCTACCAGATTCCCTTCACACTCAACACTGAGCGTCTGGGCTATCCAAAGATTCGCGACGGCTATGCATTCTGCATGACTCCCAACATTCCCCGACCTCGATCTCGCGGCCGCATCTATCTGACCTCCGCCGACCCGGCAGTCAAGCCGGCTCTGGATTTCCGGTACTTTACCGACCCCGAAGGCTACGATGCCGCCACCTTTGTCGCTGGAATCAAGGCTGCTCGTAAAGTTGCCGAGCAAAGCCCTTTCAAAGAGTGGCTAAAGGAAGAGGTCGCCCCCGGCCCCAAGGTGCAGACCGACGAACAGATTAGCGAATACGCTCGCCGTGCCGCCCACACTGTCTACCACCCTGCCGGTACCACCAAGATGGGCGATGTGACCAAGGACGAGACAGCTGTCGTGGACCACGAGCTCAATGTCCGAGGGATCAAGAAGCTGCGCATTGCCGACGCCGGCGTGTTCCCAGAGATGCCCTCCATCAACCCCATGCTTACGGTGCTGGCCATTGGTGAGCGGGCGGCCGAGCTGATTGCCATGGAAGAGGGCTGGAAGCCCAAGACGTCGAGACTGTAGATGAATCTACACATTTCATTGGACGGAGTACAACCGGAGTTGGCACATAGATTTATTTACTAGATGGTAGATTAAAAAGGGACGAGCAGCGCTTGTGGTATTTGACCTACTGCGCGATAGACTCGTCGCCACCTGTATTTGTTTCTCTGACGTCTTTACGATAACGATATCCCTTGGTAGAAGAAAAGAAATAAGAAAATATTGTCTCAATTGTATTAAATGTACTTTGTTCTAGAGCCGTCAAGTTAACATTATCACTGTTGGCTGATGATGACAAAAATGTTGCTCTCTATCCGTATATGCCTCCCATAATCCTTATATACAGGCATATCAAATCATTTCTTGTTGCTGCTGCCAGTCGCCCAGGTCGATGCCCATGCTTCCATTTCTGAGCCGTCTTCGCCATTCTCTGCACTTTCTTCGCCTTTCAATTCCTCCAAATATGAAACAATCTCGTCAATCAGATGAATCGCGCCTTGGTCGGATAGTCGTTGACGAGACCCAAATATTCCAATATCGAGACTTTTCCCATGAATCGATGCTTCGATGTCTATTGCAGCCTACAGTAGCGAAATATGAGTTAGCAGTCTATCATTCGAAGTGAGCAGTCGCGGGGGTTCTTACCGGGAACGCGTCTCTCACGGGATTCTTCCGCAGACAAGGGTGAAACACTACTTCTTCCGCCTCTTGAGCAAACTCTTCGTCTCGGACTTGAATCAGTTCGATATTTGCTGCGTTGCCGTTGGGAGCTTCGGGGATGGCATCGGGAAGACTGAGGAAATTGACAAACGAAGTAATCTTGACTCCTGTCCAAGCTGCAACCTCCCAAAGACCGACATCGGCACGGCCTTCAGCAGCGATAAGGTGAATGTCATTCTGTATCATGTCGGCAATTTCGAGAATGCTGTCGGTGGGTGCCAGTCGAACTCTCAAAGGAACAAGATTGAGCGTCGGGAATGTCAGAGGGAGAGCTTCGTCTGTTCGATTGGCAAGATAAATCCCAAACACGACAATCTTCTTTCCGTCATCACTTGTCACTCCGGTACTTGCTGCTGCAAGAATTTTGGCATATGCTGCAAAGAAGAGTGCTTGTAGGCTGATGCCTTTATCTTTGGCCGCTGTTTGAAGGTACGCGATATTCGACACTGCGGACCGTCGTAAATGCGACACCCGGTGCTTGCCGGCCATGACAGAGGCAGAAGAGTCGTCATCTGAGGAGCAGCCTTGCAGGTATAACGTCCAAAAAGCTCTGCGAGACTGTCGGGAATCTTCAAGGGATGGTTGGATGGTGTATCTTGACCATTCATCAATACCTTGCTCAATCCCGAGAGATTTTCCATTGAGAAGCTCTGACAAACGGTTCATGATTACCGGAATACTGACGCCATCGTAGAGTGCGTGGTGAATCTTTAGCTTGATTGCTATTTTGCCATCTTCTCTTCTCACGGCACCAAGGCTCACCATTGGCCTGACGACAGAATCATCGGACTGGTGACTGGTCTTGAGAATGGCCTGCAAAAGTGGTTGCTGGGGAGAATCTGTGGTAATAAAAACAGTGCGCAGAATCGGGGTCTGAGCAACCAGTGACTGCCAAGCCAACTGCACGTCTTCAACACTGACAGTTCCCTCGACCAGATACCGAAATTCAGGATAAAAGACATTACCCTCCGCATTCTGCCACGCACTGATCATGTAAACTTGCATAGGCAACGCTGGCAGAATCATCTCGACATTGTCCTTGGAAATATGCGCGCCAGCAAGAAGCTCTTCCACGCCAATGTCTTCAGGGGTCCACGTCGTTTCTTTCGGGTGAACAGTGTTGCCGCTTGTCTGCAGAGGCGTCGCAAGTTGCGCCATTTGGCTGATGCTCGTCGCTCTGATGAAATCTCTTGGGTTAAGATAGAGACCTTCCTTGCGCAAGAGAGAAGACAGTTTGATGGCACTGATAGAGTCTAGGCCAAGGTGATAGAGATTACTCTGCGGCCTGATGGACTCTTCTGGAATATCCGACACGTAGCTGAGGATTTTCCGAATCTTCAGAGCAGTCTCGTCAAGTTCGTCTGTTTCTTCAATAGCTGCGCTTTGCCCTTCACCATTAGTCAGAGGTGCATCTCCAGCCAGCGAAATGAACGACAATCCAGCTATCGAAACACGATTTTCCTCGAATGAGAGTATCTCCAGCTCTTTCGAGTGTGTCAGATACCCCAAAACTCGGTCCAAATCTTCCAACAACTGTTCAGCCCCATCTTCGGCAATAAATTGCGACTGGCAAGCGACGCGCCATACGAGATCATCGCCAACAGCTTCCGCCTCGACGCTCACAGGATAGTCAACTGCTGAAGCACCATCGACGGACTTCAACAACGGATTCGCAGATGAGCTGTGTGGGAATTTTTGAAGCATAAACAGCGTGTTGAACAGTTCGCCGCTAGACAAATGCACCGCATTTTGAATCTTTCTCAGCGGATACGATTGATGATCCCGGATATCCGCCATGCTCGCCTCAAGGTATCGTAAAAAGGACACCGAAGTTCCATGCAGAATGCATCTGAGCGCTACTGTATTGATAGTGGCAAACATCAAATCTTCAGCTCCTTCGAAATCGCGACCCGACATGACAACACCAAACGTCACATCCAGGGCCTTGATCTGGTGAGCGAGCACAAGAGCCCAGCAAGCTTGGCACAGCACCTGCAAACTGATGCCCTGTTTCTTGCAAAAGGAGGAGATTTCAGTCATGCGTTTGCTTGCAGGATATTCACTGCGATACAGAGCTTTGTTCACGCCATCTTCTGGCAGTTCTGGAAGAATCGAGGGCTTAACGCCGTCGAGATAACCAGCCCAAAATCGACGGGCATCATCAGTGGCCGAGGCAAATATTCTTTGAAGAAACGGCTTCGCAGATGTTCTCGCCTGCAATTCACCATGGTACGCCGTCTCTAAATCTCGATAAAGTAGACTCAGCGACCATCCATCGTACAAAGCATGCGCAATCGAAACAAGAACAAACGTCTTTGCTTTGCACATCACGAATTTGAGCTGGAACAGAGCATCAACTCCGTGGCTTGCCCTCGCGATCTGTTTTGCATCCTCGATGAGAGCACCCATCTCACTCAAATCTTGCACTTGGACACTTTTGATCTTCTGGCTCCAGTGGTTACGCACAACCTGGCAGTATGCCATATCGAGCTGCAAGTCATCCACTTCAAGGAATCCCGTTCGAAGAATCGGCGATCGGTCGATGACCACAAGGAATGCTTCTCGGAGTTTCTCAACGTCGACCTCTGCTGAAACCTCAAGAACATCGTGATTGAAATACCACTCAAAGTCAGAGTGTATCATCCCGGCAGCCATAGATTCTTGAAGAGGCGTTGGCGGTAGCACATCTTCTACATCACTTGTGTTCAACCCGACCTTTTTGGCATATGACCAGAGCTTCTGCTCAAGTTTGTCGAAAGCAGCGTCTGTATGGCCGTTGGATAGTTCTCCAGAGTGCTGCATCTCAATAGATGCCACCATCTTTGCAATTGTCTGTTGGCGCAGGATTTGAGAAGCGGGTAACAGGATGCCTCTTTGCTTGAGCCTGGCAGAAAGCTGAATCGCATCAATACTATCCAGACCAAGTTCGAGAATTGTCTTTGCAGCTAAAATTTCAGCATCATCCAGGCCGGAAAGCGAGGCGATTGCATCTCTGATGCCAAGAGCCTGGTCAGTCCACTCGAATGTTTGGTCATCTTCGTCATCTACTGACTTGAACCCATTTTGCTCGACTGAAAGCGGTATTCCGTTCTCTTCAGCAGACTTTGGGAACGGAACATCAGCAACCATGAGTCGAATATTCTCTTCAAGTTCATCTAGCATTTCTTGAAGCTTTGACTCATCCGCCACGTATCGTTGTGCAACAAGCGTAAGTTGAACATTGCCATTCAACAACCTTTTGGCTTCAAACGCTAACGGATAATCTGGATTCAAAGGCCCATCCTCTATTTGCCAAAGATTCGGGAATCGATCCCTTGTCTTCCGTTCCACCTCAAACACAAAGAGGTTATCGAACAATTGCCGACCGCTAGCACACCACTTCTGGATACTCTTCAGCGGAACGTGTTGAAACGGCAATATGCTTGTGCTAAACTCGCTGCATTTCTGGATGAGCAACGCCCAGCTTTGGCCACTCAGCGTCTTGTTGAAGAAGGGCATAGTGTTAAAGAGCGGACCTATTGTATTTTCAACTCCGGGAAGATCTATTGATCTGCCAGAGACAATCAGGCCCACTGTTAACCCATCAGGGTAATATTTCTGAAGAACAGATGTCCACAGTGCCATGATGACTGGCTGCAAAGTGACTTTTTGTCTCTTTCGAACATCCTCCAAAGGACTCCCATCGATGGTCCGAACTTCTGAGGCAGCACGATCATGTGGAGATGAAAGCTGAAGGATCGAAGAACTCGTCCAGCCCTGGAGATGGCCTTCCCAATATTTGCGGCAGTCATCGTGTCTCCATAATGGGCCATGAGACAGCGCTTCTATAAATGATGGAGATGGCACCGTAAATCTCCCAGCATAGATAGACTTTAGCCGTTTCAGCATCAAGTCAAAACTATTCCCGTCGTATATCGCATGGAAAATATGAACAACTAGTTTCTTGAAGCTGGGTCCCTTTATTAAAATTGCTTCAAGCGGTGCAATAACATGTTCACTGTTTTGCTGAACCCATTTCTGCCACTGGCTGCCCAAAAACGTATTGGTGTCTTCATCGTTCTGCACAGTTTGTTCAATCCAGCGTAAATCCTGATTCTTCAACGCGACTTGAACATAGCCATCCGTAGTGTTGACAAATGCCGTTCGTAAAATAGACTCGGAATCTATGAGCTCTGTCCAAGCTACCTTTAATCGCTCTTCCGAAGCATCACCACTCAAACTCAGCACAAATGAGTTAAAGTATGTACCTCGTATCTCATCTGTGACGGACTTGGAAATAATTCCCTGTTGGAGTGCTGAACATGGCGCAATGTACTCGATATCTTCTCCCTGAAGATGTAAGACGCTGCAAGCAAGTGCGCGGTATCGATGGTGGTATGCTTGTATCAATTGCTGTGATTCCTTCACGCGGCTGTCCTTATGAGATGGCGAGAGCTTTTCAGAGAGCGCTGCAACAAGGTCTGCGACAATGGGATTTCGTAGCAGAATAGCTGGCGAGCATGCTACAAACCCCCGTTCCTTGAAGAGCGTAGATAGTGATAAAGCGCTAATGGAGTCTACTCCAAGGTCAAAGATGTTTGTCTCTCCATCAATCGTCTCCGAGGCGATACCCGTAAAATCGGACAGTACCTGTATCACTTTATGGCCCGTTTCGCCGTTGACAGATCGAGGAGCAGTCTTTGGTGCCGTCAGATCCATCAATTGCTCATGAGACAAGCCGTTGAATAGCTTCTTCAACTCTTTTGCCTCGACCTTGTTGTTGGGAGACAGCGGGATATATGGAAGGGCCAAGAAATACGTGGGAATCATGTAACCCGGAAGCTTTGCTCGGCATGCTTCTTTGGCCTTTGCGCCCAGATTCGCCTCATCCACCAACGGAGCCAATATGACTTTGGACTGCTGCTCTCCGACCAGGAACGAGACGAGAACATCTTTCCCACTAGATGCATGCTTGATTACAATTGTCGCGACATCTTTAATCTCGGGGACACCAGTGCGAATGACGTGGTTAATCTCGCCAATCTCCAAACGTTGTCCACGGAGCTTGACTTGGTCATCTGCACGACCAAGAAAGTCAAAGCATCCATCATGGAGAATACGGACAAGATCGCCAGTCCTATAAATTCTTTCCCCAAACTCTGAAAGCGTCGGGAATCTCTCTTCGGTAAGTTCCTTGCGATTTAAATATCCTTTACCGACCAATCTTCCAGAAACGCAGAGTTCTCCAACAGCACCTCGCAAGACAGGAATCTCGGTTCCCTTACGGAAAACGTAGGATCCCACGTTGAGAAACTGTTTGCCAATGTTGCTGGGTCTTCCATTGATGGGTACTCTCTGGTACATTGTCACGCCAATCGTCGCCTCCGTTGGACCATACGCATTGTAAATAACTGCTTTCGGTCCCCATGCATCCAAGATTTCTTGTTTGAGCTGTTCACCACCCGTGATAAACACGCCTCTACACAAGCCCGGCACCTCATCTGGATGAGTAAGGCGAGCCAAACTTGGCGTTAGATCAATGTGTGTAATCTGAAGGTTGTTGATGGATGCAATCAAGTCATCCAGAATGAGATCTCTTGGAGCAGCAACGACCGTAATGCCGACCGACCAACTCCAGTATTGCTCCAAGACAGAGACATCGAAATGAAGGGCGGCAAACTGAAGCCATCTAGAATCATCGCTCCAGTGCCCTTTGAAGAGCTCTTGGAAAGCCATCATTGCCTGCACACAGTTGTCGTGTGTGATTTCGCATCCTTTTGGAGTTCCCGTCGTGCCCGATGTATACAGACAATAGCATGTCGTATCAGGGGTGAAAGCACCACGCAGGTCGCGTGGCTGATCAGAAATCGGTTCAATATCTTCAAGATCAATACGTACAACGTTGACGTCTGTATCAAAATCTATGTTGCCATCGGAAGCTGTCAACAAGCAAGGTGCCATTGAGTCTTTGAGAATAAACTCCTTTCTGTCGCTAGGAGCACTAGGGTCAAGCGCAACAAAGGCACATCCAGCCTTGAGAATTCCGAGAATAGAAATGTACGCCTCTGGGCACTTGTCAAAATGAATAGCAATGATGCTCCCTATGGGAGCAACCTGCATTAGCAAGTTGGCCATCTTATTGCCCATCGCGTCGAATTCAGCATAAGACCACACCTGCTTCACCGGACGGGAGCCATCAAATCTGTCAACAAACTCCAGAGCGACATCATCCGGGTGTGATAGGGCCCTTTCTTCAACAAACTGATGCAAAAACTGCACAGGAGCACGCAGCTCTGGTGCAATGGGAGGTGTTATCGCAAAGAGATCCGGCTTCAATCGATAGATGCCATCCTCGTCGCCGTTGGGTTCGGTAGCAATGTGTGTCATCATTGCATCAAATTGTCTGACGAGCAACTCTGCTTGTTCTCTTGGTAAAATGTCACTGAAAAATGTGATGCAAATCTGGATCTCGTCATTATGCGGCTTAACCTCCAATGACACTGGATAATCAACAGTGGCATCATCGTTTACAAGCTTCCAACGCTTCGTGACGCCAGACTCAGTCTCCAGCTTCTGGTAGACTAAGAGTGTATCAAACACGGGTGTCGCAGGGTGGCCCAGCCATTTTTGAATCCGAGTTAGAGGCGTGTGCTGATGCCTATGTGCGTTGGCATTGTATTCCACCATGTAGCGAGTCAACTCAGTATTCGATGGCTGATTCACAGCAACAACAGGAATGGTGTTCATACAAGGAAACGGCGCATCTCGTGTCTCTTCCATGCCACGGCCAGAGAGAATGACACCAAATACGACAGAGTCTTCGCCCAAGTATGAGGAAAGGATTCGTGTCCACGCAGCCTGGATGACTGCCTGGATGGAGACCCCTTGTTTCGTGGTTGCCATTTGCAAGGATGAAAGCGTCATAGAAGCTTTGATATCATGAGAGATCATTGCTCTCTCATCTTCTCGCAAAGGTGTCATGACAGGAAAAGTGTTTATCACTGCCATTTCGGCCTTTTCCTTCCAGAACTCTTGCGTAGCATCTTCTTCATTGAGGCTTCTGGATAGGATAACATTCAATGCAGGCTCAATAGATCGTTGATTGATATTTTGCCCAGCCACAAGCCTTGATAAGTCACCCATCATCTTATCAAGAGAATGCGCATCGTATAGAGCATGGTGTACCAGGACATTCATCATGAGGCCGCCATCAGTCTTCGCCAGCGAGATCCTCCAAGGCGGAAGATGGAGATTGCTTAAGATTGCCGCTGCTTCTTTTTCATTCCATTCTTGCAGTTTATCCTGTGATTCCAGACGGAATATGTGATTGACTGTCTCAATGGATGCTGATGTATCAGAGTATCTCAACATTGCAAATGAGCTATGCCGATGCTGGACTGCAGTAAATCCTGTCCGAAGCATAGGGTGGTGAATTTGAAGGGCTTTCCAGGCACGAATCAAATTGTCCTCTGAAACAGTATTGTCCACTGCATATGACAAAAGGTTGAGATAATTTTGCCCTCGAGACTGGATGAATGACACCAGCATTGCGCACTGAAGGGGTGTACTCGGAAGGATTGCCTCTATGGTCGCAGTATCAGGCACCTTGTCTTGAACCTGAGCCGCAATCTCTTGGGAGAATTTGTCAAAGTTATATCCAGATGCGTCCTCGCCGTCTTTGGAGCTTGCAGATATCCTCTCTGCCAATTTGACACAAGTCTGGCCTTCAATGACATCGGATGCAGACACCATGAATCCCTCTCGTCGAAGCATGGCAGCCACTTGAACTGCGTTTATACTGTCCAAACCCAGCCTGAAAATGCTTGTTTCAGGGTGAATCTTTTGTATTGGTATGCCAGAGAGGCTTGAAAGAACTTGACGAATCTGTTTCTGTAGCTCTGTCCATTCCGCGTCGTTCTGCTCAAGTTCCTCTAATGCCACAAGAGTATTCCTCTTTGCAGTGACAGTCCTCAATACAGATAGATGAGCAGGCTGTAGATAGTTTCTATCGGGTAGAGCAGCAGAAGGATGATCCAGAATAGTTTGGAAAAAATCCTTGAACACCTCGGCAAGTGTTGATCCGACATCCTCACTAAGAGCACCCTCATCATAATGCAAGTTAATAGTGATAGAGTCTGAACTGGAATGTGGAACAACTTCACAAACAACGGGGATATCCATATCTCCATTATCCTCTTCAAGTGTCCATACCCCAGCATCCATGTCTTGCAAGGGGCTCTGAAGCAGCAGCAACGTATCAAAGAGCCTGCGGCCCTCTTTCGCACCGAGTTTCTGAATCAATCGTAGAGGCGAGAACTGATACCTTTGAACATCAGAGTTGAGCCGCTGAAACGACTTGGCTAGATCAATATTGCGAGAAGAAGTGGAAACATCTTTTCTAATTGCAATCGTGTTGAAGCAGGGAGCAACCAATCTGTCGAGACCTTCAATGTCCAATGTGCGGCCATTCATGACGAGTCCGAAACAGACGTCGGTGGAAGTTGAACAGACTGCAAGAGTGTCTGCCCAAGCTGCTTGACATACCGAGAGTAATGATACTCCAAGAGATCTCAGCCGGGTTTTGACCTCGCCATATGACATCTCCAGAGTCTCCCGCTGCGTACGTTGCACAATCTGGCTTCCTGAAGGCTTAATAAATAGAGTTAAGGGATCATAGCCTCGGAAGTGATTGCTCCAAAAGGTCTCAACATCATCAGGCAGACATAGCGCTGCTTGTAGGAAAGGGGCATAAGAGACAGGAGGAAGTAATTGTTCGTCATGCGCCAGTGCTTCTACTTCTTTCCAGAGATTTTCCATCGCTACTCCATCATAGAGGGCATGATGGCATATAAAAGATAAAAGTATCAAGTCTTTCTGCTGGATAATGGCAAAAGAGAGAGGCGGCACTTGTGTATCCAAGGGGTCAGATACGCCGGCCAAATGTTGATGGACAGCTTCATCGAGAGAGGTAACAACAGTAAGCTCCTTCCACTGAATGCTCCAGTTGTCCAAGATGACTTGGGCAATAGGAAATTTAACATCATCAGTAGTGACAAAGCATGTTCTGAGAATACTATGCCGGCGCGTCATCTCATCCCAGTAGCCCTTCATCTCATCAACAGGACGATGAAGGCGCAGAAGAATTCGGTTATAATAGCTCCCTTGGGACAGCATCGCTTCTTGTAAGGGAGAGCACGGTAGTATCTGACCAACCGAATACGCCCCCTGCGCAAAAGATTTGTGGACTTGCTCAGTGAAGGAGTCGGAAAAGAAGACTACGTCCTTTACATCCTTTGCAGGGTCATTTTTTCCCGAGCCATCTTGCACAAATCGCGCAAGCTGTGCGACAGACGAGTGCTGCAAGATTGCCGAAATAGGAACTCGACGCTCTAGCTGAGCATTGAGGCTGCGAGAGACACCAATTGCCGATATCGAGTCCAAGCCGATCGTTGCAAACGGCGTCCACCGACCAATGTCAGATCGGGGCACGCCCAAGGACTGTGAAATGACCTCTGCAATCTTTGTTTCCGATTCGCTCCACTCAGCATTATCCTGTGTCGTTACAGTGCTAGAAACAGTTTCGAGATACTCTTGAGAAAAAGTCTCGAAACAAGACTGCAGTTTTCGCCGATCAACCTTGCCGCTGGATGTAAGGGGTATTTGAGAAACCGGTATCAGATATGAAGGCACCATATATGACGGTAACTTCGACAACAAAGTGGCATATAAAGAGCGATGAGATTCAGTATCGGGATCCAACGTCTTGAACACTTCGTTGGGTCCTTGGGAGAACGTATAGAACGAAGCAAGTTGGTCCGCCGCACCATTTTCTCGTCTAACCAACGTAGTCACCGCGGCGTGGATTGAAGGGTTAGAAGTTATCACGCTGTTGACTTCCCCAGCTTCAATTCTTTGGCCTTTGAGCTTAAGTTGATCATCGATACGGCCAAGTATAAGAAGCGATTTATCCGGAAGCATCCTTCCCATATCACCAGAGCGGTAAATGAGACCATACTCTGGGTGATGTATAAACTTTTCCGCCGTCAGCTCTGGCATATTCAGATAGCCATCAGCGACCTGCTCTCCCCCAAAGCAAAACTCGCCTATCCAACCGATCGGAACAGTGGACAGGCCATCTGGATAAAGCACAAAGATTGATGTATTAGGAAAACACCAGCCGAGATGCTCGATATACTCGCCCGGCTTCATCCGCTTGACGGTGCAAATATTCGTCGTCTCCGAGGGCCCGTATCCCTGCCACAGCAAGTCTCCCCAAGTATCGAGAACAGACAGAGGCATGGGCTCGCCTGCCGTAACTAGAAACTCAACGTCGGGAACATTCTTGGGGTCAATTAGAGACGCCACTGTGGGCGTCAAACTGAGGTGTGTAATCTGAAACTGGCGGATTGAATGCTCCAAATCCTCGAACAAGTCATCATTGACAGCAGCACAAAGACACATGCCAGAGTGCCAAGTATAGAAAATCTCAAAGACGGATACGTCAAATGCCTGTGAACAAGCTTGTAATAGCCGACCGGCCTTTCTCTGCATGCTGGGGTATACAGACGCGAGATATGTAACATTGCTGACAATGTTTTTCTGACTCACAGCTACACCTTTTGGCACTCCTGTAGTCCCGGAGGTGTAAATCACATAAGCCAGCCTCGACGTATCCACTGCCATGTCCAAGTTGCTGTTTGCAAAGTCATCCAACGGAGCTGATTCAACGTCCAAGAATTGAATGTCAGCTATATCCCGAAGTGTATGTACGAAGCCACTGTCTACCACGCAATGCCTAATGTTTCCGGATCCAAAAATGTCTTTCACTCTCTCAATCGGTGTAGACGGGAGAAGAGGCAGGTATGCACATCTTGCCTTGGCAATTCCAAGAATCGAAGCGTAGAGAAGGGGCGACTTTTGCATAACAATGGCGATAAGTTGTCCTGGCTCAGCTCTTTGATCAAGCAGGAAGCGAGCAATCTGATTAGAGAGTTGATTTAGGGATTCATATGACATGGTATCCGCAACCATAGGAACTTCTGAGAGTGATTTGCTAAAACAGATGGCATCCGCCTCGGGAGTTTTTGCAGCCACGGCCTCGAATAAAGTAGCAAGATCAACTTCATCTTGTAGTTTCTCAGGGCTAGTGTTCGCGACAGATGCGTCTATGGTAATGGCGTCTCTCACCGTCCGAATTGGCTCATCAGGATGCTGGATGATGTATTGGAAAACCGCCTTGACTTGCTCAACCAGTATTTCTACCATGGCTGACGGAAACCAATCAGTATGATACGTAGCCTGTATCGAAAACCCAGCATCATTCGGCTCCACTTCCAACAGCAGTTTTGTTTCCAGGCGATCCAAGTGTCGAATCTCTCTGATAGCTGCGTCTTTGCGACTCTTTGTATACAGCGATTCTTGGTAAACGAATAGTACGTCGTAGAGACTTTCAGCCGCCTGCAGTCTTGAGAGCTTCCTGATTTCTGACAACGGCAATGAGCAATGCTCCATGATTTTTCGATTGCTCTCATTGATGCTCCGTAAGACATCAGAAACCGTAGCAGAGCTGTCGATATCCACTCGGAGAGGGAGTGACGCGATACTTAGCCCAACAATTTCCTCAATGTCTTTTACCGGAATGGTTCGGCCAGACGTTACCGACCCCAGCAAGACATCCGACGTACCCACGATACTGCCCCATATGAGGGCCAAAGCCGCTTGAAAGTAGACTTGGGCGCCATATCTCGAGTTTATAGTAACATCTTTGGCTACCTCTGAGGAGATGTCAAGCTGTGCCTTGAGAGACAGCGTCTCATCGAATTCAACTGGCCTGGCACTCAACTTCGGACGACTTGGCTTATTCCAATCAACGAGATATTCAGCCCAAAATGACTTTGCATTGTCCAATTCATCTCTTGGAATATTGCTGGTATATGTAAGCAGTTTTGAAAACTGTGGTCGATGAGGCAATGGCCTTTCGCGGATTATATCAGTCAAATCCGAGAGTATGATATCCATGGACCAGCCATCGTAAATGGCATGATGGATATTAATCAGAATTCGTGGACCTGCGTCGGCTCTAGCCTGCTGAATCTGTACTCGAAGCGGATGAAGTAGTGCTTCGTCTCCAGATAGCTCCGGCCGACAAAATTCTTGCACAACCTCTATCTGATCAAATCGTAGTGATGCGAATATTGGTGATACAAAGCTGCCATCCCAACTAACAAAGCCTGCTCGTAGAATATCCCTCTGCTGCGCAAGCAGATGAAAAGCATCATGTATTGCCGTCGCAGTAATACCAGGAGTGGCCTCGAGTTCTATCTCGTTCCAGTAAGCTTCCGGATGTTGCGCCGTCTCTGACAACATGGCCACTTGAAGTGGACTGCACACTAGCACATCTTCAACGAGCTCCGCATTTTGCAGAGTAGTATTGCTCTCTTCAATTAGAGCCCATTTATCCACGAGATGGATGTCAACCAATGGGGCCTCATTCTGGACGAGAGATGAAAGAGGTCGTACTGTAGAGCATACTTGTGCAATTGTGTGCATGCTCAACAGCTCCGCAACACTCACACTGAACCCTGACGAACGAAGTGCCGATGCCAACTTGATGGCAACGAGAGAATCGATTCCTGCGGAAGCTAGAGTCATATCATAATTCGCTTCAGCTCCCAGGGTATCCGATATGACTCGCAGGATAGTCTTTTCAATGTCAGACAGGCCAATGGCGGGAATACCCTGGCCCTTTCCACCCTTTTGCTCAATAAATTCCGCTTTGAGCCTCTTGGTATCGACTTTACCACTCGGCAGCCGAGGGAATTCGTCCATTAGCACTAACTCTCCCGGCATCATGAACTGTGGAAGCCAGCTCCGACAATGGTCCATGATCAAGTCTTCCGTGACACCAGTATCCGCAACGCAGAATACAACCAGGATGGAATCAATCACAGCCCCAACGGCCAAGTGACATCCAGGGGTTTTTAATACAGCAGACTGGACTTCTCCCAGTTCCAGCCGCTGACCGCGGAGTTTTACCTGGCCCTCGGATAAGCGCCCAAAAATCTCTATGGTGCCATCGCCGGTGACACGCGCTTTGTCTCCAGTCCGGTAAATCAAGCCATAAGGTGAAGGTATAAAAGAAGAAGCCGTCTGCTCCTGTCGGTTGAGATATCCATCGGCAAGCTGGTATCCTCCAACTGCAAGCTCTCCAATTTCTCCTTTGGGGAGAATCTTGACGTCTCTACTCGTTTCTGCCGATTCTGCAGGCTCAACTATAAAGCACGACACGGTGGGTAGCGGTACGCCAATATTTCTTATTGAAGACGTAGAGGTGAATTCGTCTTGTACAGTACTATGAGGCTTGTCAGACAACGAACCCAATGTGAACTTCATACACTTACCAGTGAATTGTGGCTTCTGTCGGCCCATACATGGCCCATAGTAGACTCTTCCTATCTTGGCTCCCGCCAAATTCTCGTATTACAGGCTCATTGAGCATCTCGCCAATCGTCAACAGCAACCGTAGCGTCGGGACATTTTCTCTTTTCCGCAAAAGGCTTGCCGCAACCGTCGGTGTAAGCTCGCAAGCATCCACCTCCATCTCCGAAATGACCGCCGGCAAGTCGTTCAACATCTCCTTTCGATCGACACTAACCAACGTGCTCCCCCGAAACAGCGGAAAGAAGATTTCAAACACCGAGACGTCAAATGTCGGAGCGGCAAACTGGAGGAAGCGAGAAAACGTCGGCACATGCTGATCATGGGCTAGCAATGCCTGTGTTACTGCAGCGTGCGAGATGCCAACGCCCTTTGGAACTCCGGTTGATCCAGATGTATACATGACATACGCCAAGTCCCTTGTGCTGGGGGCACGACAGTCGACAGAGTCTCTATCTAGGCATGGCTCCTCTTCGTCTTCAACTATAAGCACCTTTACCGCGCTTTGCGGAGGTATACGGGAGGCCAGCTCCGCGGATGCCACGACCACGGTCGCAGAAACATCGTTCAATATAAAGTTGATTCGGTCTGGGGGCGCATCTACATTGAGCGGGCAGAATGCGCCTCCTGCCTTAAGAATAGCTAACAAGGCTATGTATAAGTGTGGCGACTGGTGAACCAGAACTGGAACCACAAACTGATCTCTGGATTCACCAAATGCACGACATATCCTGGCCGCCAGGGCATCTGCAGCATCATGGAGCTGGCGATAGGAGAATGACACGCGCTTATTCCTGCCGAGGTAGTCCAAGGCTATTGAATCGTCCGGCTGTCTGATAAGATGATGGAGGAGATCCGGGCCGGGTGATAGTGTCGGGTGTGGGTTAAGCACAGATAAGTCAGCGGGCGCCTCCATCGTGCACCGTCTTGTGTGTGTGTGGCCGTGTGCGCGTATGTTTTTCAAAATGTCTCTCAAGACTGTCAGAAAACCCTGGCCAGAATAGCCTTTTTTGCCAACCAAGTGCTGAGTTCCACAATCACGGCCATGAAATCAAAGACATCAAGACGCAATCTACCTACGAGAAAATGTTTGCATCACGTCGGCCCATATGCGAAATACCCTCACGTTCGTTGGTCACTCAAATTGCACTGCCCGCGCGCCATTTAGCCAAGACTGAGCCACGCGATGTGTAGAAAGAGAGTGTGAGACAAGTTATCGACGAATTGGCATGTCGATGATTCGCCGATGAAGCTTCCGGGGCTCGTGATTCCTGCCGTCGACGGTAATGCGTCTAGATCGTGCATGAGCTGGGGCTGAATCGAGCCTCTCAGAGCAGCGCAATTAATCAGCAAGGCGTAAGGAGATGCGGCCGCCACCAATCGAATCGTCAGTTTGCGACACTGTCGTAGCCGCTCGCTGTCATGCTGATGCACAGATGGGAAATGTCGGTTGATATAGTTCGTCCGAATGGTTCTTTACCATGCAGCTTTAGCCTTATTGCAAAGCAGGGCCCGGAGTTCGGCTGCCACACGCACGCGCGTTATGCTTCGCTTAGCTCGAAAGGTTAGGTTTCGCTCTCAGAGGGTAACGATGGCGTCACGGGTGTAAATGGGAGGATGATTTTCGGACCAGGTACAAGCAAGGAAGAGGAAGAGACGGTGAAGAACGGTGAGAGTGAGGAAGCGAAAAGACAGCGTCACAAAAGACAGGCATCCGACAAGGTCAGAAGAGAGCCTTATGAATGAAAAGGCAAAGGAAGGCAAAGCCACCGGCCAGGCACTCACTCACTCACTAGCCAGTCCCGTGGGTTACACAGCATCTGGCCCCGAAGAGGGGCGGCCCGCCTTGTCTGACATGAGCAACCACTAGCTGGGTGTTTGCTGGCGATCCGCCGTCCGGAGGCTTCAAGAGTCTCCAACAAGCCGAGAGAATCCTCCTCGTTAATACGCATGTGGGTCTCGGTCTTTTCCAATTCACAAAGAGCAATACAACGATCCCCCTCTTTTGACGATTGCGTGCCCTGTTTTGTGTCCTTCGGATATATGCAGAGCGCCCAGGTTCCATGCAAGGGGAGACGCGCTGCGTTCCGTCGAGTGCGTGCAACGGGGCGGTGATTCACTTTGGCCCTCGGGCGGAGCAGTGAGGGGTATACTAAGAGGAAACTCGTGAAAAACGGCTCGCGATGTTCGGACGGCCTGTTGAAGAAAGATGAAAAATTTTCCCACGGCGGCAGCGCACAAGGGCCTTGGATTGCGACGGATGGATGCGAATCCAACCACGGGCCTTGATCTTATCAGATCCGGTTTTTATCAGATGATCAGATAATTCCCTCAGTCCAATCTCCACCGCGCTTTGTTCTTATGGGGCCTGCCTCCGTCCTCGCAGCGGCTTCATCCACTGATGGCCCAGACGGACATGATTTTAAATGAATCACGGTTGTCGCAAACTACTCGTCGGTCCATAGATCGGCCTTTATGCGGAGGGTTCGAGGCATTGGATTGGTTCATCGAGTTTTGATCGCCTCATCGAAACCTGGACCGGCTTGTAAGGGCGTATAAAACAAAATTGCATCAGCCCACGCTATCGTTGCCAAGAAGAGCCGGATTTTCCTCAGGACTCGTTTAAGAAGGTCCAGATCTGCACAAGAGACAAGCCGTCGGCTTGTCGTAGGATAAACGAGAGAGGGTGGAGAGGGAGCGTATCCAGAGTCTATTGAAAAGTAAAAGCTCTGAATTGTATCCCAAGGACCATAGACCATCATGATTGAGGCATTGTGTTCAGCAAACGTATCACCGATAGAGTCGGGGCCAATTCCTGGTTCATTACGCAATGAGAGATCCGGTCGACTGGGGACAAACTGCCGTGATCATCACCAAGACCCATGTGCAAACAGTAGTCACAGAAACCATCCCACCGTCGAGCTGGCAGGGTGTCAAATGGGCCCATGCATCCATGATTTGTACATGCCTGCTTGCGCTAGCTCGCAAGCTACACTGTGTACGGAGCGATGCCAGCCCGGCATTGGACCATGTTCATGTGTGCTTCTCCGCAAGACTCCATTGGGCGGCTGGTCTCGGGTCTCCTGCGATTCTCCAGCACGGAATCCGAGTTGATATAGGCGAGACTAAAAGCTTGTTCCTCGAGCCAGGCACCGGAGCGGCAAGTATAACTCCAGGCCCGTCCCACGGCTGAGCGACTCGAACGGCCCCTCCCACTTTCACAAGCTTTCCAGCAGCTCGCCCTAGCGTCGTCAGACAGACAGACAGCCACCACTAACAGCAGCTTTGCTGTGTATATTCTCAAGGGCATACAACACGAAAATCGAGAAATCGAGTCACTCTTTCTCTCCCTCTATTCACCTTTTTCTTTTTTTCCTTAATTTTCATCCTCTTCCTGCTCCTCTTTCATCCCCTGACGGAAGCGTTGCTCAATTGCCGTCAGCCTTCACCAGAAACGTCACCGTTCTTTCACCCAAAGCGGAAACATTACCTTTTTCGACGTCACCATGTCTCCCCACAGCGAAGTTACGCTCAATGAGACGCCAAACGGCAGCGAGCCAGCCACGCCAAACGGCAGTGAACAAGCTCACCACGGCGGCTTCGACAGCTCTTCGCCCTACATCATTGGTGCGACTGAGCAGAGCAGCAGAAGCCCCGCGCCGTTGACCAACGGACACCAGTCAGGGAGCAAGATGCACAAGAACAAGTCGCCCTACCTAGTTCAATCGGCCTCGGATTCCGAGTTTGACCTCATCTGCGTCGGATTTGGCCCCGCCAGTCTTGCTGTAGCTGTCGCTCTTCATGATGCGGTGGCTTCGGGCCAGCAGCTACTGCCCGGTGGCTCAACTCCCAAGATCTTATTCATCGAGAAGCAGAACCGCTTCGCCTGGCACGCGGGCATGCTCCTCCCTGGTGCAAAGATGCAAATCTCCTTCATCAAGGATCTAGCCTCCCTGCGAGATCCGCGGTCAGAGTTTACGTTTCTCAATTACCTGCACCGCAATGGACGGCTGGTAGACTTTACCAACCTGGACACCTTCCTGCCAGCACGCGTAGAGTACGAAGACTATCTCCGCTGGTGTGCATCATATTTTGAGCACTTGGTTCAGTACGGCCAAGAGGTGGTGTCTGTTTCTCCCGAGTTGAAAAAGGGAGACGCGGTCCGCACATTTGCGGTGCAGTCGCGAAATTCAAAGACTGGTGAGACGCTGACCTTCCGAGGCCGCAACGTTCTCATTGCCGCCGGTGGACAGCCAAATTTCCCAAAGAGCTTCCCTTCCAAGCATCCCAGGATCATTCACTCCTCCCAATATGCCTACATGGTACCAGAAATCCTTTCCAAGAAGGATGCTCCCTATCGTGTTGCCGTTCTTGGTGCGGGACAAAGCGCTGCAGAGATCTTCCACAACATCCAGACGTTGTATCCAAACTCAAAGACAGCGCTGGTGATGCGACCCGAGTTCCTAAGGCCCAGCGATGACTCTCCTTTGTAAGTTTACCGTGACAAAGTCCAGGCTAGGATGCTAACATTCTTCGCAGTGTCAACTCAGTCTTCAATCCCGAATACATTGACACGCTCTTCCCCAAGTCAGCAAGGCACCGCAACAACTTCTTGGCTGAGGCTCGGGCTACCAACTATGGTGTTGTCAGACTAAATCTCATTGAGGAGATGTATGAGCGTCAGTACGAACAAAAGCGAGACCTCGGCACGGATGAGAAGAAGTGGCCTCATAGAATCATGGGTGGGCGTCAGATCACTAGCATTGAGCCGCGGGAGGATAGCTTGGAGCTCAAGGTTCAGCACGTCTCAGACAGCGAGTTTGAAGGCTTTGTCGACCTTGTCGATGAAGAGACTCTTGAGGTGGATCTACTCATTGCTGCTACCGGCTACCAGCGCAATGCGCATGTCGAGATGCTTCGTGGCACCTGGGATATGCTGCCCAAGGCTTCACCAGTTGGCCAAGAGTATAACAAGGGCATCACCGGATGGAAGGTCGAGACCGACCAGGGTGAGCGCAAGTTGGCAGTTGGCCGAGACTACCAAGTCAAGTACAAGCCCGGATCGGTAGCAAAGGAGTCGGGCGTCTGGCTTCAGGGATGCTGCGAAGGCACTCACGGGGTAAGTCGAATTTATGTTCTTGGTGAGGGAAGCAGTGCTAACGGCAAGCAGCTGAGCGATACTCTCCTGTCGGTGCTGGCAACACGGTCAGCAGAGATTGTAAACTCCATCTTTCCCAGCAGCCAATGATGGATAAAAAACGAAAACGGACGCGGAACACATTAGATACCCACGAGAACGACCTTGGACAAAGTCAAGCGTTGAGATGGTTGAGGGTGAAATGTAGGTGGTTTTGAGGTTGTGGCAGATTGAGAGTTTTTCTTTGGCGGCGTAAAATCATTTTGTGACGGTAGGCTGCGATTTGTTAGCATCACATCACACATGTAGAGATTATGGCTTTTGGTCTATACAAACAGCAATAAGACATTGTTTTCCCTGGCACAGGTGGCCGTCACTTGGCGCGAGAGCGTGAGAAATGGTGATTTTTGCCTCAATTCTAGGGTAGGGCAGAGACGACGGACGACGGATTCGATGTCAGGATTGGATTGAACATTGTAGTTTGCTGCGTATTGCGTATTGCGTATTTGAGTGGGTTGTAGGATGTGAATCGAAAGATTTTCCACAGTCATTTTTGCCATCCAGATAAGCATTGACCTCTTGGCAGCTGTTTTGCTCTTTCCGGTGGCGGTTTCCTTTTGAACAGAGGGCTGCTCACATGATTTACTACGAGGTACTACAATACCTGTTCGGATGAACTTGTACAGCTACCCTAAACACAAACCACCAAGACTGCTTTTAGACACAACACAACAGATATTACCCCACAAAGCTGCAAAGAAAAGCAACATGTCTTCCTGTCATCCAGCATGAAAACGAAAATGCAGCTGGCCGATGGCAACATCATTTACAGTGGCGTTCCGAGCCGGTGCCAAGCAGCGTCGCCAGTGGTCGGCTGTTGAAGAAGTGGCACAAGCCAGCAATCGGTCTGCCATCAAGACTCGGGGCACAAGAGAATACTCAAGCTTTTGCTAGCTTTGACAGTGTTTATTTTTATCATTCACGCCCTTTCTTTTTCTGGAACTTAGCGAGAAAAGACTCGAGCGCTGTCCGCGGAGTTTTGCAAAACAGCGCAGCGCGATTACAATGGCCGCATGCCCGTGCTGTAATCAGGACGATGACCGAGATGGACGCGCAATATGGTGGATGCTTGGCTGCATGGTGACGCGAGTGCCCGTCTGGGAGACGTAATTCACCGTAGGCCTTGCGTGGGCAGCTGACAAAATAATCGTATAGGAGGATGAGGGAAAAAAGTGCACCGTGAAGCTGGGATTCTGGGAGCAAAGAGCAAACGGTTGGATTTCAGACAAAGAAGCATCGGCGTTGCCTTATATGTATAATTCATGTATGTGTAGGCGCATGTATGTTGCGGTCTTCTCACATTAGCAGCTCTGCCTAGCAGTGGCTGAGCAGGTACAGATTCCGTGCCAAGTGCATGCAAGATCCGAGGCTGTGCTTCCCGCAGAGCCCTATTGATCGCATGAGACGGTGCCTGGCAGCTTGTCTCCAGCTGGAGAGCCATGATGTTCAATTCCAATCCAAAAGGGGTAACCAGCGAGTGCTCCCACACGGCTCCATCTCGAAGCCCAAATCGGGCAGGTTGGGCAGATGGATGCGGGTGAGGCCGCGAAGACACTTGCGTAGCTGGATAGAGTGCATTCGTCACCGGGCGCTGAAAATAGGCATGGAATCAAAGAGACAGGGGTCCGCTAAGAAGAAAAAAATTGAACAATCCATGCTAATGGAACCCCTGTCAGATTTGACGTACAGTAGTAGCACTCGGCTTGTTAGTGTAAACCGCATTGACGACTCTAGACGGTAGAGCATCAACAACAAGATGCAGCCAATCGAGGCCCAAGGGAGTCTCCGGTAGCCGCTGGACTCGGGTGGGGGAACTGACGACACCCTGGACAGGAGCTGAGCCCTATCGGAAAAATGGACAGTCGCTGCTAGTCCCTGTGAGGTCAGAATGGAACGGTGCAGTTGCTGTCTGCCATTCTGGGCACATATTATATGGGCACATACACGTATTGGGGTGGGAGAGGCTGGCTGTTGTCCCGATATTCAAGGGTTCAGTACCCAGATAGGAGGAGTAGCCCTGACACTGGTACTGAGGCGGCGATGCTGCTTGATACTCCAGTTTGCATTCATTGTAGAATCAAGAACAATATAGAGTAAAATAATAAAATAATTCAACATCAACAACAATAGTACCGTGTAATTTCCACAGACTCCGTAGCCCAGCCCCAGCACGGCACGGCACAGCCCATTGATACGAGCAATCCGTGGCCATCCAGTCCAATGCCCCCTAAAACGAATCCAAGTGCCACTGAAACTCTGCCGCCGATGCCACTGATGCCAGGCCCGGGCTGCCACTAACAACCTAACTCACCAAGCTTACGCACTCTATCGCTAGCCACCGGATCCTGTTCCCATATCGCCCACTTTTTAGCCTCTCCCCGCGCTCGACATCAAACACGAGCAGAGCCAAGATCAGATCAAAAGAACCAGGACCCCAGCCTTGCGACGTGCGAGGCGGCTTTCGCATGACGATGAGACACAGACCAGACCAGCCTCTTGCCAGGGCGGTGACGGAGACGGAGACGGGCTGCGAATCGCTCGCTATGAATCATCATCAAATCAACGCCGTCGGCCAATCCATCCAATCTGACAGTCTCCAATCGAGATACTGCCCGGCGAATCTCGTGTCCGGCCGGATGTGACCAAGGCGGGTCGGCCGAATATTGCTATTCCTGGCCACTCGGCTGCTCTGCTGCTCCCCTTGACCTTGAACCTGGTGAGGCCATCGTGATTGTGACTGACCAAATCGACAAGCGCACATACGCACGCATACGTACGTCCCACGTACTGCCGTCGCGGGCCGCCGCCAGGCCCACCAGCCTCGCGCCGCGACTAAGAACTTCGGGACAAGGCCAGAGAGGCATATAGCCGGGCGTATATGTCTGTTGCTTTGCTGCTGCTTTGCTGAGTCTGAGGCTGGGTGGCTAGCATAAACACTCCTGGCTGGATCCAGAGCATCTCTCTCTCCCCCTCTCGCCCCTGATCTGACGCTGTCGTTATCACCACCACCACCACCATCATCACCAACTATGCAACTCGACAGCGGCAGTGACAGCAGGCGGCCCTCGAGCCAGCGGCTGCCCGTCAACCCTCGCCGTCACAAAGTGGCCCCCGAGCACCGCAAACGAGTTGCCACTGCGTACTTCTGCCTTTCTCCTGAGATTCAGCGTCTTTGCTAACCCAGCCCAGATGCAACAGCTGCAATGTTCGAAGGGTCAAGTGTTCTGGCGGAACCCCCTGTTCGCAGTGCTCCGCCTCCAACCGCGAGTGCATTTACCCCGTTCCCCTCGAAAAAGTCAACGTCCCGCGCGCCGAGCTGGAAGAGCTGCGGAAAAAGGTCGAGCTCTATGAGCGGGCGCTTCAAGAGGCCATTCCCGACCCCTCCAGGCGACAGGAGCTTATCAACCTCGCCTCTGCCACGCCAGAGGGGCTATCGCCATCTCCCAGCGCCTTTAGCCCCAGCCAGTCCCTTCTCTCTGAGGGCAGCAGCCATCTCCAGGGTGTCCCCTCCGTCAAGCCTGAGCCGGAAGATGAACAGACACCCGGCCACCTTGTCCAGGATCTCAGTGACACAGTGGGCTACCTTGGAGAGACCAGCGGCGCTACATTTCTCGATCACTTAAAGGAGCTCCTTGGGGCTGTGCTGCCTCTCACACAGGTGGAACCGCAGCTGTCTCAGGGGCAGGATGGAAGTGCCCTCTTGTCCAGTCTGGGGAGATACTACACCGCAGACTCTCGCCCGCTGGTCGATCGAGACTCAAAGCCAATATCGTTGCCCTCCAGCGAGGATCTTGCCGCTCTATTGTCCAAGCTCAGATATCTGATCCAGGACGGAAATGGCGAATGGCCCAGCGGCGGCATCTACTGGTTTGGAGAGCTCGACATTCTTCCCACTCAGGCTGCCTCTCCGTCATCCGCCCCGGAGGCGGACATGAATGAATTTCGTCACTTGGCATTCTACCACGCCGCTCTGGCCAACATTATCCGGGCCGGCACCTCATCAAAAGAGGCGCTCAACAGTGCGTCGACGCCCTCACTCAGTGAAGCGTACTTTGCCGGTGCTGCCATACTCGTGGGCAATCCCCTAGACGTAACACGTTGTTGTACAATTGGCGATGTTGCTACTCTCTGTCTCATGTCAGCCTATCTGATTGAGATGAATAGACGAGATGCCGCCTATATGCATGTCGCGGCCGCCATGCACATTTGTATCATGCTAGGCATCCATCGAGGGGTCGCTGATGAAAGGGGGAAGCGAGTGTTTTGGACCGTATATATTCTGGACCGATGGTTGAGCTGTCTGATGGGACGGCCACACATAATCATGGACGGTGCCATCCGGATCCAGTTGCCTGCCGATGCTCCGTGAGTTGCGAATCAATTTCTTTCCCAAAGGTAGGCTGCTAACTTGCTGTTATAGGTCGATGCCGCCCGCTGCGGGACTCAGGGCTCACGTCGAGCTTTCGCGGATTTCCGGTTATGTCGTTTGTAACACGTATCGAATCGCTCCGTGGGAAGCAGTCAGAGGAGGAATGCCCACACAGCCCGACAAGGCCATTTGGATGTTGCAACAGTGGCAGTTGACTCTTCCACCTCATCTGCAACTCTCTCCTGACGGGCTCAGCAATGACCCTGCCTGCTGCCTCCTCCACATGAGGTACAACATGCTTCTCATTCTGGCCATCCGGCCGCTATTCCTCGGTGCCGTCAAGAGGTCGATAGCCAAGCGTCTGATGGTGCGGACAACCGAGACTAACATGATGTACTCGGAGCATCTGACGCTGTGCATTACGGCTGCGCGCCGCAACATTCGTCTTGGACGACAGTTGGCAGCACTCAACCTCAGCCGGAAGTCGCCGCTGCACGCAGAACAGCATTACTCGTTTAATGCCACCGTGTGCCTCATTCTGGAGGACCTGATATCCGATGAAGAAGTGTCGGAGGAGGAAAGAGAGGCAAGAAGCAACGACATCATGTTTGGGGTCCAGCTGGAAGAAGACGGCATCACCAACTTTGGCCAGGCTTCGTCAAACTCTCTGCGGCATCTCTGGGCCCTAGCACGGAGGTTGATGGACTCGATGGTGCAGAATCAGGAGTTGAACAATGCCGGGCTAGCTGGGCAGAGATTTGCCCCGCCGATGATGACGACGCCTACGGACTACTCCATGCCGGTCCTGCAAACCGGCGAAGACCATGCCCTTTACGACGAGCTGGTGGCCTGGGTGGACGATGAGTGGCCGCCCATGTACAATACAGGCCTGTTTAGTGGATTCATGCAGTGATGGGAAGACGGGAGGAAGTTTTTTTTTTTATGTTTTATTTTCCCTCGCAAGGCTGATCTATTATCTGATCGATCGAGGATGGTGCATGGCGATAATGACTTTTCTATACCACCACGGCAGTTTTTTTTTTGTTTTTTCTTTTGTTTTAAAAGCATTCAATGGTAGATACAGACTACATTCAAAAGGATAAGCAATGAATAAAAGTGAAAATAAACAAACTGGTGGATGTGCATAAGCGTGCAGGTTAATGACTACTATTTCGGGGAATTTCCGTAGATATCACCACCAGTTCGGAGATAGTGTTTCTGCCCCTGCATTTTCAGCCAGCGAAATCACATTCCAATACGCGGAGCTGAAGGTTGTATCCTTTTGCAGTTTACTGCCAATTGGTGACTTGCACATTGTTGCTAAACTGATTTGAGCCGAGTACAAATCGGATGAAAATATATATATATTTAAAGTATAAAGAATCTTTTTAATTAACTAGGTGATTTCTCATAATTCTCATCCCTTATGGCAGATGGATGAAAAACCATTAATATTACCTTTTGTATTAAAGTATGTTGTGCTTCAACGTGATGTCATGTCATGCCACTCCTCCCCAAAAGACGACTAAACTCCAACCGTCAACCGCATTGAAAGCTTCACCACTCAACTCTTTCAATGCATTTTACAATACCCAGATTCCAACCAATTCTTCACAAGAAAATAACCATGTCGCAGTTGGCCAAAAAAGCTGTGGCGGTCAGCTTCATCTTTCAGTTTCCAGAGGGCAATGATTCGAATAAGCCGCGGGTGGCATTGTTTCGTCGGAGCGGGGAGGTGAATACATATCAGTATGGCTCAATAACTTCACATTGGATCCCCATTCCTCATGAGTATTCATCACTGCTACTAACGAAATTTTATGAACAGGCATAAATACGCCCCCATCTCAGGCGGTGTCGAAGTCTCAGACGCATCCCCCCTCGCAACCGCCTGGCGCGAACTCCATGAAGAAACCACCCTCACATCATCTTCTCTACGGCTCTTCCGACAGGGCAAACCGTATTCCTTTACGGACCCCTCTGTAGGCCGCATATGGACCATCAATCCCTTTGCATTCATCCTGAAACCCGCTGGCGAAGAGAAAATCACGATTGATTGGGAGCATGAGGGGTACAAGTGGTTCGATCCCGATGAAGTCACTGACGATGAGTCTTTTCAAGGAGTGCCCCGCCTTAAGGAGAGTTTGAGGAGGGTGTGGTTTGACATTGATCTTGGTAAGGACGCTGGCGGTGTTCTGGCAGCTGGACTGAAAACACTTCAAGAGGACCATGAGAGCGGCGCGAGACAATTGGCGTCTACAGCACTGGACATATATCTCGACGTGATTCCCCGAATCGACACAAGCAATCGAGACACATGGTGGAAGAACATCCAATTCACAGCATGGCATCTATGGAAAAACGGCCGAGAAAGCATGGGCGCCCCCATCCTCAGCGTCGTCCTCTCCAGCCTCTCTCTCATCGAACAACATCTCCAATCCTCCTCCACCCAAAGCTCCCTCTCAAAAGAACTCCTCGACGAAATCTGCGCTGCAATCAAAAACCTCGCTCAGCAAAGACACCAATCAGCATCCAAAATCGCAACCGCATTCTCCTCATTCCTCGACGAAACTTTCCCCTTCCCACCAACCAAGTCCCTCAAAATCGTCACTCTGTCATCCAGCTCGACAATCACAGCATCAATCTCGCTTATTCTCGAATCAGCTTCTCGCCCTCTTGACATACACATCCTCGAATCCCGCCCCCTCTTCGAAGGCGTCTCCGCCGCACGCCGCTTCTCCTCCCTCATCCAAACCAACCACAACAACAGCGAGAACAAAAGCAGCATCACCATTCACACAGACGCAAGTTCCGCTCTCGCCTCCAAAGACGCACACGTCCTCCTCCTCGGCGCAGACCTCATCGACAAAGCCGGCAACGTGAGCAACAAAACCGGTTCGCTCCCCGCCGTGCTCGCCGCCAAACACGTCTCTCCAGACATCAAAGTCGTCGTGTTATCAGAAAAGGAAAAAGTGCTGCCGTTTGATCCGCCGGGCCATGAGGAAAACGACAGCGAGGAGCTCATCCGCGGGTGGAAAGGAACACTCGGTCCGGATGTGGGATTGCAGGGCGTGAGTGTCACAAATGTGTATTTCGAGTGGGTGCCTGCGAGGCTGGTGGACGTGTATTTGACAGAGGATGGCGTCGAGGGCACGGAACATGTTGAAGCGTGGGCGCGGGAGGTGCAGCAAAAGGCTGGCCGGTTCTTTGACCATCTTTGATCTGATCTGTGTATATACATGTGCATAACTATGCGTTCTTTTCCAGGTGACCAACCATCAACATCATCAAACCAGCTATATGCAAACTATGATGGCTCCCCCTCGCTTCCCTCTTGCTGCTTCACGCTCATGCTCGCCAACTGACTCTGCAACCCCCGTTTACCAACCCTCATAGCAAACTCCAGCTCCCTCTCTTCCTCTCTCAACCTTGCCTTGCTCGCCGCCACATCCCTCTCCCTTCTCCTCCTCTGCTCCTCCACCATCCGATTCCGCTCCTCCAACGCCTTCTCCCGCCTCTCCTTCGCCTCCCGCGCCTTCTTCTGCTCCTCGTCCTCTGCCGCAGAGCTAGGGTCCTGAGGAGGTGGCGGCAGCGTCTGCACATACGCCTCGACCAAAGGATCGCGAATCTTGGGCTCGAGAGATATATACCGTAGATCCGTCAAGACTTGCGCAGGCAGTCCGTTTGCTAACGACTTGTTATTAAGGAGATGCACCGGCTGCGCTCTAAGCAAAGCAGTAAGATCAGACTTGAGCGTAGCCTGAGGCATCTTGAGCCGATTAATGTGCTCTCTGTACGCCTTCTCGCGATCCTTGTCCGACAGCTTCATGTCCTTCATGGGATCCTCCTTTTTGTACTTTCTTTTAAACTCGGGCCAGTACAGCTTCGGCGAGGCCTTTTCCTGCAAAAACGCCATAAAGGCAATCTTGGGATCCTTCTTCTCCTGCTTGGCCCTCTGTTCCTTGAGCTCAGCGATCCTTGCCCGCGTCCATTCGTCCCAGCACTCTTTCCGCGCCTTTGTCGTGCTGAGCGCCGTATACCGCGGGTCATCGACCATTTTGCCGTCCTCTAGCAGCTTCTCCCACGAGCTATAAGGATTGATGTTGAGGTCGATGAGCATGTCCTGAAACAGGAACTTGGCGTCCTCTTCTGAAAATTCCACACCCTCTGCGCCTTCGGGCCAGTCCTCCATGTTGCCGTCGTCGTAGTCTCCCGGTTCAAGGCCATAATCTTCGCCCATGGCTTGTAGTTGAGCCGCAATATCCGCTTCTGTAAATTCGAGGGGTCCTTGGTCTTGTTCATCCGTCATCTCGGTACGTTGTCGCTTCGATGGGTGCTCACTCTCGTCCTCGTCGCCGTCTTCGCCCTGGCCCTCGTCATCGGTGACCTCAATCTCAACCTCTTCGTATTCATCGCTATCAAAGTCTGGACCCTGAGCAGCCGTCTCTTCAACAACCTTGCTCTCCTCTCTCTTTGGTTCACCATCCTCCGCTTCGCCTCCCTTCTCCTCGTCTGCAGACTTGTTCTGTATTCGCTTCTTGTCCATTTCCAAGATGGCGGGCATGAGCTTCTCAGGTATGCGCCAGTAGCTCGCATTCTTGACCGGATTGTAGACGAAGCGTCGCGAGTATTTCGTATACACCAGAATCCACGGCTCGCAGCCTGGAATAGCTTCTTTTCTCCTGGGCTTGTCCACGGGCTGAGGCCGCGGCCGGTTCTCGAAACCGCCTCGACCACCAAAGCCGCCCCTTTGTGCCTGGGGCGGCGGCTGGTTGAACTGCGCCACGTATGCATTTGCGACATTGGGATCGGATAGATTGGGTACGGCAGCGTATGGAGAGTAAGAGGGTTCTGGTGCGGGCTGAGGCAGCTGGCCGGGTCGTTTATACGTGGATTCTTTGGTTTCGGCATTGTAGTAGTACGAGTGGCCAGTCGGGGCCTTGTGTTCGGTCCAGCCCGGCGGCAGGGGCGCCAATTGCGCTGGCTTGTGAGTCGATTTGAGCATCTTGGCGACGCTATTGAGTATGGTGTAGGCGCAGAGGTGGTGGGTGGATGTTGTTGGGTATGGATGTTGAAAGGGAAGAGGAAGAAAAAGTTGATGCTGGAGCTGGAGATGCAGCAGCAGCGCCTGTCGGGACGGATTCCGCGTTTTAGCGCTGTTCCAGAAGCCAGAGCTCCCTAGCGCGTTCAGTTACTGGGGGCTTGACGCGCTGGGGGCACTGCAGGAATATATTGTTAGGCGGGGCAGCCCTTGTAAGTGAGCTCTCATGCAACCAAATTGAGTAAACCATCAAAACTTGGTTCATGAAATCGTCATCAAACCACTGCAGTCCACATTAGACGACTATATATGATGGATTACAATGTCATGTTCCATTTGAATGCAGGGCTCAAGCTATATAAACTCTTTCAAAGTAAATATAGTCATCAATTGTTCTGCAGTCCCAGCTTTGCAACCAATGCCTCTGCGATGTCCTTTGCAAACCCTCCATCATTTACATGCCTTTCATCCTCAACAATCTTTATCCCACTTCCGCTCAATCCCGACTTGACCGCATCAAACAACGCCTTATCTGCCTCTTCGTTCTCGAATGGCCCCCCAGGAACAGCAATCATACTGACTCCCCCCTTGGGAATCCACACTTCAATCATGTCCGGCCTCTTAGTCTTGCTGAGCTTCCGAGCAATAAACGCTCCAATCTCACGACACTCATCCGGCGACGTCCTCAGCAGCGTAATAGTTGGATTGTGCTCATATATGACTCTTCCCTCATGCTTCTCCGGCATCGTGTTTCTCGGCCCAAAATTGACCATATCAAGCGCCCCCAGAGAGACAATATTCGGCAAACCAGTCTCAACGGCAGCGTCCAGCCTCCCCTCTCCGGCTGACAAGACGCCGCCAACCAGGTGGTCGCAAATCTCCGTCGTGGTGAGATCAATGACTGCGTCGAGCTGGCCCTCGCGAATGAGCCGCTCCATTGCTCTTCCTCCAGTGCCGACGGCGTGAAAAACATATGTTTCGACGGGGTAGTTTGACTCGAGATGTGAGCGAATGGCATCAACTCCCGGCGTTGTCACGCCAAACATGGTGATGCCCACCCGCCACTTCTTCATACTCGTAGCCTCTTCCGCTGCATCTTTTGTTTTTCTATCGCGCCTAGTAGCGTACGAGAGAGCGGCATTTGCAATCGACGCCCCGGCATTGCTGAGAATGTCCCGCAGGATGGGATTCAGGCCGGCAACGTCGACAACAGAATGCATCAGGGTAATGTCCGTCTCGCCTACAACGGGTCTGGTATCGCCGCTGGCCATTGTTGAAACGATGAGCTTGGGAAACCCAACAGGAAACACATCCCTCATGACGGCAGCAGAGAGCGATGTCCCATTGGAACCTCCGGCGGAAATAATGCCGTCGATGAGGCCCTGATGATAGAGTTTCCGCACAGCTTGAGAGGCACACTCGGACATGAGCGTTACGAATTCTCCTCTGGTCAAGTCTGATATACTGCTATCCTTGCCGTTGACATACTTGGACAAGAGCTCGGCCTGGGAGATGGTAATGGCATCGTGGACACACGGATCCCGCCCGACGTCTATGAGAATCGTCTTGACTCCAGCGGTTTCTTCCACCCTGTCGCGAAGAAAGAGAAGCTCCTGCAGCTTGGTATCGCAGCTCCCGATGATTGCTACCGAGGCCATTTTGATTGTAGAAAGAATGGTAAGATCAATGGAATTGCTTACAGCAAGAGGAGATGCGGGGTATGCATGAGGTTTACGCCATGTTATAAGATCAAATTCCAATGTCTCAGATCCGAGGCTGTTTGTGCTTCCTCAATCCCACAAACTAACCCATGATGCTCACAATCTCAATGAGAGGCACAGTGGCAATGCGTGACGGTCACTTGAGTTTCGGTTGGTGGAGACCCGATCTGACATCAACAAGCTCAAGCTCACGACTATTCCCTGCTAGTCCCCGCCGAGTGTCCAGTTCCGGCCAAGGGCTGCTGTGATATGACGATACGGGTTCATGGATCCAACAAGCGGTGGTCTTGACAAGCTGGAGCCAGTCAGACAAGGTGCTTGCAATTGAACTGAGTCGGAGCTGTTCCCAATTCACCCCCATCTTCATCTTCATCTTCATCTTCGTCTACCTAGACTATGGCTCCCCCCACAGACAGAGACAAGATCCTCGCCGGCCTCAGGGCCCGAATCGCCGCCGGCAAGTCCATCGTCGGAGCCGGTGCCGGCATTGGCCTGTCCGCCAAATTCATCGAGGCCGGCGGCGGCGACCTCATCATCATCTACAACAGCGGGCGCTTCCGCATGGCCGGCCGCGGGTCACTATCCGGCCTGATGCCCTACGGAGACGCCAACAAAATCGTGGTGGAAATGGTATGTACGGGATGCTTCACACCCTCGCTCTTCTTTCATGTGATAAGATAGTTATGTACTTACAACAAGTCAATGGTAGGCCAATGAAGTTCTCCCCGTGGTCAAACACACGCCCGTCATCGCCGGCGTCTGCGGCACAGATCCCTTCCGCAACATGCCCACGTTCCTGAAGCAGCTCCGCGACCTGGGCTTCGCCGGCGTCCAAAACTTCCCCACCGTCGGCCTCATCGACGGGCAGTTCAGGGCAAACCTCGAGGAGACGGGCATGGGGTACGACTTGGAGGTCGACATGATCCGGGAAGCTCATTCACTCAACTTGCTCACCACGCCGTACGTGTTCAACGTCGAGGAGAGCAGGAAGATGGCTCGTGCCGGTGCGGATATCCTCGTTGCGCACATGGGCCTTACGACGAGCGGCTCTATTGGTGCTACGACGGGAAAGACGCTGGATGAGTGTGTTAAGCTGATTCAGGAGATTCGCGACGCGGCTGTTGAGATTAACCCGGATGTCATTGTGCTGTGCCACGGAGGTCCGATTGCAGCGCCGAAGGATGCCGAGTATGTTCTTAGCCGGACAAAGGGCGTTCACGGGTTTTACGGAGCGAGTTCGATGGAGAGATTGCCGGTCGAGACGGCGATTACAGAGATTACAAAGAGCTTCAAGGCTCTGAAGCCCAAGTTGTGAGCTCCAGGTATCAAGATAATAATTTGGTTGTATATGTGGTGGCGATGGGTGCATCTATATCAAAACGTGGGGGTTAGCCACAGAACCTCCAGCTACATAAAATGCTTCAATTATAAAAAAATGAAATGCGAACCATTTTCTTCTTGAAATCTCATTCTCTATTTAATTATAATTAATTCATGCAATTGGGTACAGGTATACGCCCGTCAACATCGACTCCATCCCAATTACGCGTCCCTCGGACACTTCACCGAAGCCGCTCATCCCGCCTACCCTGCACTCCACCCCCAACAATCCGTGCAATTTATGCAACATCGCCAAATCGCAACTCAGCCTCAATCTTCAAATCTCATCCCTCATAACTCTCACCACTCACTCTCACTACAACACCCCTTTTCAAACTTCATTCTATATCTATTCAGCAGCGCTTCTCATTCATGGACAAGCCACTCCTAATATAAAAAATTCCCTCATCGTCCTCTGCCATCTCATCTCATCTCACTCCCAGGCGCAACGTCAACATGCCTTCTGTGCGCACCGCCAACGCAGGCGACTCAACAGCTTCGATGGGGCCTCTGGCTAGGTTCTGGAGAGTGAGTTGAGACCATCTTCGTCTTACTCTGCCTATTTTGCTCTGTATGACTGACGTGGTTCTTCTTCTTCCTCTTTTGGCGCATATAGACGACTCATGCGCCAGACTACATCGGCTTCACAATACTTCTCGCAGGATGGATCTTGGTGAGTCTTCAAACAAGACCACATACCTTTGTCCCCTTGACTAAACAACTATTCCAGATTATCCTCCTCGTCAATCCCTTCCACCGCATGTTCTTCATCAACGACCTGCGCATCTCATACCCCCACGCCGAACATGAGCGAGTCACCGTCCGTACGTCTCTCCTCCCCATCCCCAGCTTCATCCACCCTCCTCTAACATGATTAATCTCTCTTCTCTCGTTTCCCCTAAAACAGCTCTCAACTTCCTCTACGCCCTCTTCATCCCTCTAGGCGTCCTCATCGCCTACAACATCGCCACCCGCGCCTCAACCCACAAACACGAAGCAACATATCTCTCCCTCGGCATCTCCATCGTCCTCTCCTCCTTCATCACAGACATTGTCAAAAACGCCGTCGGCCGCCCCCGCCCGGACCTCCTCGCCCGCTGCCAGCCCTCCGCCGACATCAAACCCAACGTCCTCGTCACAATCGCCGTCTGCACCGCCCCCGACGGCCACACCCTCCAGGACGGCTGGCGCTCCTTTCCCTCCGGCCACTCGTCCTTCTCCTTCGCCGGCCTCGGTTTCCTCAGCCTCTTCCTCGCCGGCCAGCTCCACATCTTCAACTACTACTCTGGCGGCCGCGATCTCAGCCGCGCCCTCATCTGCCTGTCGCCCCTCATCGGAGCCGCCCTGGTCGCCATCTCGCGGTGCGAAGACTATCGCCACGATGTCTACGATGTGTGCGTCGGGTCGGCGCTCGGCATGACCGTTGCGTACTGGAGCTACAGGCGGCATTTCCCCAAGCTGACGAGCCCCAACTGCGACGAGCCTCATCCTCACCCGGCCGTCGAGGCTCAGCAGCAAGGGTGGCAGCGCGTGCGGGACGAAGAAGAGCAAGGTAGTGAATTAGCCTTCCCACTAGGAACTCGACGAAGCTGAGACGGCTTGAGGCTAATGCTGAGATTTCATATTGCGCAATGTAGTGTACTCATAGCGGGAAGAGCTTGTCTTTTATGTAAATAGCTGCAACTCTGCCATCTACCGTCGTGTCCCTCCAAGAGAAAAGGGGGCCATCAAAAGTATATAGGATTTCTTTTCTTTTCTTCTTGTTACTTTTTGGATAATGCGGCATGCTTACATCACAGGAATCCCTGAATAAGTCAAACTCATCTTGGGACGTGTCGTATTGTTACAAGGGCCATTGTCCTTTTTTGTGTCATTAAGCGCCCATTCTCAGTCTACTTGTTGAAAACATTCACCCGCTCTATTCATTTATTTCTCTTCCGTGTCCTCGCTCTTGGCCAAGTCATGCTCCTTTAGCAGCGCCGTGATCTCGTCGGCGCTCCACAGCCTGTGGTAGATTTTGCCATCCTCTGTCTGTCCCACCGTCGCAAACTCGACTACGAGTGCCCGTTAGCCATCAATGACACATAAAACCGAAAGAAGACAAAAAACTCACTCTTTTCACTGCTCAGCTTGGTAGAGTCCATGGTCTTGCTAAGAACCTTGACAGCTACACCGCACGCCTCCTGAAGCGAGCAGTCCTCCTTGTAGTCCTGCTTCAACAGACTCTGCGCACTGGCATTGTTGGCGCCCGCGCTGGTGGCCTTCCACCCGCCGTAGTTTCCTGAGGGATTGCTGAGGTACAGCTGGAATTGTCTCCGGGGATCCCAGCCGGCGTAGATGAAGGAGACGCCAAACGGCCGCAGACCACCGTGCTGTGTGTAGCCCTGCTTCAGATCGCACAGCTTACGCACCAGCTGCTCGCAGGGGATGTCTTCGTTGTAGGTGAGGAGGTATCGCTGGGCGGCCTGGCGGGCGTAGTTGATGAGGATGTTGGCGTCGGCGGTCATGCCTGCTACTGCGCAAATCATGTTGCTGTGACGGGGCGCGCAAGGTGTCAGTAAGGATGATCATCATGTACAAATACACAGAGTATAGGATAGCATACTCGTTTAGCACGTAGAGCTTCTCTGCTGAGGTGTCTTGCTCTAGCAGCTTTGAAGTCACCTTTCGCTCGGCCGCCAGCACAATTCCATCCTTGGCGAGGATGCCGATGGCGGTACCGGCGTGGGAAATGGCTTCCAGTGCATATTCGACCTGGTACAGCCGGCCTTCGGGGGAGAAGATGGTGGTCTATGGGCACGCGGTTAGCCTGTATATCGTGTCTGATGGCGGATGTGCTCGCCCTTGGAGCTCAGGCTGGACGTACTCGGGAATCGTAACGGCGGGACATGGTGGAGGGGCAATCTCTGTTTGACGGTGCAGGGGATGGAAGAACTGGATTTCCGGAGAGAGATTGATTCGATTAGATTTGCGCAGATGCAGAGGCAAGGCAAATCTCCGGGGTTGAAGAGAGGATTCGGATTGGAGAGAGATTGAGATTGTTGGTTCTGGAGTATGGAGGGGAACAAGGCCGGCGTCACTTCTGGAGCTCCAGGCACGACCGCCGCGTAGGTGCTGCTGAAGCTGTGGCAGATACCCTGGAGCTCTAGCATTGAGCGGGCTGAGTCAGCAGACAGAGATTAAGTTAATGAATGCCTGAGGCAGCAATTGGACAAGGCTGAGACATGATCCAACATTTTCAACGGGAATTCCCAACGGCAGTTTAGCCGAGGCTGTGCCGTTACGGCTACAGCAATCTTCATCGTTTGCCCCTCATGACTAAGCCTCCCGTCATCCCATCATGGTCGAGAATCAGCCACTGCATTGCTTGGGCATTCACTTTGGCCGCCAAGATTCCAAACTTCCAATTGCCACTGCTTTTCTGGACCATCAGCTGCAGCTCCGGCTTCTTCTTCTTTAGCATTCTTCCTTCTTCTGCTTCTTTTTGCGCGCCTACTTTATTCCGATCAAGCTTGTCAAGACAGCTGCTCTTCTGCATCACCGCTTTGCGACGCTTAGCATTTCAACTCATCCCAGCTGATCTCATCTGATCTTGTCTCATCCAGCTCACCGTCATCGGAGGCTGAACCCTTGACACGCTGTCTGTTACTTCTACTCTCTATCAAAGCCCAGGCATCTAGGGACAGAAAGAGTTGCGCTGCTCAACATTCAACACTCAATATTCGACTCTCGACTCTTGATACTCGATATTTATCTAACCCATCCACCCTCCCCAGCTGCCTCCATCTGCCACCAGCTGTCAAAAACGCTTCCGGCAAAGCCAAAGCCACAGCCAAAAGGCAAAAAGACGCGCGCCACCCGCTTCTTCCTTCTACTATTTGTATCCACTCCAAGGGGCTCCCGGAACCCCACGCAAGCTGCCGTCATCACCAACACAAGCTCGATATTTTTTTTCCCTGGACATTGACAAGCTAAAATCGGCACGCGCTGCCTCTGTAGCAGCTTCACACGCCGCTCGCCATCCCATAGCTACCCAAGAAGAGCTGGTCGCTGGATTGGCGCCTCGCGCTGAACTTAGGCCTTATTTTCTTTTTCTTTTCTCTTCAGGTTTTTCTTGCCGAGGGGAGGAATCGTTGTTTAGCTGTCTGTGACTACCTACTAGTTGCTGTCCTTGCCTGTTTTGTAAATCTCCAATGCCCGCCTGAAGCGAACCGCAAGAATTTTTCTTCCATCTCGCATTCGCTTCCACAGTAGAATTTGCATCGCATTTAGTTGGATCTGCGGCGACGCCTTTGCGCGTGCTCCATTGCCATGTCCGGTAAGCTAAAAAAACAAACCACAAGAGCCGGCGATTCCCCTCAATCGATCAAGACGGGCGCAGAGATGCGACTCATTGGGGCTGGTTGCGCGAGAGATGCGCCGTCGCGACACGAGAAGAGACGAGAGACTCTGCTAACAGAAGCCGTCGCAACAGGAGAAGCCGAACCTCGACGCTCCGTCAGAGCCACCAAGGGCCAGCACACAAAGGCCTTTGACGAGCTGGAGCCTGCCGCGCCGAAACGTCGACAGACCAAGAAGAACAAGAAAGCAGAGAAGGAGAAGGAGCAGTCGCAGGATCCCGAAGAAGTCATCCGCTGCGTCTGCGGCGCCACCGAGCAGGACGAAGACTCGGGCGAGGCCTGGATCTCGTGCGAGACGTGCTTCGTGTGGCAGCACAATGTGTGTGTGGGCGTGAGCTCGTACGAAGACGAGATTCCCGACCACTACTGGTGCGAAGAGTGCAAGCCGGAGAACCACAAGGAGCTGCTGGACGCCATTGCCCGCGGCGAGAAGCTGTGGGAGGAGCGGCGAAAGGCGCACGAGGAGGAGGCCGAAAGAAAGAAGAAGCGCGGCGGGCGCAAGAGAGGGAAGCGAGGCAGCGATTTCAAGGAAGAGCTCGAAAAGGATGCCGCTCAGGCAAAGGCATCGCCCACTCCCGATGCCGTGTCGAGAGAGAAGAAGGACGTGACATCCGTGCTTAAGCAGGGCAAGCGAAAGGCGAGAGAGGACTCGCAGGATGCAGACGGAAAGGTATGCTACTGTCCTGCTGGATCTATATCTACCTGTTCTCAATTGATGATTGATGCTAACACAATTTTCTCCATCTAGACTACAAAGATGCGCCGCGTTTCGGAGGACGAAGCTGTTGCCTCTGCTTCCGCTTCTGCGTCCGCTTCCGTCTCGGCTGCCGCCTCTCCCTTGGTCAAGTATGTGCCCCCCGAAGACTTGACTGCATCCATCCAGGATCTCCCTGGCACGCGAATCGGCCCTGCCAAGGCGCTGAAGAAGTCGTTGGTTCACGTCATCGGGTCTCTAGCCAAGAGCAACCACATCCAGCTACCTGAAGATGAATCTGCGGAATCCCTCGCCGACAAGTATGCGCTTCAGATTGAGCGCGCCGTCTTCGACACACACCCGCTCTCCAAAGGCCAGAAGGAGTACAGCCAGCAGATAAAGTCGCTGTCGTTCAACCTCAAGAACAACCCCGAGTTGTTCCAGGGTCTTTGGGCGCATGAGCACTCGCCCATGACGCTCGCCGTCATGACATCGGAGCAGCTTGCCTCGGCTGAGCTGCAGAGGCAGACGGCCGAGATGAAGGCGAGGGCAGAGAAACAGTCCATCCTGTACACTTCAGAGACGGGCCCTCGCGTTAGGCGCACGCACAAGGGCGAAGAAATCGTCGAGGACGAGAGTTTGGTTACCAGCGAAGCACCCATGCCATCCGCTGGAGGACCTCGTCCAGGAGGAGAGGAGAGACAGGAGCAAGAGCAGAGGCAGCAACCACAGCAACACGTTAAGCGCGAGTCGATAGGAGGAAACGAGTTGGGCGACGCCGGTCTAAGCCAGCGCTCCCCAAGCCAGTCGAATTTCGATATTGGCAAAGTATTCTCCGCTGTGAAATCTCCCACTGCAGCTCACCGTCGCCGGCCTTCTGCGCCAGTCTTGAGCACGCACGGCCCCGGATTCGATCCGGATGTCGACCGGATGCTGCAGGACGAGACCGAATCGCCGCCCTACTCGCCCACGGAAGAAGCCACAGATCCCGATGTCATCTGGCGCGGCTCGCTGGCGATGAGCTCCATTGCCGACTTCCAGGCCACGGCCAAGCACATTGGAGGCGCCAACTTTGCCTCGTTTGGCCCCTGGACCAAGCTGATCCCGCGGCAGATGACCGTGGCCGGTCGAATCCCGCAGCAGAGCGCCATCGAGTACCTCTGCAGCCTGCGATACAGCAATTTGACCGATATCATCGTCGTCAACATCACGCCCACGTCGCCAGACGCAAAGCAAGAGTTCAACAACCTCATCAACTACTTTGTCAGCAAGAACAGGTATGGCGTCGTCGGCAATAAGGTGGCCGGCAACGTCCGGGATACGTACTTGGTGCCTGTCCCTGCCGGCGAGGATGGTCACCCCGAGTTTATGCTGAATCTTGTGGACAATTACATTCCCAAGTCCCGGACCGAGCCCCTGCTGCTGGCCGTCTTTGTATATCGCAACGAGCCGGATCAGCTGAAGCAGATGCTGCACAACGAGGCGACGAATGCCGCTGCCTCATCCGCAAGCCCGAGCCCCATCACGACTCAATCTTCTGCTCCTCCTCCAGCTGGATATAGTCAGCGAAGCAACTCGACTTCTGGCCCGGCCTTTTCACCAGCTACGCCCCAAATCGCATCCTCTCCGTTCCCCAATGCTCCTCCAAACGGCCATGGACAATCCGCCACGCCGGTTCCCATCCCCCAGCTGCCGCACCTCAACCGTCCTGCTCCACCAGTACAACCGTCTCAAGGTTCCCCCCCTGGACAACACTCACAGGGACCAGACGACCAGAGAAAACAAGCACAGCAAGATGCCGGCGTCATCACCGCGAGAGAAGTCCTAGGGCCCCTTATCAGCGTGCCCACGGTACAATTCATCCTCCCGCAGGCCTATCAAATGACCCGACGGGAATGGGAAGTCATCAAGACCATCATTGAGCGAGATGTTCGCGCTAGAGACGACCTGAAGTATTTGGCGGATTTGTTGGAGAAGGAAGGCACCGGAGGGAATGGAAATGGAAACGATAATGGACAAGGCGCAGCAGCAGCAGCGACGCCGTTACCACAGGTGGTGGCTGGTGTCGTTGGAGGAGGAGGACCTCCGCCTGTGAGAAAAGCTTAGGCGTTTAAGGGGGAGGAAGAAATGAATTGTACGAGTTTGTATGAGTTTTTTTTTCTTTTTATCATTATGTGATCCTATTATCTAGTCTAGATATAGTTAGGGAATATTGCCATGTAATGCATGATACCTATTTCTGTTTCTACGTATATTTTGTCTCACGTGTATGTACCTATGTGTGTGAATCCTGTGAGAAACTGCTACTATATGACTCTTGTATGAGAAGCATAGTTTTGGTGTTGATAGTATTCAATGTTATTTGTTTGTTTCATCTAGGTACGTGAATAGTCCTAATTGTCCTAATTCTGTGTCTCTCCCTCTCCCTTCTCTCTGTGATATACCAATGATTCTTGATGTCGTCAATAAAAGATATCTCAGTAACACTCTTTCAGTTGCCTCCAAAGTCGTAACCGGTCATTATTCATCAACTTTATGCTGGCATCCTGCATTAATAATAGCCGTTTCTTTTTCGTCTTTCCCTCCGCAGTTTCAATTATTATAGTCCTCCATCGAAGCAGCTTCCACATCCCTTTAACCCTGCCTCTTCCTCTCTCTCTCCGTCTGCATCTGGCGGTGCATTTACATCCCAGCTTCGGGCTCGGCCACGAAATCACTCGTGTCATCTCGAACTCTTTGAATATGCCCTCCGTCGTCTTCCACTATTCGATTAACGCATCAGCCGCAGCCCACACCCTGGCCTCTCTCAGCGTCTTCTCAACCAAGAGCTTCTTCTCGTCTGTCCACGTTGCCGTCGGATCCTCCACCAGAATCTGTTCCTTTGGAATCGCCGACAAGTCCAAGCTACCCAGGCCTTCAAGAACTTTCCTCGCCTTGTCGACCTGCGTGCGAATGGCGGCCGTTTCGGTGCGTGTACGATCAAGATGGTCCTGCATCATCTCAATGGCCGATTCGCGGGCCTGATGCGGGCGGTACTCGTTGAGGATGTGGTGAATGTTAATCAATATGGTGCGTAAGTCGGCAATCTTGGCTTCGGCGTCGCTGGCATTGCGCGCCAGCGTGCCGACCATCTCGAGGAAGTTGAGTAGTAGAGATTTGGTTAGGCGCTTGAGCTCAAAGGCGCGATCGTAGTGCTTGGCGTCTTTGGCGCTGGAGGAGGCTGTTGCTGGAAGGTTTTCGATGCCTTGCTCCTCGAGAGTCGGGAGTTTGTCGTCAAGCTAGAGATGAGAAGCACCGAGTTAGAGAGACGACATAAGATATCACTCAGAGCTCATTTGCGCAAAGCCATACCATGTACTGGTCGCCAAAGACTCGCCACCGCCCATCTGCCGGTTCTGGCGGCGGCTGCAGAGCCCTCAGATGCTCAGGCAGATTCGGAATCTGCACACTGTCCACGTCCTCGCCATCAGCGGCTTGAGCTCGTCGCAGCTCTATAATCTCTGCGATTCTCTCTGGCGTGAATTCCTTCCAGAAATCCGGCGGGTTTGGAAACGTCGATGCCAGCGAGTGCGGCTCTTGCTGCTCGTCCATTGTTGCTCAGTCCTTCTTCTTCGTCCTTTGTCGTCCTTTTGTCTTATTCGAGTGCACGTAACCCCTCCCCGCGCGTTGTGTAAGAGTCGATGAGTATCAGCTCATTGGAGTTTGATACAGAAAAAAATCAAAGAAGAAGCGATGCCACTGAATTGCAACAAGAGACGCGAAAGAATATCGAGAATATTTTGGTGCTGATGGTGTATATAATATAATAGTATCAAGTTCTAGGGAAGCAGCAGCTGGTCGCAGAAAGTGTTGCCCGTAGCTGCGCCGGATAAACAGCGGCTCCGGCGAGCTTCCAGCGATTGAGTGACGTCGAGAAAGAAGCTGAACCTTGTCCCAGAAAAATTAAAGCTGGTGCTAATAGCAGCATGGAGGTCAGTTTTATTATACGAGCTCCATCCATCGACCTGTAATTACAGCCATCAGGCAAAAGAGCCGCCATCAGCTGCTTCATTCATTCTCGACCAATTCGTCAACTCAATTCGCCAATTGCCTCCATTGTCCTCCCTCGAAGCATGTATTACACCCTCTAAGACGTACGAGTAGAACCATCAACGGCCTATCCGAATCCCGTTCGACAAAAGCTCAGCTCAGCTCAGCTCATCCAACTTCTCCCTATTCTACCTACTCTCGTATAACTCACATCACCAAATTCCAGCCATGGCCGACGTTCGAGCGCTTCTCCGCCAGCAACGAGCAGCCCGTCGCATCAACCACCCATACGCCCTATATTCAGATGCAGGAAAGCTTCTCTGCACCCTCTGCCGCGACCACATCCGAGCCGAATCCCACTGGGACGCCCATCTCCAGAGCGACAAGCACAAGAAGCGGCTGTCTGCCATAAATCAAAGTATCATTGACGATGCCAATGCCGAGGTGGAAGACGAGGACCCAGAAGACGACGAGAACAATGAAGCAGGGGGAGAAGAAGAAGATGCCGAGGGTCACGATGCCTTGGCAGCGCAAAAGCGCAAACTCGACCAACTAGGTCCAGAAGAAAAAGACACAGACATGGACGACGAAGACGAGGCGCGGAGGAAACGCAGCAGACCAGCGACAGCATCTGAAGACGACCCCAATCGCAACAAGAAGCCTCTCATGCCAACACAAGGCGTACAAGTCCAGATAGCTTCACGATCATCCACGCCCTCGCAGCAGCCAGCAGTGCCCAAGCTGGCGACTTCGCTTCCCTCCCGCCAGGCCAGCAATCTCGCCACTCCCGCATCCTCCTCATCCATGAGCATCAGCATCCAGCCGCAATCCTCAACCGCCAGCCTCTCACTCTCACAGTCGCAACCAGCACAACCCGCATCCCAGGACCAGCAACAAGTCGATGAAGACGAATGGGCCGCCTTCGAAGCCGACATCGCCGCCCAAGACTACGACGACGACGCCGTAATCTCCCGCCCAGCCATGACCGCCGAAGAAGCCGCCGCCGCAGCAAAGGATGCAGCCGAGGAAGACGCCGTCCAGAACCCAGAGTCCCGCAAGTCCAAGGCCGACGCCGAAATCGAGGATGAGCGCGAAGAAGCCACCCGCGCCCTGGAGGATGAATTCGAAGAGATGCAGGAGCTCGAGGCGCGTGTCCAGCGTTTAAAGGAGAAGCGCGAGGCGTTGATGCGCAAGAGAAGCGAGACTCTCACTCAAGACCAAGCTGATGATATCCAGACGGCAGTGAAAGCTGTTTCTGATCCGCAAGACGAAGGAAAAGAGAATGTCCATACAACAGGCGATTCTGCCAAAACAGACGCCGATGATGAAGAAGAAGACGATGAAGATGAAGAAGATGACTGGGATGGCTTCCGCTTCCGAACAGGGCGGTAGAAACGAGCAAGCGAAGAGTGAAGGGGCCCAACGACAAACGTTGGCATGATATGAAATGCATAAAACCATGTTAATATCTCTTCTTTTCTGGTTGCCATCTTTTTTTCGTATTATACCTAGACCGTTAATGCATGGATCCGGCGCACATGTCACTTTTGAATAGATGCCAGCATCTATTACTTTCATAGCCAAAAAAAAAAAAAAGCAATCAATATCAGCTATATACCTAGGTCTACCCAGGTCTTCAAAACTACTACTCCAATAGCTGCTTGAAAAATAGTCGAGAGATGATGCCAGATCAGACTAAAAATACAGAGACCAAACAAATCGACCGGGTATTTATATATAAAGAAGCCAAACTTGTCAAGAAAGAACAAGCAATCAAAAACGCCACCTAATCCAGCACGAAAACAAAAGCACCAAAAAGGACAGGAAAGCACACGCTTAACGAACCATTTGTCACCAGCTTCTGCCCCCATGAGCTGGCAACTCGCCACGGCTCATCCTCTCCCAGAAGCGGCGTAGCTTCCACACACGACCGACGCCCAGGATCTCGTCTGACCTCCGCGCGTCTTCCGCCCGCTCGCTGACTTGACGCTTCCACTTGACGGAAATCCACCGCCTCAGGTCGTCCTTGATGCGCTCCTTCTCAATGCTCTTGCGCTTGGCCACCAGGCCAGGGGCAACGTGCACGGGGAACATGCCTGGCACGCATTCCTGAGGCAACACGCATCGCTGGACAAGGTCCCTGGCGGAAAGCCGCGAGGCAAGACGACGCGAGAGGCGGATGGAGATGAGGGACCGTGCCAGACGCCGCGATATGATGGTGTTTTGGGTCAGGAAGATGGATCGGGACATGAGGTCACCGAGAGACGGGCGGAACGGAGAATTGAGAAACAAGGTCAAGAGAAACCGGGCGTTGCGGAGGCGGTAGTGGTGGAGGACAGGGTCAAGAGAGATAGCACGAAGGCGACGGCACGTCTATGCTAGCTCGTCAGCAAACGGAACACTTCCCCAACATGCCAGATGACGGCAATCACAGGGATAGGGATAAGATGTCGGGACTAGCCATGCCTCCTGCGAATATAACGTGTGTGTTGTGTAGCGAGTGTTCCGGGGTCAGTCCGTCAGCACGGCACGACACGGCAAAGTACTTACACGAGACGCACGCAACAAGTCATCGACATCAAGAAAGCTCGCAATGTGAGCCAAGACCTCGCTTGGCAAAGTCTCTAGACGTGGCGGTGACGAGCCGCTGCTGAGGATGGCGAGGGCGGATGAAAGCTCGGATAGTGACGAGAACACGTCTCGAGATCCACCGGCATATGTGGCGGCCTCACAGCTATCGACAGTCGTATGAGCTACCGGTGCAACGGTAGAGCTGGCACCATCCACGTAGGCACTGTCAGGGGTCGAAAATCTCGAGAGGAGCTGGGCCTGGGCCGTAAACCGGGCCTCCTGGGCCGTTGAGTTGGCCATGGTAGCGGCTATTTGGGAATCGGGATGACAATTTCGGCGTCAGAGCTGGGGAGGAGCTGCAGTGGTTAGCAAAGATACACGCCTCCTCTGGGGTCCTTTTGGTATCTAGCCGGCCAGGAAGACCAAGGATGTATGTAATCGTGCTGATAGAAGGTATGTATGTGTGCCTGTATGCATGTATGCATGCACGAGTACGTGTGTAGGTAGGATTTTCAAGCGAATCTCAGCGATAGGCTAGCAGCCGAGCATCACATCAACACGGGCGAATCAATAACGAATGGTTTCAGGGGAGCTGGTTCATTTCTCCGCCCCTTTGCTGGCGTGTCTGCTGCCGGAGTGCCCAGCCCGTCTGGTCTGGTTGGCTAATTCATCAAACCCAGTCTTGGTATTGGCCTGTTGTTTCTCGCCACAATGCAGTGAAAGATGACAAGCACACGCCTGTATCAAGATTTCGACTACTGCAGCTCGATGCTGGTGGCAACTTTGTAACTTGTTGTAGGTGGATGGAGGGAAGAGAGAAAACGGGTCAAAAAGGGAGGGAGAACAACACGTTTCAATGTTTCACCAAAGTCTTGCAGCCCCTTGATGTCTTTTTTTCTTTCTCTTTGAAAAGCCACGAGTTTGATCGAGCGCATCTATCTGGAATGGTACAACGCAAAGACAAAAACAAAACGGGGGGGAATAGCACGGGAGAGCGAGAAAGAAGCGAGGTGACTATCGTCGTAGTATCTTGACGAGATCACTCTTTTTGTGATGCACGAGCCTGAACTACAGGACCAGGTCTGTCTCAAGTACCGAACAGGTGACTTTGGTAGTCGATGAGTAAAGGGAGGTCAAGATCTCTCGCGCTTGCGTGTAAGCCATAAAACAAGTACGAATAGCGTTTGTGTAAGATGACTTGTCGTGTGATATGCTTGGTGCCAGTACACTGTACTTGGACGGTGCAAGCCGGCACGAGACAACAGTCTGCAGTAGTTTCCGGACCAAGACGCGCTTGTCGGAAGCAGCCGGACTGTACCTAAGACAAGATGAAGTTGTCGCCGTGTGATCGAATCGGCGTCAAGTTGCCAAGTCTGACTGCTGCTTTGCTTGGCCTTGCCGAAGCGGCCAGCGAACGTCTAGACTAGTTCTGGTGCCGCAGATGCCGCGGATGCTGATGCTGAGGCCTGTAACACTTCTGCTGCTGCTGCTGCTACCGTCGGTCCTGCTGGTGAGCAGGCAGAGGAACCTGAAAGAGCTCTATGCTGGATGCAAGTCTCATGTAGGCGTTGATGCGGTGTCGCTCCGGACTTGCAGCGACGATGCAGAGACAACAGCGCCGTCCGAGTCGTCTGTCTGTCTGCTGTCGTCGACGGCCTTGTCTAGCGCGGCTTTGCTGCTTCTGCCGGGTCTGCTAGCGGCCTGCCGTTTGCTGCTTGGCTAGTAATAGTATGGAGGGCTCAATACTATGTACTCTCGCGCCTGCGCCTGCGTCTGCTTCTGCGTCTGCCTCGCTTCTGCGTGTGCGTGTCTGCGTGTCTGCGAGATGACGAAAGCGACAACAAGCCGCAGCCGGGCCCGATGTTGAGGCCCAAAGCCCGGGGAAACGAGGGCAGATGAACAAGAAAGCAAGAGAGCAAGAGGACGAGATGAAGAGAGGAGCCGCTGCACAAAGGTTGCCGAGCTGAGCAGTGAATTCCGTCGGTCTTGAGGTGAAGCTGATGAAATTAATAGCCTTGCGTTCCAGTTGTCAATTGGGAGTTGAGCAGTCTGGAGAAGTGCATGCCTTGTGGCTCAGTCAGGCGTTGCTGCCTCGTCATGCGCTGTATGTAGTTCTGTTAGTGCCTGTTAGCACTCATGCTAGCACTCCGGCGCTGATTCATCGCCTGTGAACCTCGCTATAGCAGCTTTTGAACCCATGGACCAAGGTACAGGAACGTCCAAACGTCTTACGAACTTTGCCCTCACCTTGTTGGAGTAAATCAACCAACTACAGCACGATGCGGTGCGGGGACAAGTTGCGTCAGAACGATCCAAGGTACTGGACGGTAACTGTACGAAATCCCGCCCTGTGCCCAGTACCACCAGACTACATGCATCAATCAAATCAACGTCTCTCTCTGTCAGAGTACATGTACCCGATACCTTTTCTCCTATGCGAGTCCGATGGCGGGGGTACCTGGCATCGATCAGTGGAGCTCGCTCCAACACGCAGCCGCCGTGCCAAAGCCGCTAGCGATGGTGAGAAAGCGCTCCGGTGGGCTCCGCTAGGCGCTCCGTCTAGCGGATCATGGATGCTACTGTGCCCCCCAAGTATCGTGCCATCCAGACGCCGGCGCGGATCAAGTACCGAGTACTCAGATCATGCCACTGGATTTGCTGCCTCGAAGTTCTCAAGGGGTATCGCAGATGGAGAGTCCGAGATGCAGCGCCCAGCACCTTGGCCCCGGCAAAATAAAACCAAAGGAAAATTGTAACAGAACGGGAGAAGAAAACACTGTACTTGAGAGGGATCATCCTTGTAAGCCATCGCACTCCATCCCTAAAAGCGGCTGGCCATCGTGCCAGAGCTCGACACGGCTGGGCCACTTACACGGCCTCTGTCTCGCCAAAGGCAACAAAACCCGCCCTCAAGTTGCCAAAAACCCCCCCATCAAGGACTCAAGTGATCTTGAGATACTCCATGGGGTCACTTGATCATGTAGAATCATGAAATCATGCAAAGGAGAGCTCATCCCGTCGTCCACGGCCGGAATCAACCCCAAAACAGAGGGCCGAGGCTGACGAGACGAAACCACGGCCCCATCCCATCAGGCAGCGGATCGAAACAACGCGAAAGCCCAGCATATTTCCGTACTGGTACTCCGTATAGAAAAAAGGTACAAGCAACGGTGGGCATCAGTTCAACCCATCACACCGCCAGGGCTTCCATGTCTGTAAGAGTACAAAACTGCCAGCGAGGCTGTGACGAACAAAGGTGCGGAGCAGCGACATCCCTGCAACCCACCGCCGTCACATTTGGCGCCGCCAACGTTGAGCACTAACCGTTTGATGCTCTCCACGTATCCACGTAGTCGCAACTAGTCCAATCTGCATCTGTGTACTCGTACAATAGTTGAGTAGACATCTCGGTTGCAGATGATCGTCGCCGCGAGAGTGTCTACCGTATCAAATCCGCTCCGGCTCGGTTGTTAGCGAGACCGCAGAAGCATCGTCTTCGAACCATCTCCAGCTTCATCCGTCCCTGCTAAACTCACTCCTGATGATCAGTTCCAACCGAGAGGAGGGGGGAGAAAAAAAAGACAAGACAGAAACAAAGAGACACAACAGCAAATCTCACCTTTGCAACAATCCTTCCGTGTCGGCCCTCCAACTCCAACCCCATAACCCGCCTCCTCCGCGCCGCCCCGGTTTCCCTTCGGCCCCCTCTCCCGTCCCTCCTCATCCTCATCCTCTCCCCCAACTCCCTCCATGACGTGGCCAAGAACCCGGAAAAACACCATAGTCTCTTCCAACTAACACCCTCCCACGCCCTCATCTCGGTATCTCGACCTTGTAACTCGTAGGCAGCCATCTCTGACCATCCTCAAAGATACACAATCCGCACCCCCGAACAACCCCGGTCCATGTCGTTTTCAAGTGTAAAGTGGAAACATGGCCTCCATTTTCGGCCATCTAGCGCCATTACATACCACCCGGCCAAATCACTCACATTGCACTTATGCGCCCTGCAATGCTATGCCACGCACACGTGCCGCCATCTGTATGCATCGTCCTTACCTCGTCGCCGCCTGCCTGCGCCAAACAGCTCCGTTCGTCTTCGCCCTATATCGCGACTTGACCGTCTTGGAGAGCAGAAACGCCGTCCTAAAACCTGGCTGGTTTGAGCCGCATCTCTGGTTAGCGGGCGAAACGATCCCTCATGCCGATGTGTGTGTGTGTCTCCATCTAATTTTTCTTAGGCCAGAAAAAAAACCCCAACCCAGACGTAATCCCCCTCGTCTATCTGACCCTAGTCGTTCCCATTGGGCTTCAATTCTCCGGGTTCCCAATCCGTGCTCATCAGGCTTCTAGACTTCCCTTTCCCCTTCGCCTCGGCTATGCCTATCTCTAGGCCCGGCTGCCACAAGAGGCTGTCCTAGACGGGGGCCCCCAACAAGCAAAATGTATGTATGACCGTTGCTTCGCTGGCAAGGCTAGCTGGGAGCGGTAGGACATGCGTTCTCTCATCGTGACTTGCCAGCTCACACAAAGTCCACACAAGGATGGCCGATGACCGAGGAACAAGGTGTAGTTCCTTCGTATTGTGTAAGCCAAGCCCAACGATTCCCAAAACGATGGACCTCCGCAGCGTCGTACTCTGCTCTTATTTCCTTTCCGGTCCCGCGAAGATGCCGGTGGTTGCTTTTGACCCCAGACGGTTCATGACCGCCTTGCCACTTGCATGAAAACACTGATGAGCTGGCCATCTCCATCAAAGCACCGGAACTCTAGCCGTATCTCGTGATCCACGATATCCTTCCCCATTTGGTTACTCCTGATAAATTCATCAGAAGAAAAGCTCTTCATCAAACAAAGACACTCCCTCCTCAATCGTCCTCGAGAGCCCGGCTCCACCATCCGAGTCCACGCCAATAGCCGCTGGTTGATGTCACACAGGGGATCCTTTCCTTCACAACAACTACTAGCAGGACTAGCATGGAGTGCGTATGTCTTTGAGCCTCCGGCACGGCGGAGCCTTAGATCCGCTGGGCTTAATTATCTGGCCAGCCTTAGCGCGAACGCCCTGTGTTAGTTATTGCACACCCGTCTCAACCAACACCAGTCTGTCATCTCGTCTGCAAGCAAAAGGCTATCATCGTCGACGTCACCGGTGGTGTAGAGAGTAAATGCGACCTGTATATCCGGTAATCCACTTAAGCGTCTCGGAAAATTGCTTCATCTGTCGGGCGTCGCATCGTCCTTTGCCTCTTCCAGCCAGCTCAGATGCAAAATTGGCACCGCCATCGGGGTTTGGTAAGATGCGCCCGCTTTCGCCGGTCCAATGCAGGCACCGACGCGACTTAAACACAAAAAACCATCCATCCTTCACACCTTCATACCTTCACACCACAGGGCTAGGCGGTTCGTCCCAGTCCCAGGTTTCGACCTAAACAGCCTTAGTCCACCCCATTAGCTAGAATAAGATGGCAGATGAACCATACCAGACGGTCCTGGACTGGCTTGTCCGTGTGGTTCCCTCACTGGCAGAAGTCGGCCGCCGATAAAAAAAAGAAGCTGCCGTGTCTGGCCGAGAAAACGAGATCCGCTCGTCTCATTGGACCGCCGGCTTCGATCTGCTAACAGCCGCCTGTCGCCCCTAGTCGGCCAGTCGCGTCTCCTGCGCAGCATTTGTGCGAGCCGTGATTCGCAGCTCCCCAGCAATTTGGTTCGTCCAAATGTACATCATTTTCGACGAGTCGCGGGCCCGGGATTCTTGCTCCAAGGACCCACAGATGGGCTAAGCGTGGTGGGAATTCAAAGGCGTGATGCAAGTGTGAGTTTGCCAACATCAGATCATGGTGTAAGTCAACCATGGCCTCTTACACGGCCTGCCTCAACGCGTCTCTTCATCTCGATGGGCGGTTACGGTTGGCGTTAACGAGACCCGTTTTGACCTGCAAATTTTTCTTTTCCTCTTCCTTTGGCTTTGGACTTAATTTTTTTTTTACCTCTTTGGGTTCCTCAGCGCCAGGATATGGGCCCATGCCATGTCGCCCACTTAGCACGAGCAAGCCTCATCCTAGACCCGGCCAGCCATGAGGCCCTCGCTCAGTTTCGCCCGGATGGACCAAACCGTGGCCAAGCTGCTCGGGAAGGCGAATCTTGACTGTCCCAAATCCGCAACTCAATCCTTTGTTTCCTCCCCCTTTTCTCTTCACCTCTCTTCTCTTTGTCATCACCTCTCTCAGCACGTTCAAGACGGAACGGGCCGGCATGATCCAGATCACGGCCCGTGGCGAAGGGGGCACCAACACTCGGTCACCCAGGGGGTGGTTCCACTCGCTGGCTTGGCGCCTTGTTACGCCGGTGTGCGTGTCAAGTCTGTGTGTGCGTGCGAACATGTACGTAAAGTACTGTGTGCATCTGTATGTGGCATGGACAAGTCTCTGTACACGACCCTTGTCCCTGAGGCTGGGACCCGGCACCCCATAACCTACCTCAACACCAAGCTTGGCCACCAAAAGCGGCCGACCACAGCCTGAGCGATGCCGCAATGCAAGATTGGTTGTCATTTTTGTAAACAGACTTTCGGCGCCTGGCGCGCATGCTCTCGGCCGCCTCTGGCCTCTATGTCGGCATTGTCGATTCACGGATTCTTCCCCAGTGCTGATTGAACCGCTTGAGACGTATCTTGACACGCAGAGCCCAACTTGTACCCAATGCAACGGGGGACGTGGTCCTCTCTCCTCTCCTCCTCCTCCCTCTTTACCCGTCCACGTCAAAGCCTCTAGCAACCACGACATCGAGCTTGAAAAAGAGCCATGGGAGATGCAGGCTGTTCCCAATGCAGAAGGCCAGCTCATCATTGCGGCTTCTCCGGCCTGTGCTCCACGGTCTCATGGCTCTCACCGTCACTTAGACGCAGTTCTCTCCATAGATTTGTTTGCAGTACTCGAGACCGGTGACGGAATCTCCAGCCCGCTAATGTCGCCCGTGCTTTCAGCCACTCGTGTTCTTGAGACCCATATCACTGACACTGACACAGAAAAAAAAGGACCCAGCCTTTTGCTGCTTCATGTGAGTTGTTTGCGCTAGTCCATCTTGTCACAGGCACTCCTGCAGCGATGTGGATGATCGGCGATTCAGTCCGAGCTTCATTCTTATCCTCTAATCTGCACATGCCATGCTGGGCGTATAGCTAGGTCGTTCCGTCCTAAAGGGTGCTGACCCTGCGTCCGTCAACGCCACAATCCTGGTTCAAAGCGTCTGGCGTCGCACCAGCTTCAGCCGCGTCGAGGGGCGCGTGGCACGCTGGCCAGCTGTACCGTCTTGCTGTTCGCAAAGTATAGCATGCTTTTCAGCATGTTCAGATGAAAGTATGGCTCGGTTCCAGCTTGTGGTTCGGTCCCGGGCTCAATATGGTCTGGTGGATGGCCTGTTGATCGGCGTGGTGTCTTGCCGGGGAAGCAACGATACACTTTCCGATTCAGTGGGCGACAAGGCCGTCTGTCCGATTCACACAACCTTGACGCAGTGCTTCCCAAACAGCCTGTCTTGGGTTCTCTTGGTTTTTGGCTCCGAACGCTGTGCCGCCCACCCAAACCCACCAGTCACCCTTCAGGAGGCTGTGTCGAACCCATCCCCCCTTCCTCTAGCCTCCTATAACGCCACAGTAGCGATCCCCGGAGAATAGAGCCGCGACAGGGGCTTCGATTCGTTCGTGATAGCCTGTGGGCTGTCTGTATACATCATTAATATAGATGGGGTCAGCTCCTGGGAGCCACTCAGTTGAACGAACCCCCCTCCCCCTCCTGGCTCCCCCCCTAAGCATCAACCCTGAATTGAATGCTGATGCAGTTTGCCATGCAGTTTGTAAATGGCCACCCCGGGACAAGGCTGCTTGCGTCCAGACGAGTGATGCCACGTTGGCCAGATTAACACAGCTCTCCTGGCTTTGCCCCCGCTATCGAGCCTCTGTGCTGACGGCCATACGTCAAGAGACGTGCAAGTACAGAAACAATCTCCATCTAGATATCAGAGGGTCTGGTCTGGTACCAGAGGGGCCAATCATCTCACCTTCTCGGGCATCCGGGATATTCATGTGAGTCGTGAGGTATGCATAGGTACCATGCATGCCCATATGTGAAGGCATCGTCGTGTACGGTTCTAATAGGACGTGATGAAAGGGAGAAGAAAACTAAACGCAGCAGGTGAAGTAGTAGTCCCGGATATGTCCCTTAAAATAGGTAACTACCCTTGAGATGCTCCATCCTCCCGGTGGAGATGTGTTTCTGAGGAAGCCACGATGCCCTGACTCTGATAGCCGCGGTCCAACTCTCCAGTCCACGACTAATGCATCTTGTCCAACCCCGTTTGAGCGAAGAGAGCGAGCGAGTGAAAGAAGGACATCGAAGCAGTGGCATGTGGGGATCCCATAAAGAGCCGCATTCACAAATGTTGTGTGACCACCGGAGCCTGTTGTCCTTGCTGTTGTCGGCCGCACCTCCAGATTATCCTTCTCAGGGTATTATATGAGATGGCGCATCCAACGCGAGCAACATGACCGTAAATGGGAGCTTGTCGACCCCAGAGAATGGGTGTGACGATATGGAGGCAGGACCAGAGGTACCGCCCACAAGTGAAATTCCGCGTGGCGTCGATTAAATATATCTCTAAAACCGTTTTCAGCTTGTAGTGGCCAATTGTGGCTCCATTGTTTTTCTTATAAAAGGAACAAAGCTGGATATCGCCTCGTCCCCCCTTTTTTGACAGGGCACGGGAGCTATCCATATCAAGAGATAGCATATCTGCTGGATGATATTTCCAGTTGAAGAAGGCTAGAATGCTGCCATTGTAGTTGATCACATATGTGTGTACTCACAGATAAGTCAAAGAGCTATCCCGTCCAGCTTTGGCGACATGCTCGGTGCTGGTGGCATCCAAAGTTCTGCTACTATGGCCACTATGGCCACTACGGCCATGCGGGACGAACCATGACCCTAGCATTCACCGAAATCGACACTTAGAACCACATACTAAGCGGTCAGGATCCATCCCCCTGTTCCATGACACTTGTCCATCCTCGGGACGAACCATAAGAGAGACCCACAGTGGCCGCAGATCGAGTCGCCCACTACTTGTGGTGGAAAGAGAGAGTAGGGCCCGAAAGCCAGGGCCTCTTGTGGCAAGGACACATCTTTTCTAGCAGTAGCATGCGTGAGCAGACGTCGGTGCTCCATTTGGTGTATCAACCGTCAACCTGCAGTGATGATGTTAACAAAGGAGACTAGAAAGATCGGGGATGATATGAATTGCCAACTTTTGTCCAATTGACAAGAGTCAGGCCCAGCTGAACGAAGCAGACAGCAAGTACCAAGACTCACAGGCCCCGAATGTGGCAAACCCATCGTCAACGCACCCCTCCTTGATTCTTCGAGATGCGTTATCGAGGTCTTGAAATCTTGCTTCTTGTTCCCTTCCTGCTCTTCATTCGCCATGGTGTGGACAAGCTTAACCCCCCAGATGGGAACCGAACTTTGGAGCTTTGGAACGGAGTATTTTTACAGATAAAATGTGCCGGTACGCCTGTGTGTAGCATGTTAAAACAAAACGCGGGGACTCTGGTATGGGTTTTCTCTACGGCCAGCCTATGAGGCTGGACCAACGTGGCAAAGCACTCTGCAGGCTCACGAGCACACCACCGGAGGAACCCCCCTCCCCAAAGTGGCCAAGTGGAAGGAAAAGGTAAAAGGGGATATGGATATGGGGAACCCAAATCGTATATGTCGACCTAAAGCCGATGCAGCAAAGGAATTGGGCCAGTTGAAGGGAAGCTTCTCTCATCAAAGCTGAATCAGTTAGTCGAGATTTGTGTGTATGTGTACCTGTAGCGCCATGACAGCGGTGGCATTGGTGAAAGCAAAGACAAGGGACAAGGTATGTGGCAGTCATGGTGGTGTTCTGCATCGAGGCTACCTCCACATCGACCCCCCACACGCACACACGCACAATTTCACTCCCACCCCTCCCCCCTACCTTGGAAGCCAGGAACGTGCTACAGGATACGCCATCACACGGCAGCAGGGGTGTGCCAATGGGTGAAAATAAGGGGTGTGTGGGAGTAGGGCAACTGGCATGTTGGTATAGGGCAAAAAGTACGGATACCCAATCCACGTATCAAAGCATCTTTTTTTTTATCCCGCAGGAAGCAGGACGATAATGACGAAGTTTGTTGGCCCGTGTAAAGGAAGGTGCTTGTTGGTCGCTGTGAGTCCCACCGAGGATTGGGTTGTAAAGGCGCTGGATGGTAAAAGGATAGGACGAGGGCCGAATGGACAGCAGTTGTTCTGACTTCAGGCGAGTATAAGTTAGCTTGGCCGTCCCCAATGCTGAATCAAAGCAGCCAGACTTACCAGCCCAGACTCGGGAACAGACGACGAGCCCAAAACCGCTCAATTCGACGTTGAAACAATCCTCGCCAGCCGAATATACAAGCGAGTCCCGACAAGACTAAACGGGGTGCCCTGCATCGAACGATTCCGGCGCTAGTCTGGAAATTGCTTCCTCCCGGTCGTCTTTGTCTATTGTAGGTGCCAGCTTGAGCAATTCTTCACTTCACATCTTCACTTTCCTCCAAGCATGGAGCAAAGAGAGGGAATCCTTCGTTATGCCTGAGGGAGCAGAATTGGCTTTGAAGGGTGCCCATTGCTTGGCAATGTCCATTTGCTGATATTCTCGATTCGTGATGCAGTTCTCCTCCTCTCTTCTATCGCCTCCTTCCCCCTCCCCCTCCTCCTCGGCTTTATCTCCTCCCGATCGACGCCATCCACCGAACGAATTGACCATGTGTTATTTCGAACAGACTCGTTGGAGTTGTGGTTACTGGCGCTGGGGCCACTTCCGCCAGCAGTGCAATAAGGAATATCGAATGGGAGAGACGTGCGGGCTGAAGCTGATCTATGAAACAAAACCTGATCCCGACGTCTGTAAGCTATGTCACGATACGGAGAAGAAACGACGGCGTCTGGCCAAGATGACTCTGGATGTGGAGCGTTGGAAGGTTGAGGGCAATCGGACAGCCACCATCGAAAGGACGGAGGAGGAAATGGCAGCTGTCAGTGCTCAAATCGCGGTAATGGATGAAGATCATTTGCGCAGGCTACAAACGCTTGCTCAGGTATGAGAATAGCCCCTCCCCCTCGCCTTGTCGAGACACGGCATGCAAAACACAAAAAAAGTCGGACACAAGAAAACCACCGTGGCACCAGCGGCATCTCTGTGGCTAACATTTTCCTGTGCTTCAGTGACGATGGCGGGGGGGAAAGTCAGCTTACAGAAGACACGGCCACAAAGTCAAAGGTTAGCCAGCGGATATCAGAGACTAGGCACAGCACACAGCATTGGTTCAACTCGGAGCGAATAGAAAAAAGGGAGAGAAAAAGGGTCCTGGTCTTGTTGGAAGAAATTTTTTTATTGAAGGCTGCTAAGCCACGGAAGTCGTTCGCTGTTTTTCGGGTTGTCTTTCATCTTTGCATTTTCAGCATGGTCCCGGGCACATGACAAAAAAAAGCGTTTTTTTTTTTTTTTCATGAGTCGGTCAAAAAGGCTCGATTTTGGTCGACTTCATTGTATAATCGGTTTGATGGATTTCAAGGACGTTTGGTTGGATTTTTTCTTTTCTTTGCCCTTGGGCTCCGGTAGCGAATTGGGTCGTCTCGCACTCCTTTTGTTTTAATTAGATACCTAGGTACTGGGATCCCGAAATGACACGCTCCATACTTCGTTCTTTGTCGACCTTGAGAGGCGCGGCTTCCGGGGGCCTGGATTTAGCACCACACAGATTTCATTTGGTGGTGGGCTGGATGAGTTTTGTGGGTGGGCCAGTTGCTGCTACTGCAAACGACTGGGGGTAGTTCCTTGTGACGAAAACTCCTTGGCGGGGTGAGGGTTGAATGTGTCCAATGTCCATCGACTGCTTGATGTGATGGAGGCGGGCTAGTACTGGAATAGCGTTGAGGAGCAGACGTCACCAACAATTAGTACGAGGTATTCCGGTAAATCCCCTTAATGCGTCTGCTCGTACAGTAGCTGTAGAGGCTGTGGCAGCGGGGGGCTCGATCTGTACAAGTACTAGCTGTACGAGTGTTCGTATGCGTGGGATCCTCGCGCCAGCAGACAGGCAACGTATCGCACTTTGACGAATGAGTCCCTCGCTTATCGCGTTTGTGACCAGGCTAAAGCCATGACGCACGCTTACTGGTACCAGGGAGCTGACGTGAAGTGTTGGGGGTGGGTTGGGATTAATCACATGGATATATCGCAAAAGAGGACCGCACCCATGGGTTGAATGCGTTGCGAATCGATTTCCGCCGCGGAATGCCCAAGCAGGACCGGTCTGCCGGGATTTCCTTGACGAGTATGGACCATCTCCGCAGAAATGTCATCGTTTCCCCTTCGATCCCCGCGCCGGTGGACAGTCAAACAGCCCGGGATGCCGTCCAGGGCCAAAAGCCACTGCCGTCTGTAGCGGCTGACCGTAACGAATGGAAGCCATACAGTAGCAATTGACAACATGAAGCTACTCTCTGCTGTCACCCCCCTCCTGTCGCTTACGGGCATGATGCCATGGCTTCTCTAGCCTCTTGTGTCGCTCCCATTCGGCTGCTGGGGTTCGCGAGCCGGGGGTGGCTGGCCTCGTCGTCTCGTCCTGACAGCCCACCGAGCTGGACTGCGCTTCACCACCATTTACCGACAAATTGGTTCCCTCAACAGGCACAATCCCGATGACTTGGATGTGCCCCCGAACCCTGCCCACCCCTCAAAACGGAAGCCGTGGGAACTAAAACGGCGGTGCGAGCCGAGGCCGACGAAGAACCAAGCTAAAAGACGGAATCCGACGGCTAGCTAGACGGCCAGTCCTTGATATTCTGGCACTAGACGGCTCCACTGGTCGGCCTGTGCACGTGTCTGACGCTCAATGGGCACCTTGCGGTGAAGCATCTTCGCGGGCTTGCTTTTTACTCGACAACAATAATAGCCCAATGCTTCCGTACCGTAGGCTGGCGAGAGACTTTTCTCTAATCATCTTAATTCACATTCTTTTTTGGCTTCATGCTTCCAATCACAATGGCCCAATGGGCTTTGGTGCCAAACGCCAATTGATGAGTGGATGCTTGTTGTTGAACGGCAACATAAAATATGGATTTTTTTCGGTTCTTTTTGGTGAAGACCTCTTGTTGGTACAAGCGCTTGCCACCCCTGGTCATGCGCTCTTTTTTTTTTCCTAAGGAGAAAAAAAGGGAGTGTGGTTCCGGGAAATTGGTAAATCTCGGTTCAAGAGGCAACTCGCTTGAGATGCCGCCGCTCTGGAAGACTTCTAGCGCTTTGACAGAGCCTGGGGTATCGAAAAAAAGATACTATTGAGAAGATGAAAGAAAAAAAGAAAAGAAAAAAGAAAAAAGAAAAGAAAAAAGAAAAAAGAAAAACGATTGTGAGTGCTGAATATATCATTGTCCCTCCTGACACCACGCTGCACCATTTTTTACCCGCCACGCCTCTTTGGCAAAGGAAACCGAGGAATCACTATTACTTCATGGCCGCGGCCGCATCTGCAAAAGTCCCAACAAGTGCCGCATCGTCATCGTCGAGTGTTCTTAGGCTGGCTGGGCGATCGCCGTGTAGTTCGCCGGCATCCTCGTCGGCAAGCCAGTCAACCTTGATACCGGCGGGAGGGCTATCCTCTTGTGTGCTGAGTTTCGATACGAGATGGTGGTAGCGCGCCACCCGAGCACCTTGGCCAGCGTAAGCAAAGAGCGTCGTCGTCGAGGTTCGGCCGATGGGGTCTTGCGGAGCGATTTCGAAGATGTCGACCATGTTGCTGCAGCCCAAGTCAGTGTCTCAGTTACAAAAAAGAAGCCAATCACGTAATCTGGAGATGACCAACTTGGATGTCTTTGCGACTACTCTCTGCAGCGCCTCGTTCTCTCGCTGGGCCTCTGCAGTGTCGCCTTCTCCATTGAGCGCGGCGTCGCCAAAGCTGCCGTACTGCATCCCATTTCCGTCATCGTACAGGAGCCGGTTCTCCTCGCTCTGCGCAGGGGGAAACTACCCGTCAGCCTTGTTCTCATAGCAATCGCATAGCGCTCGCAAACAGCCATCATCGTAGTCTAGAGCGCACCTCATCGTAGACGTCCTTCTGTCGCCGTCCTAGGCATGATTGGCAGAGCCCCATGATCTCGGGTTGCGGTTGCGCGATCGGCGCGGGTTGAGTGACGCGTTTATCGGATGCAAATAAATCGCCGCCGTATTCATATCATGTTTCCAGAGCACGCAGCAAAAATCTCGAGCAACGTGCGGTGTTTTTGTCGCCCCAAACCCCCTGTCTGCGATGCTTGTCGTCCGTTAGTCATTGGAGGTTGAAGCTCTTGCCTTTGGGGGGCTCACGAGCTCTGGTCCGGGTAAATTTCGGACCGCTCAACGTCCCTCCCATTTCGGCAGCTCCTGTTATTCACCTCGACTAACACGAATTCGATCAACTTTTAATGCTTAGCAACGAGTGATAAGTATTTTTCTTTCTTTTCTTTTCTTTTTCTCATTGCGATGAATCTCATCATATTATCGCTTCATGGAATGTGCTCACCAATTGGCAATTTTCAGGGCTTTCACTCCCTCGCAACCGTTATAGATGGATTTATACGGGATCCATTCATACCAGGGGTCTCCCTTGAGACGGACAACTTGGCTCTTCCCTAGAGATTCAATCCCTTCAATTCAATATATAGAAATACTTTTACCCTCTTTTAATTGCCTTGGCCGATTAAGCACCCCCAATGCCAAGGGACTCGGTGTATCTTCAGCTCATAGCTCTAGCTGAGGTCATCACTTGAGCTGGCTAAGGGCCATGAGGGGGAGCCAAAAGGCCTCCTTTATATTGACATCCCATTCTTGCCGCACTTATTGCCTTCAAAAATTGAGCTAGCATACATCCGATTTCTGCTCTAACTAACTTTTTATGCCATTTGCAAAAAGATATAAGAAACCATGGCGGTCGCCTCTTCAATGAGTTGTCCTCATCATCATCTGCATCACCACCATCATCACCATCACACCTCTCTTCTCTTTTCTCTTCTCAACCTTGGTGACCTTCAGTTTCTACTTCGCTAGTCCCCTTCAACCCCTCATTACCATGCTCAGCATATTGCCTTGGGCCTTGATGGCTCTTGCTCCATTGGCAGAGGCCCGTTTTGGTCCCAGGCCAAGATCAGCAGACGATGATTCTCTCCGATGCTGCCCTTGTATTCCAACAAGCCTCAACCCACAGGAAACGACTGTCACTATTACGGCCACAAACTCCAAAGAAACCGTGACAATCGATCACACAATTTTTGTGCCAGCAACCACCGTCTTCGTCACTCAGACTCTTGCTCCTAGCTCACCTGCTACTGTCACCCAAGAGGTCACAGTTCATCCAGAATTACCAGCCAAGATAGAGACGGCGCTGGTTACCATTTCCAGCTCAGAGCCCTCAGCACAGACAGTTACGATGACGGTACAGGCGGGAGGTGACCAACCCGAGTCGCCCAAGACTGTGACGGTGACAATCAACCCAGACGAACCAACAACATTTGTCAGTGCAACGGCCACTTCTGCTGTGACTATTACTGTCACTCAACAGACGCCAGATAGCTCATCAGCTGAACCATCACACTCAAGCAACAGTCAGGGAGTCGACGCAAACACTGTCACTGTCACCAATTCCCAAGCATCTCAGACTGAGGAATCAAAACCGAGTATCAAGACTGTGACCGTCGTGCAGAAGCCACCTGGCCCAACTGCCGAGACGGTGACGTTTTTGGAAACCCCAGCAAGCCCCAGTACTACGGTAGTAACACTTGCAAACAGTCCTTCAAAGGCAATCTCTGCAAACTCTACTGTTGAGACGATAACCTCTGTGGAGAGCCAGGCAACCTCAAGCACTTCAGCAACCGCCTCAGCAGCAACCGCCTCAGAGAGTAATGCATCAAACTCAACCATTGAAACGGTGACGTTTGTGGAAAATCCAGTAAGCCCAAGCACTGCGACAGTTACTCTCACAAACAACCCTGCCAAGCAAAGCTCTGCAACAGCGACTTCGGCAAGCAGCGCATCGAACTCAACCGCCGAAACAGTAACAGTTGTGGAACACCCTGCCAGCCAAAGCACTGCAACTGTGACCCTCTCAAGCAGCTCTTCAAAGCCAACTACTTTCAACACAACCACTGAGACTGTACCCTTTGTAGAGAATCCTCCAAAGCCAACCGCTACTCCGCAGGTAGTGTCCCCCAAGAGTTCATCGAGTCTGGGTACAGGCGTCCAGACGGCGACTTCTGTGGCCAAACCGGCAATGATCACAGGCCCACCGCAGGCTGGAACAATCTCGCCTACTGTTGACCAATTCACTACTATGACGCAAACTGTCACCTCCTCCGGGGGAGACGTCAACATCGAAATCAACATCATCAACATCTTCACCGGAGAGGTCATCTGCAAAAGGGAGGGCAGCGACGAGCCTTGTGACCCCAAGCCGTCACCCTGCTTGACAACTGGCATCTTCACACAGACGGCGACGGCGTTCAACACTGTCATTGTGACTGTGAGTCCCGGTATGTGGACAAATGGAACATCTGCAACTGGAGTTGCGCCGCCGCTTGGTACAGGTACTGGCAGCCCTGTGCTTCGAAGGGGCAGGGTGCCTATGATTAGGAAGCGACTGTAAAGCAGTCTATCTAGTGAGAAGGTGGCTGTGGTAATGTCGAGAGGCGTGGATGTAACGATATGAACAGTGTGGTTTTGTACAATGCGGTGTAATGGGTATCTATGGTATATCTGGATCTGACGGAACTAATACGGGTTTGCTTGTTTTGTGTTGGATATCTCTGTTTGTTCTGAATCAGTTGTCACTAAGAAGAGGGGATTGTTACATGTAGTTTGATAGTGTTTTCATTTTTTAGGCCTGATTTCCAATATATCGTAACAATTTCATCATCAAATGCAGTATCTCAACCCAACTTACACCCAATTCTCCCGAATCACCTCGGCAATCACACCGTGATCCTCATGCTGCTTCAGTCCACTGACAACAACCACTCCCACAACTCCCTCCACGCCCGCAACCCGGATCGGCACACCACCTCCATGGATCGCATAGCCCCCCGCCTCACTCGGTCCCAGCGAAAACTTTGCCGCAAACGCCGCCTCATTGCCCGCGTACTTTTGTCCCAGATACCACGAGCTCGTGCCGAACCGCAGCACCGCCGCCGTCTTCCGCTTCACCCAGCTCTCGTTGTCGGGCGTCACGCCGCTGCCCGTGGCGACTTGGTACAGCGTCTGAGATCCAGCGCCCGCGCTGATAGAGATGAGTGTGGCACGACCTTCTCGGGCATAGGGGAGGAGGCGGGCGTAGAGGAGGTTGCCGAGCTCGACGGCATCGTCGGCTGTGAAGGAGGAGAGGACGAAGCCATCGGCGCCGACATCAGCGTCGACCAAAGCTTGAAGCTATTCACAAGTTTTAATATTAAGGGCGAAATATTACTCATGTTAATGTTGTCAAGGTGAGACTCACCTCTTGTGCAGAGCTTCCGCCTGGGGGGCTCTGAATGGGAGTTGACGGAGCAGAGCTTCGAGCTGCGTTTAGAGCCTTTTCGAGACCATGTCCCGCAGCAAAGTTGCGTTGCCAAACTTTTCGAGCCATGTTGACAGTAGTTGTGTTGATTAAACCTTTTAAAAATGAGTTGAAGGAAATGAAAGTCAGAAGACGAGTGAGGATTAAATAGCTATAAATAATATGTCAAACATCTTGACTTAAGTTTTAAACTTAAAATGGCTTCGATCAAATGAACGCTGCACTAAACATCGGGCCGACTAATCATCTCTCAGCTGTGCTCTGCGGAGACACTTTTTGGGTAAACGGACATTCTTGCCAGTCTTCGGGATTTATCAGGATTTGCTGGTGGATCGGGGGGAATCGCAGCTGTTGATAGGCGGCGTGAAAATTGGGGGCAGTTTCTATAGCGAGTCGTGTTTCAATTTGGAGCTGTGGAGAAGCTGTTATGACTCCATTCTTCAAGTTGACTTGTGAGATGAGCGACTGAATCAACGTGGCCGAGTGATGATGCATCTGTTACGCAACGACAAGGCAAGGGGCATGGCATTATCATTGTGAAGCGGCAAATCTGACTATCCAGGGCAAAGAAGCAGGGGAAAGTAAACGAAAAATAGAGCAGCAGACGGTGAACGCTTTTATACTATTGATCCCACCTCGTATAATACGACTAAGGCCTACTAGCACTTGACGCCTTGGTACAGTGTACGGGTATGCAGTCAACTTAGCATGTCGTTCTTTTTCATATATGTACCATTTCTGATTAACTAGACAGTCTGTGTTTCCGAATATCTACAGTTGGCAAAGTATTGACAATGAAAGGCGGCAGATTCTGCAGTTCAGAATAAGAAAAAGTCGTCGCAATTGGCGCACGTTCACTCATGCCGCCAGGTAAGAATAATCACTAGAGGTTTAAAGACGCTCCACGAACAGACCCAAACATTGTTGGAGTCCTCGTTACCGGAGCTGATCATGATATCCGCCTCGTGCATGACCGGTGGCGGCGGCCGGGGATGGACCGGAGGCAGCGGGATCCAGAATCGGGGCGGGGATACAACATAGGGCGGCCGTAGAAGTTGCCGGTACAGACGACGATTTCGCTTGAGTTCATGACGCCTCTGAAGCCATTGGGGGTGCATTTTCCCTCCTGGTCACAATTTGACTGAGCCATGACAGTTTGCTAGACAAAGTCTACAAATAGTGTAGAGTAAAGCAATGACTTGCCGCGACGGGAACGCAGACATGGGCTTACTTCTAGAGAACCTTAAACTATAACTTCTGTGGAAATTACAATGTTTACAGAAACTACAACTTCTACGTCAGCTTCAGCTTCTTGCCACTCTTGCAGATAAATATATTATTTTAGAAGTCGACTAGATCTATTGACTACTACTACTCAACGGTTCCATTCCATACGGTTCTATATATGCTACGTCAATATCCCCCATATCCCCTCACGTCTTTCAAACTGTTTTTATAGTACACTTGTGCCAAAGTATCACCTCCAACTACCCAAAACTCATCCAAATTTGATGGAAAGACTATGAGATACATCGTTGTATTCCAGCTGCGATACAACCAGGCGGGGTAGCTGGCGGGGTCATATGTGTGGCTGGCTGAGACGTGAGATTCAATGGGCCATGAAACGAGGCTGCCTATCAAACATTCTTTCGTGGCATCGTGTGTGCCAACCATCTTCGATGTCTTTGTTTGGTCATTTAAAAATGGGTCTCACAAACATACAAGAGAGCTTAAATAGAACTTTCCAGGCTTACTGAATACCATTTCTGCGGTCCTTGCTCAATTTTAAACATGTCGGAATATAAACCCTCGCCTCGCGGTTAGTTATATGAAAGACTCACACGGAGTTGTTATCTGTATTCTATTCTTCATGAAGACATCAATCCCGTGCATAGTGCATATATATCATGGCACCGCAATCTAGCCCAGGACCTTATACCAAGGTTGTAAACGACACTGGTCTTGATCATGGAGATATTGCGCCCGCCATCATCTCCGTGACGATTCAAAAGAGCGGCAACAAAAGGAGAGGCACCAACAAGGGCATGGCAAGCGCTGGTCTCTACGCCGCTCTTCTGGGAGCCGCGGGCCTTGCTTCGCCGCCATCGTTGAGCTCGACAAGCTGGGCAGTTGGCATTATAGGACTGCTTCTCGCCGGTCAATCAACACATGACATTTCCCAAACGGACGATGGCAAGTCTCACTCCAGAGTGCTTTACCTAGGAGACGCCGCATCTCTTGGTGTTGATGAGCGAAATACTAATGAGATTGTCATGTATCGAGCTTACGTGGATGAAAATATACTCAAGATCACTGAATACTTTGTGCCCAGTGTCAGGTCTCTCTTGTACAACGCCAGTGATATTATCAAAGGGTGTACGCACGGGGGTACATTAGACAGAGAGGCCAAGGACTTATTTACTTTCACTTTTCCGGAACCTCAAGTCATTAACCTGTACCGCTATGTCTCCATTCGTGGATTGAGTCCCACGCCAAGTTTTGGGACGAATGGTTCCGGGCTCCCCTCCGATGGTCTTCCAAAGCAAGGCTCATTGGTTTGGTACGATGCCGATGGGAAATTTTTGGCGCAGTGGGATGGCGGTACACAAGAAGAAGTAGTCGATCGTTTTGGAGCCGGATGGTTCGACTCCAACAACAAGGCCATCCGCCGAAACCTAGTGTCGTTTGTTCAAGAGATGAAGCCTCAGCTGAGCTCCAACATGACCATCCTCCACCTGAGCGATAAGCTCAACACCCCGATGCTTGTCTTGAACAACTGGAGGGTCGGCGATACAGGTGATCGCGCAGCAAACGTGGCAACACAGGAAGAGGTCCTGCGCTTTATCAAGACCGATCAAAGGAACTGGGATTGGGGATACCAGTGGGATAGCAACGGCGATATCTACCCCTGCCGCTCGCCCTATTACTACCGAGAAGATTACATGACTCGAAGCGAGGATTCGCACCTTTTCTTTCCCCTCACTGATAAGGATTGGACATATACGACAATGATTGTGAAGAAGGATTAAGGCACATAACAACAAGTGGAGAAGTTTTGAGCTTCGTTTCACCAAAGTTTCTTGTTCAAGTCTTCATTCTTGCTTTATACATCAAGTCAAATGCTCATGAACGTCAACTATCAGCAGATTATTGGAATTGGGAGTCATAAAAGTTATTATGAGTTGTACGACATATTTAGATGAGGCTCTAAAAGAGTTAATAAAATTGGTAAAAGGAAGAAGAGCAGTTTTAATAATAAAGCAACATCAGATAACCTTTTTCTACCTTGAGATTCTCCAAGACATAATATTAAAGTTTGCGTCCACATCACTGAAAATAAAGTGTTCCGACTCGCGACATGGAGAAGGGGAGGGCCGTATGCGGCTATTGAGAGATATCTGCAATTGCAAGAGCATCAAAGACACAGGTGACAAGGAAGACAAAAATAATGATGTTGAGAAGTAGATGAGATGGCATTATCAATCTTGGTAAACTTTACATATGTAGAAACTTGCCCATATGACAATCTGGTATCCGTTGGAGCCCAAGTCAGAAAATCTGAAGCAGTCTTTGTTGACGACACTGAATTGAATTGACAGCTACCTAGGTAAATTACTAACTCAAGGTCTATCTACTGCAATAAAAACAGACACAGATTGTCTCACAAAAACTCAACCACTTAACCCTACGCCTCATCATTATCATAGTGAACATCATTCTCCATCGTCGCATCAGACTCGCGTCGCCGCAGCACAGGTTCAGTCTGCATCCCACCGCCATACTCAATCACGCTCGCCGTGTCCGACAACTTCCCCGACTCAAGGTCCTCTATGCTCTGCAGCGCCTGAATAAACTTGGCCTGCTCGCTCTTGAGCCCCTCGCGCTTGTTCGCCGTCGCCGCGTCCTCATCCATGAGCTTCTCGTAGACACTCGCCGAGTTTGAACCGCGCACGCCAAGCTTATCGTCGAGATAATTACGAAGCTGTCGCCGAATCGCAGGAATCATACGGCAGACGATGCGCTGCGTCACGGCGTCGGAGTATCGTAGGGCGGCGAGTTTGTAGTACCCCCTAACGTATGCAACAACCTCAACCTCCCGCTCGAAATCATCCGGCTTCAGTTTGGTTTGCTCCAGTTCCCGTCGCTTGACCTCCTGTGCTTGCTTCTCCTCCGTCAGCACGTCCCAAGGCACGAGAGTCTTTTGTGCGTAGCCGGCTCCCACCATTCTCATATGATGGCGGAATTGAGTCAGCACAGCTCGCTCGCTCTTGAGGCACTGGTCAAATGCTTCCGTGTTGTATGTCATGACTCTTTCTGACTCATCACTGTAGAGCGCATCGAGATCTTTTTGCGTCGTTTTCCAGTGCTCATCCAGGCAGCTCTTGAGGTGCCGCTTGGCTTCTGTGTATATGAACCGCTTCTTCAGGTTCTCAAGGGATTGGTTAAGCGCCGTATCGAGCTCGGCTGCAAGCTGCCGAATCACTTCTCTCAGATACACACTGGTGGGCCCATTCCACGGTCTGATGGCTTCCATGGCCAAATCGTTGTAGACCTCTGGCGGGATGATGCTTGGCATGCCTGCCTTCATCTTGGCCTGAATCTCCTCCTTCACCTGTCGCAGTGTGCGAAATCCTCGGCCAATGTCGCTGAACTCTGTAAACGGTTCCGGGAAACACTGCTTCTGTGACCGTGGAGAACCAAAGCTGTTGCCATTAGCAAAGCCAGCTTCCTCGGGCTTGATCGTGTGCGGCGTCCCGTTGAGACCGTTGAGTGGATAATCTGTTCTCGTCCGCTTATTCGATGGCGTTGCGACCGGTGCTGTATTTCGTCGCTTCGAGGGAGTGACGAAGCTTGTTGCGGCAGTACCGACAGAGGCCGCATCGGACTCATCATCATCTATGAGATCCACCACTTGGGTATCGGTGCGGTCCTTGAGAGTAAACTTGGGCTTGCTATTCAAGAGGCAGTCTCGAAAGTTGGTTGGCAAGCTGTTTATGCGAGCCGCAAACTCGTCAATCTTCAGCCGCGCAGTATCAGCAAAACTGTTAAGGCAGGTCTGGATCTCTAGCTCCACGTTGTGGGGGAGCTCGGGAAGGTTGGCTAGCTGTCTGGTGACTTTATCGAGATGGTATTTGACTTTGTGTTTGATGTTTGGCAAACTAAAGGTGCCAATGTTAGCAGCCAGATACCGAATTTGAGTTCCTGTGAATTGATTCAATCTTACCTTTTCGCAAATTCCTCGCCAAGTCGCTCAGAAAGGAAAGCCTTGAGCCTTTCAACGCCACAACGGTCGACAAATGCATGGAACGCACCGGGCCATTTATCTACAGACTCGTCCTCAAACATCCTTTCCTCCCACTTTTTCAATTCATCCAAGTCCTTACCCTGGGGGCGGGAGGTTATGAAATACCCCAGGCCGGTTGAGTGAGCTTGCCCCTTCATGATTTCGAGCCACTGGGTATGGTTACCACCGTCAGGCAAGAGATCTGCCTTGGTTAGCACTCCGATTGTCCTGTCCTTAGCTTGCAATCTGCGAGTGAGACCGAAGGTTGCTGAATTCTCAGCGTCGCTATTCATGGGCATGGCACAAATAATGATGGCAGAGGGGTGCTGGATGTAGGCGCTCGAGAGATTTCGAACCACATTGACCAGGTACTCGTCGTTGGCATCAGCAGGATTCTGGAAAATGCCCGGCATATCGTAAAAGGACAAGTCAGGCAAGTCAGGGCCCTTGATCTCCAGAGAAACAACGTTGGGGGAGAACTTTGCCAAGGTCTCCTCTGCTGCCTTGTCGATGGGCGTATTCATGGCAATGGAGCCTCGTCCGGGGACAAAGAGAACGGGGGGCTTGTCATCATTCAAGATGGCAATCTGAGCCCAGCGCAAGACCTCTTCGATTTCGCTCTTGTCGTGCATAGATTTAAACTCCAAAACAGCAGTGCTGGGCAGCTTTCTCCAGGGAAAGAAGGGGTCATGCTTCGTGACATCGGATTCGTGGATGGGGCGGTTAGGGGTCGGCCCATACGAGTATTCTTTGCGGAGCCAAACTCGACAGGACCATTCGGCGTTGCGGGAGACGCGAATGTGTAGAGGGCATCGAGTGCATGCACCCTCGCTCCGAGGCAGATCCAGGTTAGCGAGGCCAGACATGAGACTAGACTTGCCCGCCGACTGATCGCCGACAAGGACAAGCTCGGGGAGTTGCACATCATGAGAGACGCCGAGCTGCTGGAGCTCTCCCAGGGTGTCATTGCAAGCTTTGAGTTTCTTGCCAATATCCTGAAACGAGGTGTGAAAGAAGCTCTCGTCCATGTTTCTGGGGCTACCCGCAACAGGCACGGTCGTCGTCGCCACAACGGTTCTGGCTCTGACTTCTCTGAAGATGGGGTCTGTGGTATGTTCTGACTCTACGGTACGCTCACTAGGCGCAGCTGAGAAATGAAGAAGTCAGCATGATATGATTTGATATGAGATGATGAAGAGATTCTCATGATGGGCATCTGTATGAGACTCACGAGCATTAGATCTATTTCCACGACCAGCCTTTGAAGACTGATGAAATTGGGTGTGATCCATGGCGTCGTCGCCATTAGTGCCGAAATCAGTGACGCTGTTAGCGTACATGTTTGGCAACAGCTCGGACTTCACCCGGATTTGTTCCTGGGGTGGTGGCTGGGGTGAAGCCTGGCGTAGTGGTGCTCTGCGAACACGGCGGCTAGCCATGATGATGAGATCCTCAGAGGAGTCCTAGTCCGTCTTGGAAGTTTGAGTGTCGTCAGGCATTGACGAGATTCGGCCTCGCTGATGGGAGACGCTTGATTCAGATGATGATTCAGATGGTCGTATGAAACATGTAGAAGATGGAAAAGGTGAATCCAGACGATAGCAGGAGTATAGAGGGAAAAAAGAAGGTGAAGAAGGGAAAGGAAAGAAAATGATTAGACAAGGAATATGGCAGTAAATGGGTATTAAGAGAAGGGAGAAGAGGAAAATGAAGTAAAATTACTGAGCAAACGGCCCAAGATGAGATGAAAGTGAAGGCGAAAGTGAATGACCTTGAGCTCAGACGTGAGAAAAATGCTGATGCTGGTGCTGGCAACTGATATCAATTCACCCAGCCAACGAACTGATGGTGTTTTGTTGCTGCTGCCCCATCGGCTTGCAGGGGCTGGTGCGAATGTTAATGCTTGATAGAGGCAGCGGTGCCTAGTTCAACCGTCAGCCAGCTGTAGATGGTACAAGGAACGAATGAAGGTATAAAACAGGCCATTGACTCCTGTTAGAGACACGGACAAAAAAAGAAGCGAGACTCACTAATAAATTGACGGATTTCTGAGCTCTGTAGCGTCGACGTGCTAACAGACGTGAATGCCGTCTGAAGCTCAAACATTAAAAGCTGAGCTACAAGAGACAAAGAGAGAGAGAGCTTGAGCCTTTGCCCAAAAAAGGGGGGCTGGGCTCGAGGCTCAGGTACAAGTACAAAGTACAGAATACTTGGGGCCACGTGACCTGCGTTTCACCACTTGCTGCACTTGACTGATCAAGCCTTGGATTCTGCCTGTCTATGGGATACCCTGTAATAGCTTGTATGAATTGAGTCGTTAAGCTGTTGTGCTGTGGCAATGACAACTCAATATCAACTGATGTGATTGATGTAAATCTACCTACCTAGTCAAGCACATAAACACAGCTACTAGTCCTCCTTAGTATTGTGAGGCTTTTCAGCAGCTGCCCCTGACAAGAAGCAATTGAGGCTCCATTGCCGCCCACACGGCTTTTACTGAGAAGCGCCTAGTGCTGGCGAATGGTGGATCTTGTGCTCTGTTTTTGCTCCGTTAGTACCTCGACTCTGCGTGCCGTGCAATTTTCAGTGGCCGCCATACGGAGTACCAAGTACATGTTCCTCCATCACAAGACAAATCCTGTGATGGTTAACAGACGATCATCCACCGGTTGGGCTGCTGTCTTTATGTTCGACGATGGTTTGCGACTGTTTTATTGCCATCTCTACAATTCTGAACAAGTTTACAATTTCAATTCCCCTAAATCTGCCTTTCCCACTGCGTAATGCCAACTGCAACTCCAATTCCAGCGTAGCACTCAGCAAGGCTACTGAAGTACTCTTGTACCTGCACCACCGCCTTGGGGAAGGAAAAAAAAAAAAAAAAAACTGATCCAAGAGAAATTAGTCTTCAGCCATCGGCTCTTAGCTCAACCCAACCGTAGACTTTACAGCCTCATAGCAGTAGCCAGTAGCAATACCTTGAGGTTCTCCTTTCTGTCTTGTCATCTCATCTCCCGGTTACTTAGGCTCAGAACATCACATCATCATGGACGCTGCAGGAGACGGGCGGAACGACGCCTTGGCTGAGGGCCGGCGCATCTACTTAGGCGCGGCAACTCTCTCTCGATCTGATGGACCCCCAATACTGACTGACCGGTAACAGGCAATCTCCACTACGTCCTCAAGTCGCAGGACATTGAGGAGTTTCTGCTCCAGAATGGCTTCGACGACATTGAGAACATCCACGTCTCTGTCGACCCCGTCAGCGCTCGCAACCCGGGCTACTGCTTTGTGGACTTTGCCGAGCGGGCCACCGCTGAGCGAGCTCTGACTGATCTCAGGGCGAGTCTCCGCGGCCGTGAGGTCAAGGTCGGTCCATGCGAGCCTAGGAAGAAGCGCAATGGAGACGGCCGGTCTACCTTCCAGCGCCCGGGTGACTGGAGGTCTTCCTCTGGCGACGATGGCCAGCAGCAGTTCCAGAGCGAGCCTAGGGAGCAGAGGCCCCGAGGAGGCTTCAACCGCTCTGAGGAGGTGGCCGATGAGTCTCAGGGAAAGCGACTGTACGTTGGAGGACTGGCCAAGAATGGGGACCAGGAGCAGAACAACCAGGAGGTGATGGACATTTTCACTGGATTCAACCCGTACGTCACTCACTCACTCACCCACCCACTCACTCAGCGTTCACTTCAATGTAGCTAATGATGAGAACAGCTCATACATTGGCAAGCGCATCACGCCCCATGAGAGCACTCGCAGCCCCGCTGGAACCTACTACTACTGCTTCGTGGACTTTGAGACCAAGGAAGAGGCCGAGGCCGCCATGCAGGCCCTGGATGGTGCCCAGTACGACGGAGGCGTGCTCAAGGTCTCCCTGGCCAAGAGGACGGACAGACAGTCCGCCCGCCCCAATGCGACATCAGATCGCAACAACGGCGGCCAGGGACGCGGATGGCGATCCTCCAACACCCCACGAACTGAGGGCGGAGCACCGCCGCCAGCCAGAGCCATGGGATCCAACAACTGGCGCCAGAGGACCGCCGAGTAGGTAGCGGACTGGTTGAGTTGAGCGACTGCAGTACGACTGAAATTTAGAAATTGGAAAAAGGGAGACTGGCTACCTATGGACCAGGCAAGGCCACAGTAATGCTGATTGATACATGATGTCTGAATTCTCTTCTTCTGATGTATTTGTTTCTTATCTATAACAACGACAACAACAAAAAGGTGGAAAAGAGGGAGACGGTCTGTCCTGTCTCGTCTCATGCCTCTCGTATTATAGCAGCAGCGAAAGAAAATACACGATGCCACTGCAACTTTTCTTTGTGATTGACTGATGATGATGATGCCCTCGGTTGTATTATCTAATATTACGAAGCACAGTAATAAGAGAGTTAAAAACTATTTGCATCCTTAGCTTCAGGAACCGGCCACCACGTGCGGCATTCTCTTGTCCCGCCATGCTGGGCTTGGAATTTGGACCCTTTTCCCGCCCCCTCGTTTAATTGCATATCCCGCCTCTCCTCCAACCATTGATCATCACCCCTGTCATCCCAGCAAATCGTGACCACGAGAAAGTCAGTCGTGCAGCAGCCGCTCCACCGCCTTGCCTCCCGCCAATTCGCCGGCCCAAAGATTCTCTCTCTCTGCATTGTGGACGAGCGACTTGGTGATATTTCTTTCTCCCCATTTGTCTAGCGCTGCTGCTCTTTTCTGCGCTTCTCTGGCTGTTCTGAAGCTGAAGCTCATATAATCCCATATCCCGCCTTCAATCAGTGATACCCCTCCCCCTCTCTTCTCCCGCTCCAAGCTCCAGCCAAACCTCCCAACAATGTCTCTCCACGTCCCCTTGCCGCATCGTTCTGCCACTCCGGTGGGCGCTGCCACCAAGGCTGTGATCCTGGTAATAATCACCCTTTTTCTTTTTGTTTTCTTTTTCCAATTCCTATCCCTACTCCTGTCTAGATGCTCCTGTTTGTTGCACTTCAATGAGCTTTGGACAGCTGGCTCTAAGCGCACACCGCCGTGCAACCTCACCATTTCGCATTGAAAACAACAGCTAACATATTCTCTTCCTTTTCTCTCCTGTCTAGGTCGGTGGTCCTTCTCGCGGCACTCGATTCCGCCCTCTATCTCTCGACCTCCCCAAGCCGCTCTTCGACGTTGCTGGCCACCCCATCATCTGGCACTGCCTCGACGCCGTTGCGCGCGTCAAGCAGATCCAGGAGGTCTACATCATCGGCTACTACGATGAGTCCGTCTTCCGCGATTTCATCAAGGACTCGGCCCGCGAGTTCCCCGGCATCAACCTGCGATACCTGCGCGAGTACGAGGCCCTGGGCACCGCGGGCGGCCTGTACCACTTCCGCGATGCCATCCTAAAGGGCCGCCCCGAGCGCCTCTTCGTCCTCAACGCCGACGTGTGCTGCTCGTTCCCCCTCGAGGAGATGCTCAAGCTCTTCATGGAGCGGGACGCCGAGGCCGTCATCCTGGGAACCCGCGTCAGCAACGAGGCCGCCTCCAACTTTGGCTGCATCGTCTCCGACTCCCACACCCGCCGCGTGCTGCACTACGTCGAGAAGCCCGAGTCGCACATCAGCAACCTCATCAACTGCGGCGTCTACCTCTTCTCCGCCGACGCAATCTTCCCCTCCATCCGATCCGCCATCAAGCGCCGCACCGACAGGCCCCGCCTCGTCTCGTACCCGTCCTCGGACAACCTCGACCACTTCAGGATGCCCCGCGCCGTGGCCGACGACGACGACGACGAGGACAAGAAGGAGGTCATCCGCCTCGAGCAGGACATCCTCGGCGACATGGCCGACAGCAAGCAGTTCTACGTGTACGAGACCAAAGACTTTTGGCGCCAGATCAAGACGGCTGGCTCTGCCGTGCCCGCCAACGCCCTGTACCTGCAAAAGGCCTGGCAGACCGGCAGCGAGGAGCTCGCCCCCGCCAGCGCCAACATCGTTCCCCCCGTCTTCATCCACCCAACTGCCGACGTTCACCCCACGGCCAAGCTCGGCCCCAACGTCAGCATTGGACCCCGAGTCGTCGTCGGCGCCGGTGCCCGTGTCAAGGAGAGCATTGTGCTCGAGGACTCTGAGATTAAGCACGACGCCTGCGTGCTCTACTCCATCATCGGCTGGGGCAGCCGTGTTGGCGCCTGGGCTCGTGTCGAGGGTTCACCTACCCCTGCCGGCAGCCACTCCACCAGCATCATCAAGAACGGCGTCAAGGTCCAGAGCATCTCCATCCTGGGCAAGGACTGCGGTGTTGGCGACGAGGTCCGCGTGCAGAACTGCGTCTGCCTGCCATACAAGGAGCTGAAGCGGGTAAGTTTTTTTTCTTTCTTTCTTGAACTCCTTAACCTTGACATGTAACTAACCTACTTTCTCCCTAATTAGGACGTCACCAACGAAGTCATCATGTAAGGAGCGTTTCCAAGAAGTTAGCGTGTGATAGACAACAGCAACAAGCATGTCTGCGATTGAATTTTTTTTTTCACGGGATATAAAAAAGGGGGTTAGGGGAAGATTGGGGGACTTCTTAACACCAAAGAAATAATCCAAAAAAAAAAAAAAAAAAAGTGATTCCCTGACTGTAATGATGTTACGCATTCTATTCCTAGGCCTCACGCAGGTGGGCAGGTGTTTGGGACAACGCCATAGAATATTAATGTTGAAGAGAAGCCGGTGTTATTCGTATGATCGAGTGTTATTACAGAAAGACATCACAAAATGTGCTAGGAAGAGCAGTAATGAGGAGTGCCTCAAGGTAAGGTGAATTGGTGTTTTCATTGCCCATTGATGTTTCATAAATGCATCATATCGAACTACCCTAGGTATCATCCTCAAACCTGCCCCTCCTCATGTACAAAAAAGGGAGTTGGGTATATTTGCAATCTAATGCATTTTCGCATGCCCTCTTCTAAGATCCTCCATTGCTTCCATGTGCCAAAAGCGGCCTTTCTCAGCCTCAAATGATCCCCTTCTATATGCACCATATCCGTAGCCTAATTCCTGCTTATACACCCAAAAAAGAAAAGAAAGAAAAGTATGTCACTAGTCCAAAAACAAGAAATATTCTTTGTGAATCCCAATTGTTGGATACATCACAGCTCCTTTTGCGAAGCTAGACGACTCGCTGGCCGGGCAAACATGGGGCTACTGGGCCTGCTGGACGTCGAACCCAAGCCCTTGACATCAAACGGCTCGACGGACTTGAAATGTTTCGAGGGCCCCAAACGGGGTGTGCCCACCGGTGTCAGAAGGTGTTCGATGGCGGGCTTCTCAAAGGTTGCGACGCGGATCGCGGGCGGGCGGTTTCGAGTGAATTTCTCTTCTGATACGCTATACAAGTACGTAGCGAGCAGCACAAGCATCGTGCCCAGAAGAAACTGCAACATTCATTCTCTGTCAGTAAAACTTGTAATCCAGGCTCAGAATAGCCGGGGTCGAACATACCGTGAGAGTCACTTTGAATTCAAAGACCCACACGCTGACGAGGAAGCTCAGTATAATGCTGATGCTCGTCGCAAAATTCTTGATGATGTTGTCTGCATCGCGAATGACCAGGCTAGCCAGCAAGCCTCCAGCCGCCTGCAACACGACCGTCGCCCACACAACCGCATTGTAGCCCTCGAAAAAGCCATGCTCGCGAATCCCAGAGCCGTCCTGCCACATGACGCCACCAATGAGAGCAGCAATCATGGAATAGAAGCTCAGCTGCAGATTGCGCACCCACACACTAGCTTGAGAGGGGCTCTCCTTGAGCAGCTTCTCGAAATAGACGCCCGTAAGACCAGAAACCGCCGCTGCGACGAGAACTGCAGTCACGCCGAGGGAGTAGTTCATGGAGGGCTCGACGGGGTGAAGATCGTTGTCGATGCCTTGATAGGTGGCGGAGCGGCGAGTGAGATGCGCTGCTGCGTCTTCGACGACGGCGTGGCCCAGCTCATGGCCTGATCGAGGGAAGAAGTGGTCCGGCATGCCGTGAAGTAGGGGGCTGGAGCTATAAGCACTGCCAATGGCGGTCGATCCAGGTAGAGAGACGATGGAGACGCCGAGTGTAAGAACAACCAGCGAGAGCCAGCGCTTGAGGCCGAGGGGGCGGCTCAGTAGATAGACGCTGAATAGCGCCGTTGTAAGAATCTGCAGTCAATGGGGTCAGCATTCAGCATTCAGCATGGCAGAGCGCCAGTTATCCCCGCCATTCTCACCTTGAGCTGGTACAGAACCTGAAAATGCACAGCATCCAGGTTCTCAATGGCCACATACTGCAGGATATTCTGCAGTGTGTAAAACACGCCCGGCACAATCAGCTTCCACCCATCGCCCGCAAACATGGCATTGTAGATCTGCTCAAACAGCACCGTGGCAGGCGTGCTGGGCGCCAGCGTCTTGGAGCCCTCGTATAGGGCCAGCGTCAGGGAAACGGCCAGCTTGATGAGTTCGTGGAGGAAGACGGCGGTCGAGGGAAAGTATCGGTGGTCGCCCGGAGGAGGCATGATGCGAGAGTAGTGCATGATGAGGATAAAGGCCGAGTTTTGGACAGTCAGCTAGCAGAGGCCGTCGTCAGTCAGCATTGTGGGATTTTTAGAGGAATATGAGGCGAAGAGAAGGGGAATTCGCACCAGGATCAGCGAGACTGGCTTGCCAGAGCTGCCAGCTCTGATTGCTGAGCCTCCGCCGTCGAGCACCGCCATGGCGGGCAGAGTCGCAGCTGCAATGTTTGGACGTTTGTGTGTGCGTGTGTGACTGTATTGTGTCGATGCGACGGATCAATTGCTTCCAGAAGGTCAGCCTGAGTGAAGCGTATGTAGGAGCTGTCTGTTGGAGAAGCTTTGACAGCAGCCAATCCAGTGGTGTTGAAGATGTCAGAAGACGGGAGGTTGGAATGGAAGCTGGTAGAGGTTCCGGTAGAGCTGGTGGTTAGCGGTGGTTTGTTTCGGCCAGTGGCCACGCGACACCCCCTCTCAGCCCTCTATGACGCTGCTAAAAGTGACGGGAAGCTCAGCTCAGCTCAGCTCAGCTAAGCTAATGGAACCCAATTACACAATTACTGTACCGTAGATGCTCAGATCTAGACAGAAGATGCCCAAAAAGAAAGGGTTCAAGAAAACATTCAATTGTGATTTTTCTCATGACATCGTCCCTTCTCCACGTGCGATCCGTCCAAAACACCCCTCGATCCATGACTCAATGCAACACAAACCGCATCAACGATCCATTCTCACTGCCCCCCCTGAAATGGCCCCTCAAGCCCCTGTACAGCTTACAGCTCACAGCTCCAAAGCCCCCATAGCACCCCCAGAGCCCACTAAAAATCCAGCGCAAGTCAGTGGGCCGAATTGCCACCTCGATGCGGATCGGCGGGACCCAAAAGGCTTGGTGTTGATCCATGGATCCTTTGGGGTCTTGGTCCCTCTATTTGCCGCCTGGCCTTGTTTGGTGAAAGTGCTAGATGGAGCTTGTCGAGCATCAATTTTCTTGGCCGTCTTGATGCCCAACCAGGGGCAGCTAAAGTGGGAATTAATACGAGCAGGTGCTATAAGTTTTGATGCATGGAGCGATTATGGGCTGCATTGCCAGCGTATCAGACATGCAGCGTTAATGTCTCCAGTTACATGTACACGCTGAGACACCAGGGGGAGGGGGAAGGTAAGTTGGTAAGGGAGAATAATGGAAACGAAAGAAAGACCAGAAAGATGCCCAGGTATAAACAACACATGCAGATTGTAACTGAACTGAAATGAATCTCTGGGTATATTCTCCGCACCTATCATGTCTTGACAGCAATACGCAACGCACCTAGATACAGACCACCCAGTTTCGTGCGAAAAAGAAGAAAAAAGTTTGACCTTACAATCCTCACTCCAAATCCCCTGTTCTCATGCCTTATGACCAAGTTCCCGTACGCAATTCCCTAGTCGTGACCCAATTGTTTCATCGCCTTTGCCATGGCTCTCGTCCAAGAAGGAAAGAATGCAAAAGACTAGCCAGTCGACGACCTTTTGGAGCCCAGTGAAAAATTCCTCTCGTCAATCACCGTGTGCCCAGACTGCAGGCCGGGGATAGCATCCTGTCTGCTGAGATCTTGAGCCATGAGACTCCAGAGCGCAAAGTACTCGGCCATGCTCTCTTTAGGGTTCCTCTCTTGTTCCCGGATGCTATCCCGACTCTGCGGTCCAACCATCCGGTTCCGGCCTCTGAGATTAAACCCCAAGTTGTGCTCAAACACTTTTAGTTTCGGCTTTTGCGTGTGCTCGGGAAGACTCGGCCGGTATGCATGTCGCGCATCCCTTTTGCGATAGTTCCACACGCTCTTCTGGGGAAGAAACATGCTGGCACTGATGGTGGGCACGGCCATGTCTCGTAGCGGTTGTCTGGTAAAGTCGCCAGCGGCATCCAGGTGGTTGAAAAGATCTTGATGGCTTTGGCTTCGAAAGAACGATAGAGACCCAATGTCAAACGTCGGCGACATTCCTTCCAGCCCCGTCTTGCACATGTTGCCCAACTAGGACGCAAATGCTTCGGCAGGGGATCCCACTTCATCGGCGTCACTATCGTGATTCTTGTCCTGTTGCCCGTCAGCAATACCGTAGTCGGGACGATCGAGACTGCCCTGCATCATCAGGCTGATCAAGTCAGTCCACCAGCTGCCAGTACGATGGCGGCCTCCAAACTCATTGCCCCGAATCTTTGCTGCAGTCGACCCATCGTTACAATTCAGGAGCCACGACAAATCCGCGTCTGCGTGCAGCAAATCTGGGTGTTTGTCGATGAAGGAAATCACTGGTCGTGAATGAGTCCGTATCTCGTCCTTGTCCAGCAAGGCCTCGTTAAAGCCGTAAGCAATCTCGTGATCTCGCATAAAGCGGAACACGTCAAACGTAATGTCATGGGTAAATTGAGCCTGCGTCCGCCCGTTCATAAGCATGAAGAAGACAAGTCGTTTATCGATGGTGACAGGTCAGGGGCCGCATAACTTACGCCTGGCTCAATTCTCCAAATCCAGTCGTAATCTCTCAACCGATTCTCACTGGCAAACGGTCCCGAGTTCCAGCGAGATATCTGGTCAAGGGATTGCACCTGTCGGCCAATTCCGGAGACATGTTCGCCAGTCTGAGCCGGGGATAGCGTGTTGAACGCCGCTGGCTGTTTTGGAGATGCCAATTTATCTTCAGAAATGACTTCGTAGAAGCAAACAGCACCGGTTGCGTTCGAAGTCTGCTGCCTGAACTCTTCGCTCAGGGGTTGAGTGCTGAAGAAGATCCAGTGGTATTGGTATCGGTAGTTGAATGTCTCTTCCAGTTGGGAGGTGGACGACAGGAGCGCAGACAGATCGTTCTCATGGGCGAGGGAGACGAAAGCTGCTCTGGGTTTCTGATCAGTAGCGGAAGAGATGGCGAGGCCATGCACGAACGATGACGTCTGGATCAAGAGAAAGATCCAAGCCAGGGTAATTGGCATGTACCAACAGGGCGACGAGGCAGTCGTAGTGCGTTTCTTGGCCATGCTGAGTCGTGCGGCCAATATGAGAGAAGAGATATGGCAGCTTGAAAGTCGAGATGGAAGGCAGGTTGGTTGTCTGTCTCGATGCAGGGCTGTGATGAAACAGAAGAGAAAGGGAAACAGAAACACAAGGTTAATAGAAATGTAAGAAGTCAGAAAAAAAGTGTAGAAAATCCTCAGGTGACAGAAATTCAAAAAGTCAGCTGAGGAACGAAAAGAAGAATGGCGAAGAGAAAGTGAACGACAGTTGGTCAGGTGGCAATCCAAGGAGCAGGAAGTCGAATCTGAAACAATGATTGAGAAAAGTTGATGAAAGGTGGAAGAAGAGAAGAAGAGAGAAGAAGACATTTGAGAGGGTATGGCAGAAAAAAACGGTGAAGGGCATGTAGCTGGTGAGGTGCAGAGGCAGCAGGAGGAGTGCTGGCAGCTGGCAGCTGGCAGATGAGTGGCCAGTACAAGTCAATTTACAGCTCCCCAAGTACCTAAGAAGAATATGGGCAGCACCCTTTTCCCATATTAGTTCTGCTATTTATCGTGTATAATTTGTTTTAAAAAACGTAGCTAATTTTACTCTCTCGATAATTGATAGTTCTCATCATCAGGAGGAGTAAAGGCTACGGTACTTATGGATGCCAAGAAACTGCTACCTACGAATAAGGAACATTGAACCCATTAATAGATTGGATCTCTTGGCACTCTTCATTCGCAGCATACAGGAAGCCGCTAGATATCTCTAGACATACCAACCTCTCCCCAAATCATAACCGCATTTACTTTGCTCTCCTGATATCACTCCCACTACAGTACAATTCCCGTTAATAGCCGTCGGATTCATTGAGCAGAGCCGGAACAAGTTTAATGCGGCCGGTCCCAAGATCGTGAGATGCGGGCAAGGATCTTTTGAGATGTGCATCGGAAAGATTTCGAGCTATGACATCATGCAGCGGTCCCCTAGAAAATGAATAGGGTCCCTTGGGTCTGTCCACCTTGGCCGTCCCCATTGAGGATCATCACGATTGTCTGTATGGGGTCATTCTCCTCAATCAACTACTGTCCAATAGGTAGATACAAGATAGTAAGCATAAAGTTGGTTTACATACTGTTCTTCCCACTGTAAGTCAAGCACACACTGCCATGTGTCGTATCACCATGAGATAATGCACCAGCGAAAAACAACAGCTTCATCATCATGACTCGTGAGTATACATTACAGTAACGCTAGTAATACCAAGATACGTAAAAAATATCATCGCTTTTGTCTAAATCATGCAAGTGATTATTTTCCTCATCCAAAATCAAGATTCCTCACACCCTCACCGTCGACGGCTTCATTCCCGGCATTGCGTCTGCCGAGTGGCTCGCGTCCAGCGGAAACGGCGCACTCGAACTCGATCCATCAGCAGCAAACGGACACGGCCCCTCGTCCTTTGCATCCAACTTCAGATCCTCGTTATATCGCCGGATGGTCTCTGCAACTCTCCTGTCGATGTAGGTCACAATCAGATTGCCGATTTCGACGTCGAGCTCCTCAATCTCGCGCACCATGGCTCCCAACTTGTGCCACCCGACGACGTTTTTCGCGGCATTGTTCCAGCTGCTGGCCGCTGCGCATACGCAGTTCATTTCGAATTCGAGTACCTTGCGGTATAATTTTAGTAGTCGGTCTCTTGTTCGGTCGCGCTGCTCGAGAAAGTCGGCATCGCTCTTCCATGCGCTGGCCATGATGAGTTCTGACAGGTGCATGTACCATGGGATGCGTCCAAGAACGTGCAAGGCACCGCGCTTCATGTCTTCAATTGCTATTGTCGCGCCAAGAAGAAGCTGTCAATGAGAAGAATCAATTAGCCAACCGTTCAGACTAGTAGATGTAGACAGGTAACAGGGAAATCTTACCGGTGTCAGTATGCAGATGCCTGACCAGGCCACTGCGGTAGATGGATAGTCTGCCCATACAGACTTGATAATCTTCCTGGAAGCCCGAATCAAGGCTTTGGCCTGGTCGTCTGCTTGAGATTTGGTCCGGCACTTTTTCAGGCCGGCTTCAGTGATGGTGATTAAAGTTCTTAACCTGTCGTCATCGGATCGTGGGAGGGACTGGTTGATTCCGCCAATAGACTGGCCATGAGGCAGTTCCTGGCACAGGATCGACTCGTAGACAGTCACCAGGCCAGCTGTACTTAGACCATCGCGGAGGGAGTTGTAAGCTGAATTCCAGAGTTCGAGGGAGATGCCTGTGTCCCGGCCATATGCCTTTGGGGCGGAGAAACTGGAGTTTGCTGAGTTTGGTACTCTATAGGAACCTAGCCATTTAGGTGTCGCGATGCCACTGTCGGCATCAGAGTCGTCTGGGCTCGTATCATGAGGATTGGAGTGATGGAGCAGCCGGCTAACCAGCTTCTTGATGCGGCCGCTCTGGGGGTCGTGAGATTTTGTCATTGTGAGGGAACTGGTGGGGTATCAATGGAGAAGAAAAAAAAAGTTTTTCGTTTCAAAGAGACGGTGCAGGCTGGGTTACTAATATTCGTAAACGTTCATGTGGTATCACAGCTCTGCAGACAAGAAACCATGGCGATGGCAGCAATACAAGGGCTATGGTGTTGACACAAAAGTGGGCGGTGACTTATAGATATTCAATTTTTTTCGCATGAGCATTAGGGACCGGCAGACCGGCTCGAGTGACGTTTTGCTTTGCTTCCTCTCAGCCCACTCCAGCTCCGGCTCAGAGCCGGATTCGGTGTTCGGCCAGGCGGCAATCGGCATAAGCACAGCGCCTAAGCATGATGGCATCATGATCCGGTCCCGACGGCGAGAGGTGGCTGAAGCCCTGGCCCCAATTGTCCAATCACCCCGGATTCTGGGTGGGCGTAGGCCCTCGTGGTTGGATCGCCGCGAGCTCGGCTTTTGGGTAATGGATTGCGATGTACGGAGCTGGGTATAAGAGATGGGTATGCGCGTAAATCCCCGTGCTATTCGCGTCAGCCATCCAGCTTTCAGCTTCAGAGCTAATTGTTAGAAGGGCTGCTAACCAGCCACGATGGGTCGGAGATGGCGCAATGCGGGGGGCCGGAGTTGAGGGAGAGAGGCAAAAAGTACGAGTATCGGACCGCTTTCCATTTGCCATGAACTATGAATAAACATTGCCGCGGCGATACAAGAAACGAGGGACCTGAAACAATACCAATCAAAGGCCAGGCTTCTGTCTGACACATGCCACTTTCGGGCGAAGCATCACATCATACCTACTGGACGCTGTGCATGTAGTTTCGCCTCAGCTGCTTGCGCGGTCAACTAAACTCTCACCTTACAAACCTACGCGGTCGAAGTAGCAGTAGATATCCGTTTTTTCCATGGCCTTCCAAGGAGGTTTGTTCATCTTTTAACTAGGCATCCAGACATTCCCGTTTTAGCTCCCTTTCTCCGCGGCTACTGAATCGCGAAGCGTCCGGCGCGACAATCCTTGCTTGATTTGGCCACATCTTTGGTAAAAAGCCTAAACCCATCACGAACCATCAGGTTTCGGGACCAGGCATGCGATCGTCAATTCGCAGCACTTTCATATGAGCACAGGCGAATGGGCTGCTGCAGATGATCAGCAGGTTACCGTTACATAACCCAAGTGAGGTTATCCCCGCGGCCCTTTAATTTCCACTCCCGCGTCGCTCAAGCAGAGCAGATGAGCCTATGGATTTCTACGGATACGGATATGCGGGCGGATGACACGATGCGGAAGAAGTCTGGGTGCAAGAGGTGAAGAGATTGAGATATTGACGTACCCAGTTCTTTGAGTATCTGCTGCCATCACTGCTTTCTGCTACAATAGCTACATTCGTCTAGTATTTGGCATTATCACTCAATAATTGTTAATCTTGCGCCGGGGTTACTGAATAGCAAAATTGGGTCAATTGCTGAATACATGTAGGCATTCCCTTGATCAACACCAGCACGTTACAAAGGCTCCGGGTCCCTGCATGAATGGCATCTGCGGGCCAGTACATGAAAAGGCCCCATCTTGGGTCCCAAGTCTCAATCTGAAGCTATCGTATTCTCGCTCGTACCAACGCAAAATATGAGCCAAATCAGACACCCTCAAGGGTCCATGTGCGATCCGTACTCGAGACTGGACTTGAGCCGGCCACACTCACCACCAACCACTCACCCCGGCACGGTATTTAACAGGCCCGCTACTCTGTACCTTGTCCGCGATCGCCGGCTGATACCATGTTTCATTCAACAATTGCCTTGTTCGTCCTATTGTCCGGTTGACAAAGGTCAGAGGGTGTGGACTCGGAATTCTGCCGCAACCCTCGTCCTCACCGCATGCAAACGAAACAAAACGAACTGCCGATCTTGCTACCTTATTTTCTCTTTTCTCCTCTCCTCTCCTCTGCTCTTCTCCTCTTCCCCCTTTCTGCAACCACGTGCAGCCTGCAATCCAAACTCAGTCTTCTCAATTTTGACAAGCAACGACGCGATCATCTCAGCCCATATCATCAACGCTGTATTGCTTAACTACAAGCGAAGAGAGAATATCGACATCATGAAGTCCATCACCATCTTGGCTGGTCTCGCTGCTGCCGCAGTTGTGGCTGCTGCCCCTGCTGAATTCCAGAACAGCACGGACGTTACCTGGACCCCGTCCCCGTCGGATCAGACAACCTGCGATCCATCCAGCTTCGCCCAAGCTCCCATCGCCGGTGCCGCCGACTGGCGTTATTGCGCTGCCCTCTCGAGCGCCTGGGCCAACCAGAACGGAACATTCAGCATCCACGACGTCTCCGGCAGTGCCTTTATCCCCGTCCTCAAGACCGAAGGCTGCGTCTTGGGCGTCAAGGCCTCTGAGCAGGGCCAGGGACCCTACACCATAGGAGACCAGGACGTCAAGGCCATCCTCAGAATCGCGCTTGAGGACTATTCGGAGGGAACCGACCTCTCTGTTGAGGGCAGCGTCAAGTGCAACGTTGCCAATGGCGGCCGATCCGACCTTCAATGGCAAATCGCCGGCCAGTAAACACCAGGAACCTGGATCAATTGCTACTCTTTGTTCTACCAAGGTAGCATACCTTTTCTATTAAGCATTTATGGTACGCTTTGGTTTGATGAAAGTGTCTGGTGTGTGTTGACGCGAAGCTAATCTCTTTACAGGATTCGTTCACGGTGTTGCGGCTTCGACGATTCTTTCTAGCAGTGGCGTTATGGGAGACGAAGGCATTGATGGATATGGATGAACTCGCTCGACAAGGGCCGAGTGTTGCATTTAGCGAAGACGGGCAGAATATACGCGTCTCCAGCATTTTCAAGGAGCATTGATGCATTTATGACTGCAAGACTCTCCTTTTGACCGTGACACCTTGGTGAGATGCTGTGACATGATGAAATCCATTACCATTTCTAGCCTACGCATGTAGAGGAGCATTGTAGATCAAGTGACCGGCAAGGTGAAAAAAGGAGAGACATTGGGGGCAGATATCTGAGACAAGATTCCATATGCACGACATCCGTTGACTCAAGCCGCGATTTCTCGCCATCAACCACTACTTTGCAGAGTGTAAAGGTTGGTGTTTGTACTCGTAATTATGTAGTGGTTCTGTATCTTTACTTCTGCTGGTATTGAAACAATCACGGTTCATCATTAAGCCTTTACTGCTTAGATTTGAGGTGGTTTTATGGGTAAAGTGTACTAGGTATGTATTGATACCTCGGCAAAGTCAGTTTTGTATCTGTGTAGATGAGCAACTCTAACGGAAAGTTACTCTGCAGCACAGGAAGTGCACCGCAGATGCATCTTTACAGCTTTTGAAACTTCCATACTTGGTTGATATTTTTCTGAGGCCCCTTCTATGGCTATTGTGTTGAAGTTTCCTACAAACTTGCTTCATGATGGTCAAGTTTAGGGTAGCAACTTGATGTATCTGCAGGCAAACGTGCCGTTGAGCGTTGAGCAGTGACTCTCGCCTGCAGAGCTCCAGTGCTGCCATTGGCAAACAAGGCGCTGGGTTTCAGTGACTGCTGGGCACTGAAGCCACTAAACAGCTGGCAAAAAGTGGTCTGTGCGCAACGCCGTCACGCTGCAGGCACCAAAAGGCCAAAAGCCTTGCCGCCCAACTGGGACTAGGCCCGTTCAAGGCCAGTGCAGTCTCTTTGCTATTTTGCTGCGGCTTCTCGATGCGCGCCAGAGCTCGTCGTTTTTGTCTTTGTTCCATCAAGCTCTGCGGCCCTTTTCTCAATTCCCGAGCCTCGCCTTTTTTCATTCTTGATCATCTCGTCGCAGGCACTGAGAGCTGTCGATGAGATTCAGGCTCTGCGACTGCTTTGATTAATTCACCCCGTTTCATCCAGTCATTCCCTTTTCTTCCCTTTCCCTGTTCTTTGTTCCTTTCTTTTCCTTTTCTTTCCTTTCTCATCACGCCGCGTTCGACATTTATCAACCCCCGATATCGCTTCCCCTCTCAACCGAGTAATGACGAGACTCGCGCTGTCATTGCCATTGTCGACCTAAGTTCAAGGGCACAACACAATGGCGGCGGTCGATGTCGACGTCGGCTACATCGCAGGCCACCTGGGCCTTGACCAGCCTGTGGTGGCTACTCTGACGACGCAGCCCACCGTTGATCTAGTCACTACTCTGCTGCAGGCCGTGGCTGCCAAGGCACACGAGTTCGAGACGCTGTACGCCGAGAAGCTCCAAACCGACATTGAACTGGAGAATGCAGTTCGAAACTCCGAGACCAAGTCCCAGACCTTCAAGGGCACCGCCGAAAAGGCTCTCAAGGATGTGGAAGAAGCCCGACAGCGCCTCAAGGAGGAGGGTACGTGTTTTTTTTTTTTAAACTCCCGGTGGCTCAAATGCCGCGTTACAATCTTCATCTAACCGTTGTCCGCACCTTAGAAACAAAACGACAGTCCTTAGAAAACGAACTTCAAAGTCTGAAAGCAAAGTACTCCGATCATGATGCCGAAGTCAAGGCCCTCAACGACAAGATTGAGACTCTCCAGTCCTCCAACCGAACGAACCTCAGCATCATCGAATCCAATAACAAGCGCGATCAGACCCTGACCGAGGAACTCACTAAGCAGCACCAGCGAAATGTTGAGCTCGCCCGAGAAGTAACGACTCTTCAGCAGTCGGAGCAAAATGCCAAGGGTCAGCTGAATAGTGCCAAGTATCGACAGGACGCACTCCAACAGCAACTTGATTTGGCACGCCAGAATGCCGAATGGCTCGAGACGGAGCTGAAAGCCAAGAGCGACGAGGCCCTCAAGTACCGCAAGGAAAAGGGCTCCAGGATTGCCGAGCTCCAGAGACAAAACGAAGACGCCAAGGCTCAGATCGACGCTCTTAAGCGCTCTGAGCAGCAGCTCCGCGAGCGACTTGATGCTATGCAGGCCAAGGCTGACGATACTCTTGTCAAATTGCAAAAGCAGGAGGGCTCTTTTGCGGCCACCGTCGAGAGCTACAAGCAAGAGCTGGACGCCCAACGACGCGTTGTTGAAATGTCCGAGCAGCTAAGCAAGAAACACCAGGACCGTGTGCGAGAGTTGGAGTCTGAGAAGGAGCGCCTCAAAGATAATTACGAAAACGAACTTCGGCGTGTGCGCTTAGAGCTGGAATCGGAACGCCGTGTTACCACCGAAATGGAGGAGCGAATTCAACGACTTGAGAGCGACCTAGATGAAACCCGTGTGCGCATGGAGCACGCTGCTCCTGCGTCATCGTTACCGCAGACCCCCCAACTGAATGGTTCAGCCTTTGCGCGGGCCAACTCTCCCTTCGGAACCCCAGGCTCTGGACGAAACAAGTCGACCATCACTGCTACCCAAGCGATTGAGCAGCTTTACCAGGTCAAGGGTCAGCTCGCCAGCGAGAAACGGCGGAACCAGCAGCTCGCCGAGGAGCTCGATGGCATGATTGCAGCTTTGGAAGCTAAAACGCCAGAAATCCAGGAGCTTCAGTCCGAAGCCGAGACTCTTCGAAATGAGATTGCACACATGTCTGAGCTATCACAGCAGAGTTTCGAAGAGCGGGATGCGGCAAGAAAGGCGGCCAGGAAGGCAGAAAGCACGCTTGCTACTGCGCAGTCTGAGAGCAAGATTCTGCGTACTCAGCTGAGAGATTTGGGCACACAGATTCAGATGCTCGTCTTCAACATTTATGCCATGGAAAGGGGCATGGATCAGCTAACTGAGGAGGAAAAGTACCGCCTACAGCAGCTTGAGAAGGGCGAGATCACCGAAGAGGCCCTGTCCGACATGTCGGACACTCACCAGTTCATTACCCAGAAGTTGGTGGTTTTCAAGGACATCAAGTCTCTACAGGCCAAGAATGAAGACCTCCTGCGCATCACCCGCGAACTTGCTGAGCAGATGGAGAGCGAAGAGGCCTTGGCCGCCAAGCACCAGGCCAAGGAGGACCACGACTTGGTTGAGAAGCTGCAGCAGGACCTCACCCATATGATGGAAGAGATCAAGTCTGCTAAGATCACCATGGAAAGCTACAAGATGGAGCGTGATATGTTCCGACGCCTTCTTCAGCAACGTGGCGCCGGCGATGATCCTTCTTCCCACATGCGCCATTCTATCGGTGGCCAGATGCCAATCGGCAGCATTGAGACTGGAGAGCAGACTGAGACTCTGACAGAAGCCCTGCGTAAGATTCAGGCAGAGTACGACAGCTTCCGAGACGCTCAGGATGGTGTACGAAAGGACTTTAGAGATCAAATCGATCATCTGTCATCGGAGAAGAACGCACTCCAGACTGCCAACATCAAGCTACAGGGCGAGGCTAGGCTGGAGTTTGAACGACGGGAGATGCTTCAGAGCAACTACGTCGCCCTTCAGAATGAAAATTCTGAGCTCCAGAAGAGGACCCAGATTCTTTCCGAGACCGCCGCTAAGCAAGATATTAGGGTTCAGCAAGTGGCGGAAGAACTTATCGAAGTCAAGGGTCTCCTGGACAGCATGCGAAACGAGACTGCCAATCTCAAGGCGGAGAAGAAGCTTTGGAAGGATATTCAAGAGCGCATGAGCAAGGACAATGACTCCTTGATTGAGGAGAAGAATAGGCTGGGCAACCTCCTGACGGCTCAGCAATCCCTGGAAAACGAACGCAACATTACTGAATCCGAGGCTCGCCGCAAAGCTCAAACCAAGATTGAGACGTTGGAGCTTGAGCTGAGCACTGCGCAGAAGAAGCTTTCCCAAGCCGTAGAAGACTCTCAGCACTTGCAACAGAGGAAGGAATACGAGGCAAAGGAGTCTCAGAAGAGGATTGATGATCTCATGGCCAGCCTGAGCCAACTCCGAGAGGAGCACGTCAGCATCAAGACATCCCGCGACCACCTCCAAGCTCGCGTTGATGAGTTGACTGTAGAGCTCCGAAGTGCCGAAGAGCGCGCAGGTCGCCTCCAGCCCCGCCCCACGCCTCGACCGGGCCTCATGACAGATAGCAACGTGCGCCAGCAAGAGCTTGAAGCCGAGATTCAGGACCTCAACAATGATATTTCGGACCTCAAGCGCGACCTCGACATGGCCAACACGCAGTTGGAAAACGCAAAGGCTCAGGCCGAGCAGTACAAGGAGTTGAGTCAAGGCAACGAGGAGGCTTTGGAAGACTTGCGAGGTTCACAAGAGGAGTACCGGCAGGAGATGGAGAATCTCATTCAACAAAAGGATGCGAAAATTAAGGAGCTGGGTCAGCAGATTGAAGACTTGTCCGCTGAACTGTCACGATCCAACACCGAACTATCCACCATTCGGGACTCCCAAGGAGAGATTGCACGCAAGTACGAAGATGAGAAGACAATACTAGAGGAGGAGATTAAGCGGCTCAAGGAAGAAAGCAGTCGACACATTGAAGCTGCCCGATATCATCAGCAGGATCTTCGTGCTCAGGCTGAGATTGCTTCGAAAGCCCAGCAGGACTACGAGAAGGAGCTTGTTAAGCATGCTGAAGCCGCCAAGCTGGTTCAGGAATTGCGCAACGAGTATAACGAGTACAAGCGGGAGTCTGCATCACTGCGCGCGGAAGCAGAATCTGCCAAGGTCACGCTCGCGCAGAGTGAGAGTTCCTGGGAAGACCGAAGACTGCAGCTGGAGCAGGAGATGGCCGAACTCAAACAAAGGCGCGAGGATGCCAACGCACAGAACAA